CGCGCAGCGGCCCACCGGGCCGCCCTCCACGTGGCACGGCGGCTCCGCGATTGTAAGGCACCGGGGCGGGGGGGAGGGGGCGGGTTGGAAGCCGCCTTTGGGGCGGCCCCGAAGCGTTCCGGGTCGGCGTGGGGGGCAAACTCGAGCCGTGGTGGGTCGTGCGACGTCTGTAATAAGGGCTGATGGGCTGCGCGTAGCTTGCTGGGGAGGAGCTTTGTTTAATTAATTAGCCGCCGTAAGCCTGGGGGTGTCAGTTTTGAAAGAGCTAATTTTTTTAATTTTTTTTTTAAATTCCGTCCTTTTTTATTTTTGTTGTTGAAATGCCACAAGCGCATATTTGAGTCGCCTGAATACATGTGAGTATTGGTAAGGCTGGAGGCGTAAGGGCCGAAGGCAGGCGTGCGTCGATCGGCGTACCCGACCGCGGTCTGGTCCAGGCCCGGCATTTGCTTGGATGCATCAGGCTGCTTGTGTGGTTCCAGTCTTGAGAGGTGGTATGGTGGGTCTCCCAGGTGGTGGGAGGGAGCGAGGAGAAAGTCAGCCTTGCTGATGGACGGTTAGGGAGCTACCTGGGTTTCTGTGGAACAGGAGGGTTGCAGAAGCACCGAAACGTTTGTTAGGACCTCTGTCCTCTCGGGACTTTGTAAATGCACTTTCCGCCTCTGTATGGCCTCAGGGTCTCCATTGGCAGACTGGAGATAAGGGCGCTGTAAAACAGTTTGGGAGAAACCTGACTGACACGGGACAATGCGAAATGGCATTTACTTCTCACCTCTGGTGCTCTAAGGAGAGGCTCACCTTTCTACTGCACATCTTGTCTCTTTTAAGGCTCAGCAAAGGGGCCGAGGGTGCGGTCTGTTCTCAGTGCTCTCCTGTTTCTTGTGGGAGCTTGTTTTGGGCCGAGCAAGGCCTTCTGCTGGCTCTTGCTCCTCTTCATGACACGCTGGTGAGCGGTGGGTTCAGTCCTGGCTGAGCGAGAAGGATGTGGTGGCGAAGGTTTCCTTGTCTTTGAAGTCATGGGTTGTGTGCTGACTAAATTAGCTTGTAAGCGAGTATGTGCCCCCATGGAAAGCAGTCGCCAGGGAGTACAAAATTCTTTCGAATCACAAGACCTGCGGTTCCATTTCCCAACCCAGAGTCTAATTTAACAGGTCCTTGCACAGCAGTTTGGTTCAGTACACGGAGCTCGTTGAAGGGGTCCTGGCTGACAAAGCTTTTGCACCCAAGAAGCTCGGACGCTGGCAGCCCAGACATGAAGAGGGGATGTGTTGCATTCCTGTGGCGTTGTACAAAAGTGTTTTGCTTGGAACGCCGGGGCTCGGAAAGTAATTAGGCACCACTGCAGATGAAAGGGAAGCTCTTGAATTATGCAGAATTAATTCAGAAATAGCTGTTACTACTGTTTGGATCAGCAAGAGATTAGATATTACAGAAGAAGTGATAGTAGCAGTTGACAGAGCATTTGGACTGTGTTCATATGCCGGCATACGCATATGCTGGTACTCACATTATTATCAGCGTTTTTTGAAAAGTAGGGGATAGTTTCCAGGTAGATGTTGCCTATGGAAGGTAACATTTTAAATGACTCGCCATGTGATGATGATAGTTGGGCATTCTTTATTTTAGAATAAAGTAGCTTGATGGGCTTTCGCTTATTTAATTATCTGTTAAAGCAGTGTAGAAATCATACTCTACTGCTCTGAAAATAGCTGAATTTACTAAAATTTCATGGAGTACTTGCATTTAGCAGTAGATTGATTGGGGTGAAAATGACCATAACTTTTCGGGGGGGGGCAGGGGGAACCACCCTGAAAGTCCCGGGATTTGTTGCTGTGACAGATTGACAGGCTCAGGCTAATCCATCTTCACCTTTGGGGGAATCAAAGTATCCCTGTGAAGACTGTAAAACTGCGATGACTGCTCATTTTATCACTTGTTCCTTCTTATCTCTGAACACTTGCTTACCTTTCACCCTTCTGCCACTTGTGCCGGGAATATACTTCACTGACCAGAAAGTTTTGGGTTTTTGTCCTCTGATGCTGTTGAGAATTTGCAGAGATCACCTGGGATCTTTCTTGCCTTCCTAGATTTCATTGTTGCCCTTGAGTCCCAGGCTGGTTGGATGGTGTTGACAGTCCTGTTGACTGTGTATCTAGTTGTGTGATTCTTCTGCACTGTGATATGTGACTTTGCCTCTCTTTGCCTTCCACATCTTTCACACATTTGTATGATGTTTAAAATTAAGCTTTCACACAATGCCGTTCGCCTTTATGATTCCAGTGGAAAGACCGGGATCTTGACTTCTAAATAGTTTTGGGTTTTTGGTTTGGCACCTATCTGCATTCTGGCTGGGGCCCTCTAATTCTTGTAGCGCTGCCCATAATTGTCAGCCTTGGAGTGCTTCCCTGTTCGGTTGTTATTTTGGGGCTATGAGCCAAATCCAGTGCCTGTAACCCTTGGGTGGCGTGCCTTGGGCTTGCCTTCGTATTGAGCCTGGGACAAGTCAAGAGGTTTTCCAGTGCGTGTTGAAGGTGTGACTTTGAACAAGTTTGGTTTGTGTGAGTATGTGTTTGAGATTAAACTGGGATTGTTTCAGTTTGACTGAGTTTGAACATGACCAAAATTATCTGTCCTCTGCTTCAAATAGGAATGTCCATACATTGTGCAAACTTGAATGAGGGGAACACAGCCCAACTGATTTTTTTTTTTTTTATGGTAGGAGCAAAAATAGAGGATTGCATCTAGCCCTGCTTTCTCACACAGTATGTTCTCCTGATACATTGTCGGAAAACAATGGGCTGGTGTGACAATTGGCAATGAAAGTGCTATGTACAAATACCTCTTAAAAACATTAAATATGGTTGACAGGGACATAGAAGTAACTCTGATGCTTCCTACCGAAGCTGTGGGTGTGCATGCAAGGCAAGCATTCTCTCCTTGCAGCCTGCCAGAGCACTGCCTTGCATAAGGGCAAGTTTCATCTGTTTGGCTTTGGTATCATGAAAGTTGCTTTTTCACTTGAGACATGAGAATTCTGCCTGTTGATGTGGAAAGTAAAACAACTCATCTCAGGCTTTTCTTCTTCTCCTTGCCTAACAAGGCAGGTGGAATTTATGTGTTTGGTACTTAGAAAAATGATGTTTTGACTGATGGGGAGCCCAGGTGCCTTACTTTGCCCATCACTCACATGGAGAGTGTGGGAGCATCACCGAAACAGGTCTGACGTCCTTCCCGACTTCGTTTTCCGCCTCTGTCGCCCTTGGCCCTTGGTGACAGATTCGGCAGCCCCCCCAGGCACGCACGAGCTGCGGGCTCCCGGTTCTGCAGGAACGGTGACTCTCCTCCGCGCAGCCCGACGAACCTGTGTGCGCTCTTGGGTCTGCTGGCGGTATTTTGTCAAATTTAGAGAAGGGGAAGCTGAGAGATGGGGTTGTCTTGAACTTTGATCTTCCGTTGAAAAAGCATAGTTAGGGTTGGTTGTTCTGGCCATTGTTGGATTGTGCGCTGTTTGTAGCGGCAAATGTTTGTCTGCTGCTTTTGAGAAGTACCTTGTGGGTGTTTTAAACAAGTAAGTGTATTTTATGTGCAAGAATAACTGAGCTCAATAGGTATAAAATTTCCTGTTAGAAATAAGACACTGACTTTTTCAGCAGCTGTGAATTATTTCCAGCTTTTACTAGGTTTTCAGTACTTAGCTTTTTGTAACTGGTATCTTTAAAAGACAGTATTTCTCACATCTCTGGAGCATTTCAGCAGACCGTTGTGTCTGAATCTGTGGTCTGTTCATGTTGAAATATTTTCCCTGAGCAAGCTTGGAACGTTCATCGCCTCTCTGCCGTCCTGCCTTTTTTAGGGGTTTAGTGGCAAAAAGATCCTCTCTTGAAGTGCCTGCATCTTTCAAGTGTTTAGAATAGATTAATATTTTGACGTTTGTGTTTAGGCAACTGTGTATTTTCTTTCTTGGTATATGCTGCTTTGTTACTTTTGACAGAGTTAAAATGCTAGGCTCTGGTGCTGATTATAAATCAGTTTCTGAATGTATTTTAGTTGAAAGTTAAAAATGGAAAGGTCTGTGGCTTCCAGGACTACACAGTAAATAACAGCGAACCAACCTGTCACGGCAGAGGTGTTTGGTGCAAGTTTGTCTTTGATGTCTGTCTGCTAATGGCGATGGACTTCTGCTGGGAATAAACTTGACTTGTGGTTTCAGGTGTAGAAATACTGGCCATGAGCAAGCTTGGCTGTGAGGGTGCTCTTTTTAAACTCCTGGAGTATGCCCACCTTGTATGTGTCAGCTGTTGTCTGTTATTAACCTGAGCCATTTCAGTGAAACGGGGACTCATCAATGACTGAATGGGATTCTTCATAGTCAGACTATGGGGAGCAAGTCGCAAACTAAAAATCTTTGAAATTCTGCAGTAAGTTGCTTAAATCAGTATCTTAGTATTTGGGAATGCGTAAAGATCAAAAAAGGTCTTCTACTGGTAATTGTTTTTTTTCTTTGTTCAAAATCGGTAATTACACCCCCATAATGGCTCCTCAGATGCAGATGCAGAAGTAAGAGATGAAGAAGAAGAAATTAGTTAGGCATACAGTAATCACAGCAGTGGTTAACTCAGCTGTACAATAGCACAACAACTAATGCAGTGGCTCCTGGAAGCAATTTATTCATAGCAACGAGCCTCACAGCGCCTTGTATGTTTTTCCATTAAAATGTATAGTGCTTCATTTTTAATGCCGCTCTGTACTGAGTGAATTCCATCACAGCAACAGAGGCGGATTCTGGCTGTTTGTTTAAAGAAGTGGGGGTGAGGGAATATCCAAAGGGGTTCAAATGTGGACAGCACAACTTCTGCAGCAGTGCATTGGGTCGTGCCGTTATATGCCTGTGAGGGTCAGTTGTTCAGAGGTGAATTCTGCTCTTGCTCAAGCAACAGTAAATCAATTTTGCATCAGTCTACATCAGCTTTATAAAAGCAGAGCAAGAATAAAGTTAAGCCCATGTATGCCCATTACTGTAGCTTATTTCAGAGAGTGAAGCTTTGGTCAAGGTGCTGCTTGCTTTTCTAATGGAAGTGCAATTTTGTCAGCAACGTTATTTTTGGAGGATGAGCCTCCTTTGGGCCATTTGCCTTGGCAGAAATAAATAAATAAATAAATAAATAGATAAAATAATAATTAAAAATAATCATTATATCGGGCCCTGTATGAGCAACCTTGGTTGCCTATGACAGTGGACAAGGGCAGGCCGCTCTCGGTTCTGGAGTTCTTCTCAGGGATGTTGAACATTTGGGGCTGGAGACCTCCTTCGGACGAGGAACTGGCCCCTCTCACCAGGCAGCTGTTGATCTCGCATTCCTGAGAATTAATGTGAGGAGTGGGAAACCCACATGCAGCTTTAGCACACAGCAAGCAACAGGGAGGCTTGCTTCAAATAGAGTGGTGTGCGTGACATGTACATGTGGTCCCGGGGATGTAGAAGATAAATGTCCGGGTGCTGGTGAGCGATGCGGATGCTGTTCTCCCCGAGCATTCTGTGAAGGGCAGAATGGTTTTGCAAATGATACTGGGCTGTGTAAAACCATGTTCTGAAACTTGGCAAGATGCCTTCTGCCTCGGTTTTTAAGGCTGGATCTGTTCATCCCGTCCTTCCACACGCCAAATCCTAAAGCAGGCTAGGTGGGAGCTGTCTGAAGGCTTCCTTCAGGCCCATTACACAGAGAGGCTCGTATGAAGTGCTTCCTGAAGTACACGGCCAGGGGGAGTGGTTGGTTGCGGTGGTACGAGTCTCCTTCCACGCTGGGACTGGACTTCTCAAACTCTGAAGTTGTGACCTTGGTCACCTCAAAGTGCTGCTGCCTGCCCTTGGCAGTGCTTCCTCCTGGTGGGCTGCACTGTGGGCTTCTGGCAAACGAGAAATATCCTCGGTTAAAATGGGTTTTCACTTTCTTACCAAGCGTCGTGGAAAAAGCTCTGCAGCAATACTGACAAAGGAGAATGAGTTGCATTGCCGTTATTTCTGGAGTTAGCTAAGTGTCTGTCTGCTAAAATATGCAATGGCACTGTTACCAGATCTACTGGTAAGGTTTCTCTGAACTCGTTTAGCATTGCGTTATATTTGAAGGTTTGTTCCTCACCTCTGAGCCATCGTTGCTGTGTAAGAGGAGGAGCGGTGATGGATTTCACCATGGATAAAGGGTGCCCTGAGCATGTGCTTGCAAAGGTGAGGCACACACGTATTTTTATGTCTGAGAAGTACTGTTCTGTGGAGTTAAACACCCTGCATATCGCATCCCCTCCCTAGCCCCAAATCTGGAGTCTGTATTTAGGGATTAAAACAGTCTGTACAGAATTTTCCTGGAGTTTAGCTAAATGAGGTACAGTTTGTGCATAGCATATTTTGTGATACAGATTTGTACTTGCGTAACAGTATAAAAATAAGTTGTACTGTTGCCAATTTGAGTATTCCTATTAAGTTGGCGTGTCTGACTCGTATCTTCTGTCTCGTTTTGAATCAGAAACAGATACCCAAGGATGTGGCTGATGTTTTTAATGCCCCCAGTGACAATGAAGATTTTCTGGGGTTCCAAGAGGATGCTTCCAGACAGAGGTTGTTGTCAGAGGACGGCTATACTAGTTTTGATTCCCTGGAGTCAGGAAAAAAGGTAGGAATGGATTGCTGTGGCCCAGTTATGTGCTTTGGGTGTAGTAGTACTCTGAGCTGGTGTCAAGTCTCCGCTAGCCATAGCTCGCAGCAAAACCCATAATCTGCAGTCCTTGTATTAAAAATAAATGTAAACAAACTTTCTATCCTTTTTAGGGTTTAATGATTGCTTTTAAAAACTTTCATAATATAAAAAGGAAAATGGGTTTCGTTAGAAGGTGAGTTTAAGTGTAGCAAACAGGAAAGAGAGAATTACTATCCTGGGCTGGTGTGCTCTGGATACATAAGATAGTGAAAATGCATAATAGATGGGTATTTGTTATTTGTGAGTATGTGGACTTCAAGGTATTTCTTCCAGAAATTTCTCTCAGTGCTGTTTCTGCCCTAAAGCTGTGTTTTAGTGGTGGTGACCCACAGAAACCATCAGCTCCTGCTGTGATTGTGAAATTTGCTGGTTTTCTGCTCTCTTAATGGTGAAGTAGCTTGGATCAACATAATGATTTGATGTTTTTCATTCTCTGATTTGGTAGCTGGAGGTACCAACTGAATTCACAAGAAAGGAAGAGAACTGGTGTGCTGTCTTGGCTGCCAGAAAATTTAGTTTTTAGTCTTTTTATAAGCTTAGAAGCTTATAATTACATACTTGATAGACATGGGCTAATGTGCTAAAAGATACCTTTGTCAGCTGTGCTCTCAGAAAGGTCCCGCCATTCCATTATAACAAAATTGAAAATGCCTTTTTTTTTTTCCCCTAGTCCATCAGGTCAGTACCTGGTTCAGAGGTGCTGAAGACAAGCAAGATGGCAGCAAAGAAAGCGGACAGAATGAGCCTTGTACAAGTGTGTACTATTTCTGAGCCTTTGTAAGCAAATGGCTTCAGGAGAGTGCAGAAGCCATTTGGGCATAGAGCCACAGCCTGTGCTATGGAGAAAGACGGTGGCTAAAACATAGTGAAATATACTGGGCTCTAAATTGCTTCATAATCTTGTTGCTAGACGGCGGTACTGGTAACTTCAGAAAACCAGGAGGTCGCTTGCTTTCGTATTTGTGGCTTTGTGTGGAGCATGAAGAAGAATCAACGAGGAGAGGTGGTGGTGGTGGTGGTGGTGGTGGTGGTGGAGGTGGAGGGGGAGCCTTGTGCAGGAGCCTGAGCTTCTGCTTCTGCTGCCTGCCTGGGGACTGCAGGCTCCCTACTTTATTTCTCTCTGCCTTGGTTTCCCAACTTGTGAGATGGAGATTATGACAAGGCTTTGCTGCAGAGCATTTTAAAATCCTCTGATGAAAAATGCTGTGGAAGAGCTAGGTATTGTTAGTTTAACGTGTGTTACTGGGAATCCCAGTGAGACTTGTTCCAAATTTACAGCTGGCACTGCAGCCTTCCTCACCATTCCTGTGTTTCCCTTGGGCTGAGAATTATTTTAAATCTCCATCACTGTTGAGTTTAACTCCTTTACCACTAAATGGTATGATAACAACATGATTTTTTTTACCCTGAGTCCCATCCTTTTATGATGCCAAACACCACTGTCGCTGAGAAAGACCATAGGTACTTGTTGTGCAGGAAACTAAAAGGTTTTTGTGTGAAGAGCAAAATGATGTGAAGTTCAGAAAAATTCTGCAGTGGTTGGGACAGGAGGCAAGGCAGCTGCCCTGCCAGGGTGGTGAATGGGACGTTAGTACATCAGGTGTTCCCTTGGATGCTGATGCACAAATGCATTAACAAGTAGTGACTTCTGTGTGTCTGCTTTTCCTCAGGGCTTTCTGCAGTCCTGCTCCCATAATCTCTGCATTTCTGCTGAGTTTCAGCTGTTTCCCCTATAGATATCCCTGATGCATATTTTACCTTGTGTAGACCGTTCTTCATAGGTGTAACAGCATAGCTCTGGGTGTGTTATTTTTGGTCACTTTAGCTAACAAACAGCTTATTTCTATGGAATTTCATTAAAACAGAGAATGCATAAAAACTTCAATTTCCCTCCAAGAAATGCAATTTAACTTTAAAGTAACTTCCCTATTGTGTTTGTTCCTTTCTCAAGCAGCTGCACTGCAGCTATCAACAAAAGAATGAAGTAATTTTGCTCAGAGAAAACTCATTCCAATTACCCATAATAATTTGTAGGAGATGTTTAAGTGTAAAGAAACAGCATATGCAGTAGCTCCCCCCTTCCCATTCCCCTGTAAGTTTTTGCACTCATCTATTGTATTTGGTTTTCACCAGATATTATCTTAACGTAAAGAAGTGTGTAATTAAAGTCAGGGAAGGGAGGGAATTGAAAGGAAGAATAGAGATATTTAGCAAGCGCATCGTATGAAAGGTCATTTTTGTATCTTGTGTAGGAGGAAGAAATAGCAGAGGAAAATTGGGGAAACAAACTTAAGTGAGTGTTGCTGGCTTTCAAGAGGCAGGTGTGGTGTGAACATGGGTTATGTTCCTACGATGAACAAGTCTTTCAGGAGACTAACAGAGACAAGTTGACAGATGGTCTTCTACTAATTCTGATTGGAAGTATGGAAATATATTCTGATTTAGTAAGTGCGTTGTGTTTAATTGGTATGTAATGTGCATATCGTGAAGACTGTTCTAATGAGATCTTAGCTATTTTTCATGGGCTGACTTTTTACTTCCTCGTCTGTAGGCTGAAATTTGGGATGTCTACCCTAGAACATGTTTGAATGATAAACTGCATGATTAAAACAGAGAGAGTTGAGCATCTGGAAGGTGGAGGGATGTTAGTCAGACTGTTCAAAGCTCTGTGGTTTTGTGTTGGTATCTGTCATTTCAGTGATGGTGTAACAGTGTGAGAAGGAGCAGACTCCATCTCCAGGAGCCTTGAGTACTGCTCCAGCAAGCCCAGAGAAGAGTGTTGTTTCTACTGCTAGGTGAAAAAAGGAGGGCTCCCTCTTACTGTGGTTGTGGTTTGTATTTTCTTCCATTCAAGGCCTGGTTTTTTGCATCCAGAAGAAAACATGCGAAACAACATGGTAATTTACACATAAGAAAACTGATAATTTATTTTTATTGGGTAGTAGTGAAGAAGAGGAGGAAGAGGCAAAGAAGAAGTTCCCCTGCCCCCCCCCCCAAGAAGCAGCTCAGTTAAAGCCCTGTGCTCAAAATAAGGCAAAAAAATCCTGCCAAGTTAAAATAACTCAGTGCTGAAACTCTGAATGTCTTCTGTTTTTTTTCTTTTGACAGCCTTTGCCTGCAAAGTGCTTTCACATTATATGCCATGTAGTTGGTACCTGCTTGAGCCTCAGGACCTGTTTATTGTGACTACTCTGTATCTGACTGTCTCTCACAGCTGCTGGCTGATATTTTTACAGGGGGTTCAGTTTCAGTCCAGATACCTCACTGAAGAACTGCGGAGGATTTTCACTGAAGACACTGACTCTGAAACGGAAGTGTTTGAAGGCTTCGCTTCAAGTGAGGTGGATGTGAACAAGAAAGGAGTTCTGGTAAAGGCAGTCGCCTATGTGTGAATGCATATGTTGACTTCTTTTTTTCTACCTCTTCTGTGTAAACCTCATGTTCTAGCAGGAGTGTTTCTGATACACAGTGATGTTCTTTCTTCATGCTGAAGAAAAATATGTGTTATCTAAAAAGAGAAAAAAAGCTTTATTTAATGTAACATCACATATTAGAAATGAGAACTTCTTCCCCTGCTTGTAGACTGACTGTGCTGGGCAAGATTGTTCCTCTGAAGACAGCCATGTCTGTATCCCAGACAAAATTAATATGTAGATTTTGTGTTGGTCTCTGCCCAGAGAGAAGTCATGTACTGTGAACTTTTAAAAATCTGTTGATTTAGGTGAATTTATGACAGTGCCTTCGGGTGGTAAGAGTGCTGCCTAGAATTACTGATTTAAAAATGACCTTTCTCGTGTCACAGCCAATAATGTAACATGGGATTCTTCCTGCCTCTAGGTGGTGGAGTCAAACTTGAGTGGTGAAGAACGTGATAATTTATTGGGTAGTGAGGAAGAAGAGGATGAAGAGGCGAAGAAGAAAGTTTCCCCCAAGAGAAGAAGCTTTGGCCTTCGTGTTGCCTTGCAGTTTCCCACCAGAAAGTCATCTGAGAAAAAAGTGCCTGAACAGGCTTTTTCTAACTTACCTCTAAAGGACAGTGAATCCCTCACACCTCTTTCAAAAGACATAAGCTGCAAGCGGTGGGACAAACTAGAGGGCTCTGCTTCAGAGTCTGAAGAAGACGTTAAAGAAACACAGGAGGAAAGTTCCAGTGCTCTGCTTAAGAGAGCCATGAATATTAAAGAAAATAAAGCCATGGTAAGACTTACGAGCAGTGCTTTGTTCTCTGACATTTACATCCGAGTACTTAGCTCCAGAACACTTGAATTTTGGGCTCCCCCCTGGTGCTGTGCTGGGACTTTGGGAAAATCTCATCGTGGTTTGTGTTTTGACTTTTTCTACCTGGGAAAACCCTGGAAGACCATCAGCATTCAGACATTTATCCCTAAAATAGCGTCAGGTAGGACTAGCCTGCTCAAGTTTAAAACCAGAGTTGAACCAACCATTTTGTATGTGGATGTGAACAAAGTTACAGATGCCAAAGTTGCAGTCTTATATTCGGAACATGTCAGAAAACCAGCTGGTCCCTTCAGGTTGTTCATGTTGTCATTTGCACAATAGAGTTTCTACTTTTCATTTGTGTCTGACAGATCTGCTGCAGTTACTGATTGGAGAGCCAGCTAAAAACTGCTAAGGATGATAAATGTAATTTTTCAGTTGTGTGGGGTGCGATATTTACAGTTACACTTTGCTATATAACTACTGAAAGTGTGTGTGTGTAGGTGCGGAAAAGAGACACTGATCATTCCCTAATGCTTTTTCCAGTATTGTCCAAAATGCCACCAGCTCTCTTTAATTATCATGCTGCCATGCAAATCTGAATTGATGTTGGGTCCTCAGTGCCTCCTTCAGTTTTACTTTATTCTAGGAAAAGCTGCAGCTTCCAAGCAGTCTTGGGGCTCAGGTACACCTCTTGGGCATGGGGGCCTGCAGCTCCCACATAAAAACTTGCTTTAGTTTTGTACTTGCGTTTCTAACGTGGTGGTCCGGCTGCTCTTCCACCCTTCTTGCCTTCCACTCTTCCTTCTAGTTCAACCATTGTGAAATTCATTGGCATCCCAGTTGCAGTACTGTAATGACATTAAATAGCTCTTAATAAATACCACACTGAAGTATTTACCGAGAAATGCTGTACCCAGCTTTTAATCTCATGATTGGTATGACGGTCTCAGCGACAGCTAGCAGCATGCCTCATCCCTGCTGTTGCTGGCTTTTCAGAAGATAGCCTCAACCTGGCCTTCCAGAACAGCTCGGTATTTTTTTGGACCTGTCAGCCACTGCTTCTGTTGAAGCGTGCCTCCAGGACATCTCCTACATGGTGCAACAGACTGTCTTGCTGAAGTGCTTCTGATACTGCATACGCCGTAGTTAGGGGAACCGCCAGTGGGGTTCAGTTGTTTTACAACTTTGCAAATGAGCGTGTACCCATGTTGCTGTGTGTATCTGCACAAAGCAAGGGGTATGTAGAATTACTGGCTGTGGTTTGCAGCATTTGTGAAATCAGCACTAGCTGTCGTGGTTGAAAAAAGGATGTTCCTAGTCATTGCTGCTAAGGACCACTGAGAAATGATGAGCAAAGTTTCCCTGCTACAATGTCACCGCTTAAGGGGACACTCTGAGTTCCCTGGAAAAAAGGCACAGGTGTATCAGCAGCCATTCAGTAAAATAGCCCACAGGAAACATCTTACCATCTTCTGGCCCAGGGCACCCTGTCTTCCTCTTCTCCCTCCTGTCGTATGAACTGTGAATTTCTCGTTATTGGTCATAGATACTGTAACCATCTTGTAATGCGCTGTTCAGTGCTGTTTTGACAAAATTGGATGCAATTCTAGCTAATTCTAATTCCCAGTAAGAATTAACGGGAGCTGTGAAATTAGTACTGCCTAGGAGAGTTTTGCTTTGCAGGTAAATGCAGAGGTAAATGAACCCCTTTTATGAGCCCCACTTAAATAAAGTGCCTCCAGAAAGGTTTCGTGCACTGAAACTTCATATGTTCAGATATAATTTGGAGTGCATGGGAAGAGTGGATGATAGGTGTTGCTTATTTCCAAGTTTGCAGTGAGTTTTCAATGCAGCATCACTGTTGGTTTCAGCTTGCCCAGCTGCTGGCAGAACTGAATTCCATACCCGACCTGTTCCCGGTGAAAACGCCCACCTCGACTCCTTCGGTAAGTCTCTACTACCGGCTAGAGGTGACAGTCGTTTTTGCTAGACTTAGGATTAATGTGTTTCCCTATGAAACGATTTCACCAAGTCTGTTCTGGCTTACTTTGGGTTTGGTCACTTTATTTATATAGATTTGCTATTGGTCAGTATTTAAGTACCAGAGGTTAAGTGAGGAAATGGAATTTAATAAGATAATTTATGAAGAAATCCAGAGACCAAGGTGAGATCCTTCTTTATCATTTTTGCCCCAGAAATACTAGACACTAGACTAGATGCTAGACAAATGTCTGTGTATGTGGGAATAAGGAAGAATAGTCGCTTTCCTTTGGGTTTAGATCCTGTTAATTTCCCACTTGCAGGCTTTTCTTTTAAAATCTACACTTCCCAGCAGAGCTGTGCTGATGAAATTCAACCACTTCAACATAAACCTGGAATGTAACTGTAGTCATTTCAACTGACTTTTCTTGGCTAAAAGCAGAGAACTGTCAACCCCTCTAGGTTCTCTATAGAGTAATGTTTTTCCACATATATTATAAACTGGAGAGATTTGAGGAAAAATAGAAAGGCCATGTCTTTGGGAAGCCCATGTAGAAATGCTGCTGTGTTGGTTGTCAGGTGAAAAGGTGAAGTCAAATTTTAAAGTCCTTGAAAGGATGGAACCTTGCTATCTCTAGTCAAATCCTATGGAAACTTAAACATCCTTTGAATACATACATAAGCCTGCTGCTTTTATTTAGTATCTTTACTTTACTTGAGGAAGGGGGAGGGCATCAGGAGTACTCTAGTTGCCTCATGTGCTTAGTTTTTGCCTTCCAGCCTGTCTCATTGTAATGTGCCTTTCACTTCTTTCGAAGGAAATAACTAAAGTGTGTGGCAGCAAGCAGACTTGCTTCCTACATCTTGTTTATACTGTCAGATTTAATAGCTGCCTTTATGGTAGGTGTCCATGCAGGACTTCTGTTGCATGAATTCAGTCATGCAGTAATTGGCAGGTGTGACAATATGAAGAGGGTATTGTGTGCCTCCTATTAATTTCCAGCTTTTAGGAATCTGGAAGTAGGAGAAGCAGCTTATTAATGCCCATTCAATTTAAAAAATATAAAAGAAAATAACCTAGTATTTGGATTATTCCTTGAAGGTGTATTCAGGTTGTGGGAAAATCTGAACATTTAGCTACTGAAGAGTGAGAGCTAGCTTCTACCTTCATATGCCATACAGAAAATTTTGGTATGGTTCTGTGATTTGATTGGAATAGAATTTGACTGTGAAGGTGTGGTGTTGTAAAAGGAGCAAAAAGGTATAGTGTGTAGGGAGAACACTTAGGAATGCTAGAAATTGGTGAGGTTTGGCTTAACAAATAAGGGGTGGGAGAAGAACAGATTAATTCATGATAGTACAAGTGTGGTACAGGCATTTTCAGATCATTTCTGGTGTTTAACACCACAAACGTAACTGAAAGAATGGTTACTGGAATCTTCTTCTCTTTCTAGAAACAGAAGAAAATCCCAAGGAGGACATTTTCTGAAGGCCAGATAGCACGTCGCATGAACCCAACCAGAAATGCTCGTCCACCAGAAAAGTTTGCCTTGGAGAAATTTACTGTGTCGGCTGTCAAATTTGCAGAACACTTCCGTAGCTATAGACAACAGAACCTCTTGAAGAAGAGACTCAGTGTGGTATTTGCCAGCCTTTGATATCTCTAGTAGTCAGGGATTCAGAAACATTTAGATTGTTGGCCAGCACTTAGAGCAGACATCACATCCTACAGAAAGTTAATGAGAACCTTTGGTTGGGATTAGCTACAGAGGTTATCTTCAGGCCTTCCTGCCTCATCTTTCACCCGTTAACTGGGCTCTGTTTGTGACCTGTGTTGTCCAAACATAACAAGGCAGTTTACTTATGGTCTTATTATTTATTCATTATCTGAAAATTACTAGAGCCCACAATATAGAAGGCCTATGAGTGGCAAGGCAGTAGGGCTAGTGGAGGTGACAAAGCAGATCTTCTCTATCTTTGGACTCAGAAAAAAATAGCAAAAACCCTTCTCTGGAAATAGCAGAGGGAACATAGGAGTTATATAGCTGAACTGAGAATGAACGAAGGGAATCTGCACCAATAAACTGCTGATGTACTGGCTAGCCATTCAAAAGTTGCAGGTTTTATTCTTCCCCATTTTTTTAAAATCTGTTTTTTCCCTCCCTTAGCTTATGGTGGTCATTTATCTTGGTTATATTTATTTACTGTATAGCCTTTATGAGGAAGACTCTTTAAGTTTGTGTCTGCACAGGCTGGATCCCACTTCTGCTTGTAAGAATGAGTGCTGGGCATAGTTGAAGCATTATAGAAGGAACTTGGCTATTAAAAAAAGTGGAGTAGCACTGAGTGAGAACCTGGGCTGGTAAGAGAGAACAGAGCTGATCTAGGGTGAAGGACAAATGAGGTGTTAAGAGTGGGGCACGGGGAAGGCTAAGGATCAGATGAGACTTGTACATGAATAGGGGTCAAAGAGAATGATACTTGGAAGGAAAAAAAGAGCACTCACTATTGAGTGGAGGACTCTCTTCCAGGTAACAAACAGGATAACAAGAAAGGGCTGGGTATGGCAGGACTAACTTAAAATTTCAGTAAAGGTTTTTTGCAGGACATTAGAGATTGTCATTGGAGAAGGCAATTGGAGAGTATGCTAGGAGACTGAAGGAGCAAAGCATGGGAAGGCAGATGGTCATAGTTCCTTATTTTGAAAGGGAAGAAATGGATTATGAAGAGTTAAAGTGTAGGTGTGCAGGGAATGCAAAGAAAAGGAGGTATCATAAAAATGTGTTAGGGATTTGTGGAAATAGAAGTAGCAATGATGGGAAGGAAGAACATATAAGCAGAATAAATAATAAATGGAGTAGAGAAAAGATTAGGGAGAGAGAAAGAGGCAGTGATGATTTGGAAACTCTATTTCCTGTTCTTCCAGTGGTCCATGAGCCTGTATTCAGCCCCCTCTTGACTGCATACGCATTATAAATGAAAGAATTTGTCGCCAGGTGTGGTGACAAAGTCTTCATGACACCAGACAAAAGGTGTTGAGATGAGTTTGTTTAGCAGGGGGATTGTGGAGTGCGCAAAAGAAGGAGATCATCAAAGTATTCATCTCACCGTCCAGTAGAGGATATTACTGAGGAGGACTTGGACAACATTGCAATCACTGTTAAAGACAAAATCTATGACAAAGTTCTAGTAAGTGGCTGCTGTATTCTTTAGTGTGTCCATGCACTTGAAATTGAAAGTCTCTTAATAGTTCACTGGTGTTTGCTAAAAGATATGCTTTCCTGAGGCTTTGGAGAGTGCAGCTCAGCATTATTATATTACACAAGCACAACTTTGAAATCTTTGCCAGGCTTCTGTGGGCTTGCCTGTGCTGGTTGATATGCCCCACCAATTTTTTGCCTCTGCAAACAAGTGCTTTCTTGCCATAGAGTTATTTAAGTGGAATTTGCTATAGCTGTGACTCACCACTGATAAGAGTTGACATCCCTTTCATCTCTCATTCTCACTTAATATAAATGTTGTGGTGGTGGTGGTTGTACCATTAAATAATAGTGATCCCTGCTGCTTCTTGTACCCTTTGGAAATGACATTTCTGTATGGGTTAGGTAGTCTCCAAAGCTCTCGATGGAACTCCTCTTTCCTTCACTGGTTTTGGCTATTATTAATTGTCATAAAGATCTAGATGATCAGCTTACTATCTATTTCATGCTTCATTGTATTTGCAGAGATGAGTCACAAGGTCATTTTCTGAATAGGTTTAACTTTTTCCTAGATGGAGGAAGACATCAGAACTGCAACATGAGATTCATGTAGTTTCAGACTCCCAATGCAACTGAGGCTGGGCACTGTCTCTGTAAAATTTCTAGCATCTCTCCAGATAACTATATGATTTATCGTAATAACAGAACTTACGGTTCTTTTACTAAGAATTTCATTGCTGAATCTGACTTGGTTTGAAGTTTGTGCTTTGCTATCAGCAGATATATTAGGAAAGTTTAGTGACCAGCATTTAAGATGTCCTTCATACATATGTATGTGTTTCTCCTCCTTTCCACCTTTAGGGTAGTACTTGCCACCAGTGTCGACAAAAGACAATTGATACAAAGACAGTCTGTCGCAACCAGGGCTGTGGAGGAGTAAGGGGGCAGTTTTGTGGACCATGTCTTCGAAATCGATATGGGGAGGATGTGAAATCAGCACTGCTTGATCCAGTAAGTATCGTTTCTTGGGCTTGGAGGTAAGTGGTGTCATGGTTTTAGCCCAGCCGACAACAAAGCACCATGTGGCCGCTCGCTTGCTCGCTCCTCTTCCCCACCCCTGGTGGGATGGGGAGGAGAAAATATAACAGAAGGTTCATGGGTTGAGACAAGGACAGGGAGAGGTCACTCACCAATTATGGTCGTGGGCAAAACAGACTTGACTTGGGAAAAAACCCAAAATTAATTTGATTTGTTACCAATCAAATCGGAGTAGGATAATGACAAATAAAACCAAATGTTAAAACACCTTCTTCCCACCCCTCCCTTCTTCCTGGGCACAACTTCACTCCCGAATTCTCTGCCTCCTCCCTCCTGAGCGGCATGGGGGGCCGGAGGATGGGGGTTGTGGTCAGTTCATCACACATTGTCTCTGCCGCTCCTTCCTCCTCACACTCTTGCCCTGCTCCAGTGTGGGGTCCCTCCCACGGGAGACAGTCCTCCATGAACTGCTCCAGTGTTGGTCCCTTATATGGGCTGCAGTCCTTCAGGCACAGACTGCTCCAGCGTGGGTCCCCCGCGGGGTCACAAGTCCTGCCAGAAAACCTGCTCCGTGGGCTCCTCTCTCCACAGATCCGCAGGTCCTTCCAGGAGACTGCTCCAGCGCGGGCTTCCCACTGGGTCACAGCCTCCTTTGGGCACCCACCTGCTCTGGTGTAGGGTCCTCCACGGGCTGCAGGTGGATATCTGCCCTACTGTGGACCTCCATGGCCTGCAGGGGGACAACCTGCCTCACCATGGTCTTCACCGCAGGCTGCAGGGGAATCTCTGCTCTGGCACACCTCCTCCCCCTCTGACCTTGGTGTCTGCATAGGTGTTTCTCTCACGTTCCACTCCTCTCTCCATGGCAGGTTTTTCCCTTCTTAAATATGTTGTCACAGAAGCACTACCACCATCACTGATGGGCTCAGCCTTGGCCAGTGGCAGGTCCGTCTTGGAGCCGGGGAAGCTTCTAGCAGCTTCTCACAGGAGCCACCCCTGCAGCTCCTCCCCACTACCAAAACCTCGCCATGCAAACCCAATACAAGTATAATGAATATCGGTTTTGTTAGTAAGCTGTGATGCATATATGCTCATGATGACATGGTGTTCAGTTTTTTTTGCCATGAGATCTGTAGTGTAGTACTGTTATGACTGACACTTATCTTGTTGGAACTCAAGTGGAAGGTGCTGGGCCTGGGTTATAATCCACCCATATTCAAGCTTTGGAGCTCCACTTGCTTACCAGATGACAGTGGAGGGAAAGTGTGAGAGCTTTTAAGAGAAGGAACATGTCCGCTTTCAGAAAAACTCCAAAACGTACTGGTTTTTTTCCTTTTTTTTTTAATGCTTTCAGTAATGTGGCATGCAATGCCGGTTCCTTGTTTTAGATTCTAATTTTTACATATGAGAAAAAAGGAGAAGGATAGCTAAAAGGCTTAGGGTTGGTTCCCGTTTTTTCTGTTGTCCCCCAAGGCACTGAGTAAGGAGAGAGTACACGCTGCTGCCAGAGAACGAGGCACGTGTATACGCAAAGACCTCTCAGCACAATAGCGCTCTGTGTGCTCAGCTTGTTCTGGGACCTCCTCTCCCCCACCTCTGCTTTAGAGATGGGCTTCTGGGCTGTTCTGAAGGACAGTGGAGAACCAAGAGCTCTGATGTGCTGGCCCAGTATGGCAATGGCTGCTATACTGTAATGCTGGCTGTTAGCACCTGCGCCTCTGTGCTCAGTTGCTGAGCAGCTGGGAGCTGCCTGACTTACTTCATGTACATGCTGGGTAATGCGGTCCCAGGAGTCATGCTACACCAGCAAGCAGAGCCAAAGAAACTTGTCACAGTGGGTACCCGTCTTGTTCTAGGGAGTTCACTATGGTCAGCCTAGCATAGGATGTGTTACCATTAAGCATTACGGATGCCTTTAGGCTATTTGAAAATGAGTACTGAGGACATCAGAGAACCTGAGTCTCCAGAGTAAGAAGTATTCAAGCAAACAGGGTAGTACTTAATCAGTTCTTTAATCCTGCAGAATTTGGAAAGTGTTAATAAGGTTGGTTGGTTGGCTGGCTGATAATAGGCTTTTAAAAACCTAGCCCTGAACAATCACATGGTGGGGAAGGCAAATGTAACCTTACTCATGGCTTGCCTTTACCCCCCCTCCCACATTCACCCCCTTGCAGGCCTGGATCTGTCCTCCTTGTCGTGGGGTGTGCAACTGCAGCTACTGCCGCCGGCGGGACGGGCGCTGTGCCACAGGCATGCTCATCCACTTGGCCAAGTTCTACGGCTACAACAATGTCAAGGAGTACCTGGAAAGGTGAGGGCTGTGCCCTGTAGTCATTTCTTTCTAAACTGTTGTAGCTCTTTAAATAATACTTGACTTCTGTGGCCTGGGGCAGATCCTGGACCTATGCAAAAGAAGTCTCTTGGACTTCAGACTTCTCCTAGGCTGAAATCAGCTTCATTAAAGTGAGTTATATTGTCTCTGTAAATGCTTTTGCTGATTTTGAAAACTGTATTGATTGCTTGAAGCACATAGGAGTGCTGTTTTGGAAGTTGTCATCTTCAACAATGGAAATTATCTGTTTATGGGGAACCTGAGTTTCCTAAAAAGCACTAACACTGTTTTCTCACATGTCTTCTAGTTTACAAAAACAACTGGCGGATGACAATTGAGAACACTGAACTCAAGCTGTGCCTGCAACTGGTTAATATGTTGACAAATTTTGACTTCAAAAGGTTATTACTATGTTTTATATAAGATAGAATTGTAGAGTATAGTATATGCATTTCTATGTTGGGAACTTTTTGATTGATGTGGTCTTATGCAAAAGTTCTCTCAGGAAAATGTTTTGGTAGAGAAATCTACATGCACAGACCTATAGGTTAAGTGAAATGGCACTCTTGAACCTTGAGTGGTTAATTTTTAATAGAGCTACACAACCACATGATGGAGAACTTGGTCAATTTGAGCAATATTTTTATTTATATAATTGTGCAAGTTTGCAGAAAGGGTGTTTAACAGCTACCTGTAAAGCATACTCTGTTTTTTAAAGAAACAAAACCCCCTTGTATTCCAACTTGACCATAAAGATTCAGTTTTCCAACCCTTACTTTCTGAACCTACTCCTCCACCTGTAGTTTATGGAACTTGTCCCTACAAAGAAGGGAAGGGTACTTTCATCTGAATGCCGTTATATTCCAGCCAAAGCTGATGCAACCTACCACTAGGAGGGTAGGTTTTTTTTTTTTTATTCCAAAGTGCAATTAATCACTGAAACATGAAAATGGAAGAGTGTTTTGTTAAAAAAAAAAAAAAAATTTAAATCATCATCCTAATAAAAAAGAATTGCGCACTAGCAGTTTTTGTATGGTGTACCTGCTGCCTGAACCAACTACCTTATAGCAGTCATAACTGGTTAACTGGCTTAAATCACAAAGTTCAGAATTATGTTTTTTTACATACAGTTCATACCTAGATGTTTTTTTCATATGTACAACCAAGCTTGCAGACAACTTTGTTTAAATGCAACATGTTTGTATTGCAGTATGATTATGTTAAAATTCTTGTAAGATACACATTTCATGTAGAGAGAATAAAGAATAATCAAGAGGAGTATTTTGTGAGTCAAATTACACCCAGATGCTGATGTTTCCCATTTACTTTCCTGTAGCTGATGTAATGAAGGAATGCTTGGAGATCAATAATCATTATGTAGAGAAAGACATAGAGTTGCTGGAGCGTGTCCAGAGAAGGGCAACCAAGCTGGTGAGGGGCCTGGAGCACAAGTCTTATGAGGAGCGGCTGAGGGAACTGGGGCTGTTTAGTCTAGAAAAGAGGAGGCTGAGGGGAGACCTTATCGCTCTGTACAACTACCTGAAGGGAGGTTGTAGTAAGGTGGGTGCTGGTCTCTTCTGTCAGGTGGCTGGAGATAGGATGAGAGGAAATGGCCTCAAGTTGAGGCAAGGGAGATTTAGGTTAGATATTAGGAAAATTTTTTTTACTGAGAGGGTTGTCAAACATTGGAATAGGCTGCCCAGGGAAGTGGTTGAGTCACCATCCCTGGAGGTATTAAAAAAGCGAGTGGATGGGGTACTTCAGGACGTGGTTTAGTGGGCATGGTTGATGGTTGGACTCGATGATCTTGAAGGTCTTTTCCAACCTAAATGATTCTATGATTCTATTCTATAAACGTATGAACACAACACTGACACATGAAGAAATAACAATATAGAGCACATAAGTGTTATGCTAAGGATTGTGTTTTTGTGAGGCAAATCTACTCCAGCTGACTGTGAAAAATATTTATCTCCTTTTGCTTTAACTGCAAGGCAGACTGAGAAAGCAGCGCATACTATTGAAAGCTTAGTACTAAACTGCTGCAACTAAAGCTACTCCTACCAGAACCCATTTAGCTGGCTTCTCCTTGCTTTTCAGGTTGAAAGTCCAAACATCAGCTTGCCCTCTGCTTTTGACTTTATAAACTGGACATTCACTGGAATAGCCCTGGCATTGCTGGAGGCAATTCCTTGAGCCAGGCTTGATCTGTGGTCCCCAGCTGGATATCCCACCTGGCACCCGCAATAAACGCAGGCACATAGTTTACATGGTGTTCTGTAGTGCAAGACGAGAATAATTTGGGTTTAAACAAACAGTTGCTTATTGCTAAATACTTAAAGCTACATTTGAACATAGAGATTTAGTGTAGATGGTTGTTGGCCTGTTGTGCATCATCTCTTCATATGAATGTGGAGATGAGTACATAGTATCTGCCTGGTCTGGACTACTGGTTTCATCAGCATGCCCTTTTATTGAAAGCAGGGACTGGAAACTACTTAAACTCGGGACTTTTGAGTATGCATGTGACTTGAATGTGCCTGTCAAAGTCAAGCGCTCAGATCTTCTCCTAATTCTCCACTAGTTTATGATCAAGTATTCCAAAAGGTGGAAAACTACACTGGAGTATTTAACATATGTTTGTATAGTGAGAATAAAACAGGTACTTCAGTGTAGTTAAGACAGATGAGTTCTGTGCTGCTGAAGGGCCATGCACTTTGTGAAAGCTGCTGGATTTAAGTTTGTTGTGTGTTCTTCTAACATAAACTAGCATGTAAAATGTTGCAGATGCTTGTTGTGCATTTTAGGAGTGTTTATGTAGCAACTGGGAAGTTTATATTTGCAAATACCAACAGAAACAGAAACTGCAGCTCACAAGGTTCCTCGATACCTTCTTCATATCCACAGGAGGAATGAACAGTATTGCCCTTTGAGTGACAGATGTTTTTAAAAAAATCCTCTGAAAAATTCAGGCTTCCATTTCAAAAACTATCAGCCAAATGGCATGCTTATCATTGCTCCAGTCCCTCACCCTGACTCTCCCCTTGGGGCTTACCTGCTGTAGTAACAGCTCCCTTCCAAAAGAGTTGCTTTCCTTTTATTATATTCAGGCCTGGTGAAGAGTACAAGTAATGATGATCTTTCTCTAATTGCCTGTTGGAGTCATTCATCTTTCCTCTAATTAGCTGTAACTTAGTTGACAGCCTTTCTAAGTTAAAACTAAAAACTCATTTTGACTGTGGGCTCTAATTGTCATTCCTAAACTAGATGCTTCAGTCTCAGGAAAATACAATTCCAAAACCGCAAGGTACAGTTTATTCTCTGAAAGTTGTTAAAAGAGGGATTGCAGCTCAAAAGATGAACATGATTTCCATTCAGGGACAGCCTACAACCATATTACAGCTACTGCAATAATTGACTGCTTGGAAACCCAGATGAAAAATCTAGTCTTGTCATACATCACCCATTTTTAGGTGTGTCATTATACCTCATGCTAATATAATGATTTTCAAGTATTTTGTTGCTTCTTGGTATGTCCCCTCAATGGCCTGTAACTACTATGGCCTAGCAAATGAAAAATTCAGAGCTCTTTAGATCTGTTTATTTAGAACTGACAACTTTCTGCCAAGATGGAAGAAAAAACAGGAGAAAGATGAGTTTGAAAATAGCTTTTTCTGTGGGTTTTTTTGTTTGTTTGTTTGGTTGGTTTTTTTAACTGTAACTGTGTAGATGGCTTGATCAAGGTTACCAACACCTGGTAACTACTAACCCTGTTCTGCAGCAGATGATCAGTAGTGGGGTGAAATTTCGTGTCTGGAATAGTCTTTAAGCTTCTGAACCTGAACTAGATTAGAGCTTCTGCTTTACTACAACGCAGACCTTGTTCAGACTCCATTAACAGTTATTTAAATGCATGAAGTATAGTCAGGGATTAGGACACCAAGCTGGTGTGAAATTTAAAGTCACAGTGGACCAACACCAACAATCCACCCCCATTCCTAAACTTCTGCGGTGCTGTTCATAGGATCACAACATTTTAGTCCAACCCCCTGAGGGAACTTACCTACGTAATGAAGGAAGCTAGAGTCCCTGAACTAGGTTACTGAGATCAAGCAAATGTAAGTTTATATCCTACCTTCCATGAAAAGTCCACAGATACAGGCTCCTTTCCGTGGTGGGTGGCCATAATCTTCTTTGGTCTTTTTGGTAACATCTGCAGTCAGGCACACCTTATCCAAAGACCAGTTGTTCTTGCATGCCATGCTCTGCATTACAACTTTAAAAAATAATACTTTCAATATCCAGACAGTAATTTCAATGTCAGAACTGTTAATGTGCCCCTCTTGGGCCAGTTGTGCTCAAGCCTGAGACTGACTTGGGTTTGTTTTGTTTTGGGTTTTTTTTTTCCTTTGGCCATTATTTGACGTAAGGCAAAAAAGCTGCATGAATGCAATTGTTTGGAAACAAAACATTCTGCACAGTACAGACCAAACCAACCCCCTCCCCTCCCCAGCAGGGGAGCAAGACTGCATTGCTGGCTGCACTCAGAGACACCGCTTCTCTCCAGCCGAGTCCCCCTTTGGAACAAGCCTGTGCTAACATCTATTCTAGCCTGCGTGGTCCTTACATCCCCCCAGCCCTTGATAGGAAGAAGTGCCCAGAAGAGAAAGCTTGGAGAGAGGCAGTAAAAGGAGTGAACAATAGAGTGGGGTTCCTCTGTGCCTGTGGCACAAAAGGAGCACCAGTTGGGGACCTTGACTTGAGCAGCAGAGAGAAGAGGAGCTGCCTGGCAGCCCTCGGGCTGCCATCCCCTTCTGCTTCCAAGTACAGCGAGCGGGGCCTCAGCGTCTGGGCTGCAAATGCCCCCCGGGCTCCCACTGCCCATCTCCAGGGAGGAGCTCCTGGCCACCTTTCTGCTAGGCTAGCGAAGGATTATCTCAGTGCCATTGCTGGCCATGCAGAATTTGAGATACACTGTTACCGGGCTCTCATGGGGTCTTCAGAATAAATAAATGCATATGTGCTGTGATCATGGCAAGAAGTAAGACATCAATACACTGCTGAAGATTGTTCATCCCCTACTGTGGCAACAACTACACAAAGAGGACAGGGAGATTGATTTTTTTCTACTTAGCCTGGTAACTGTTACCAGGAATAAACCAGAATGGTACCATGACACAGACCCTGAATTGGTTAAATAATAAGGGTAGGAAAACTTGCACTCTTAACCTTTTTTAAACTAGGAAATTCAAGCTTTTATTTATTTCCTTAGCTGCTTTGTCTTCACACTTCTGAATAGACTGAAGATGAGTTTGGATTGTTTCCCCTGCTTTCAGGAGATGGTTGTTCCAATATTTGGCTGATTTTTATCTTTTTATTTAAACTGTGCTTAACTCTCCAAACAGCATCACAAACATAGCTAATACCTATGGTAAAAAATAAATGTCTGGCAGCGAAACCATATGCCTGGTTCCCTACAACCATCACTGCTTACGTGTCAGAAAGGACCAAGGATTGAACAAGCCAGAAAGCCACACCACTGCTGGCAGCACAAGGTCCCCTGTCCAGATGTCAAGTTCTCCATACCACATGAGAAGAGCAGTAACCCTAAAAGAGAAGCAGCAATAGCTTCTGCCTTAATATGTATGTATGTACTACATTTTTAGACAAAATAAATTGCAGACTTCAAGTGTAAGAGTCCTTTTGTCTATAGAGAAAGTACATGGCTGAAGTAACCAGAAAGTATATCCTTATGTAAGTGTAAGGTCATGGGTTTCGTGGAATTTGTTCTTTTCCTGGTGTAGGTATGTCCAAAATCAATTGTAGAAGGTGATCAGCATGAGACAGGTTGCTCTCAACAGAGAATGTGAGTATGCTCAATCCTCTAAAACTTCTTGTCTTGTGGAGAAACCTGAACATTACCATTAGTCACGTTAGTGCACCTTCAGAAACTGCCAAAAATTGGTAACAACAGTCAATGGCTGCTTAAATGCAAATTGTCTGATGCCATCTTCAGCGGTGCATTTAAACTTCCAATAAGCCGGAGCGAAGTACAAATCAGGAGTACAACACAGTCTGACAGAGAGACTCTGAATAATGGCATACTGCAGCATACATTGCCATGAGATATCAGAGGAATTTCCAAAATCGCTGCCTATTTTATCCATATCTAACCGCCTGCAAGTGGATATTGCTGGTGGCAGGGTAGGGGAAAAGGAATGCTGCAAGATGCTGAACACCCCTAGCACCTGTGACAAAGGGAGGTGACGGAGCCCTCACTTTAGCAAAGTGCTTAGTATTTCTGCAAAACTCACTTCTAAGTAAAACTGACTTGGATTAAGACAAATTTTGGACAAAAAAAAAAAAACGAACAAAGCTGCTGGTTTTAGATCACTAGGATAGCTCTGTGCATAGTAGCTAAACCCTGTTACTGTAGGGTACTTGCCAGTGGGCAAAGCTGTATGTGAATAGATAGGCTAGTCTAGTCCATGTGTCTGGCACAGCATCATAGAAGAGCGGATTGCAGCACTTGCATGTGAGGAGAGAACATCAACTCCCCCTTTGTTTGGAGAAAAATGAAAAGCATACTGGCGTCATAAAGAATAGCTATTTTTTCATTTTCAAAAAAGGAACAAAAAGCCCCCAAACACATAGAAGAGCAACAGTACTGTTAATAAAAAAGTCACTTGCCTTCAGACCAAGGTTCAGCTATTTAAGAGACCTATGGATCTCTGAAAGGAGGAGGTTCATGCTTTCACACTCTTGAGGGCAAACAAGGGCACAGGGGCTCCAGGCCATAGTGTTCTGCATGATTTCTGCCATGTTAAACACCTCGGGAAACACCTCCAGAATATCATCCAGGACATTCTTCATCTGTCCAGGTCAATACAAGCAGAGCCATTAGAAATCACTGCAGTCAACTCTTTTTGACTCTTCTACTTTCAAGTCTGATTTCTTCTCCAGGAGAGTGCAAACATTGCATTTTCTTAGGCAGATTAAAACCAGAGATGCTCCCCCACCTTTGCTGTGACTTTGGCAACAGTATTGCGAGAAATGACTGCAAACCAGTTAACACTTAGCAGCTTCTATTTAGCTTTACGTTTTCAAGTAACATTGACCCCCAAAGCCCAGCAATGAATCGCCCCTGGGCTTGGGAATACTGCTGTTACAAGGATGTACCCTGAGATTGCCTTGGTTTTTAATCAAATGTTATTAGTAGTTTGTATTTCTGTAGTACCTATAGCTTCCATTGCCCCCTCCACCCCCCACAGTCCTTACTGTCTCGGGCATTAGGTAAAATACAGCACAGGCACACACGTCTCACCCCCCAAAAGAGCCTCTCTCCCTCCCCGCAGGCCTGCTCTGGAACTGAGACAGAACATAAATGAAGAACAATTCATAACAGTACTCAATGAGCAGGAACTGAAACCACAACATTAATACAGCTCAGTCTCCATTTCAGCCCTAGCTTTGGCAGAATTAATGATGAATGCCATATATAATTGTCCACACTCCCTAAAGTGGATGGGAACCAAACGTGAAAAGCACAAGCTCCCCCGGGAAATGAAGTGTTGTTTGGCTACTTGCATGCAGAGATGTCACATTCCCTCCTGCAAAATCTCCATGATCTGGTGGTGATAAAAGGAAAAAAAAAAGAGTGCCCAGAGGAAAAGAAGAGAGTGAAGAAAGGGATGGAGAGTTGCAGAACAAGAGTGGCAGTCATGGGGGAAATTAATTAACTCTGGTAAGGATGAGAAGCTGAAGGCTCAGTCTCAGATATGCCAGGTTTTGGGGAACCTGGACATAGTTTCTCAGGTCTACACTCAGAAAGGAAGGTGCAGAAGACAGCAGGGTCGGATAGCAGAACTAGCTGAGATTTCTGATTACATTTTCCTTTGCTACTCATCCTTTATTCATTTAATCTATTAAGCACAGCACCAGTGCTGTTCCATGCTTAAAACCCAGTCTTTTAACCTTTTTCTGGAATCAGTTTGGCTGTACTAAGATACCTGGGTGTCTGAAGTGTCTTGACTATGAACAGAACTACAGTGCCCCAGTTAACTCCATATTAAGTGACAAAGCTTATCATTGTATTAGGGTTGGTCCCTTCAGCCCAGCATCTGATAGCTTATAGGTATTAATGTTATTGTTCTGCTAAACTCCAGATTTGGTACAAGAGAGGTGCTGAGGCTAAGAGGTGGTCAGACAGCCTCCTTGCCCAGATTTCACCTCTTCAGGCTACCGCAAAACTAAAAAGCCCTGAAAACCTCCTCAGCCACTGCTTGCAAGGGAAGTCTCTTGGAGCAGGCACATGGCTCCTGCTCAGCTCCAGGGCCCAGGAAGGGGAGCAGTAGGAGAGCACTGTGCTTGGGCTGCTCTTCCTGGCGTGGAGACCTGACACATCACTGCTAGGCTGTGCTGTGAACGTGGCAGATGGAAGCCAGGACCGTGGGCTGGGAGGGACTTTGTATGCTCGGCACAAGTGGGAAGGAGCAGGGAAGCTACCCAAAGGGGATTTATCATGCAGGAGATGGGAACAAAGCACAGGGGTGAAGACTAGACTCACCAGCTCAACCAACCGCAACTTTTTTAAGTTAGTGTTGCTGAACTTGTTTATAAAAGCACGCAAAGATTCATACCTTGTTTCCTACCCCACATTAAATTCAAAGGTGAAAAAGAAATGGTCTGCATAACAGGTTAGATGTTCTTCTGGTCCAAATTCCTCCCTAGTGCATTACATCGCACAGGCTAGCACATTATCATCACTGCTATTAACACTCAGCTGATCTTCGCTAATTTGATGCATCTTTTTTTTTTCCTAGAAATAAGTCTCTTGCTGAAATAACACAGTCAGATGTGTGCTCCACATGTTATTAACAGCACTGAATATGCACTAGATGAAGAACTTTACCTTTTCCTCTGCAGACTGGCCTGATCCCTCTTCTACGAATGCCATCTCAGCATTGGGGTGCAGTCCGTAGAGTAAAGGGCTTTCAGATGGAAGCATTTCATCTGTGTATTTATGGTATCCAGCATAATCCAAATTTGGTGGGGCCAAGAAACCTGGTGCCCTTTAAGCTTCAGTAAAAGAATCAATAATATTATTGATAATGCTGTCATCAGTTCTTGAAATATTCTTCTGCATCTACAAAGTTTCAGAAATTTGTCTGGAGTCTATGAATATGACATCTATAAGTTCTGATACAGTGGTACAGGGTTACCAAACTATTTTTAGCACAGTTACTACTTGCACACTTTTCTGACATTCCCATTTTCTGCAGTATTGAAATACTGTTGCTGCTTCCTTCATGAGGATGCTCTGAGTTTATTTTAAGGACTGTCACTACTGAGGCGAGTGTATTTTAAGTACTGAATTTCTGCATCCCCTCAGCAGACAAGCAAAGATTATTATGCCATTTTGCAGATGAAAGTCTGAGATACACAGGACAGAATCACATAGGACACCTGTGGGAGAGGCAGGACTGGAGCCTCAAGTCACCTGAACCCCCATCCTAATACATGAGCCACAACATTAATTCTATTTAGTGTGTCATTATCTAGGGGTTTTGCACAAACACACTGTGCTCATAATAACCTTAAAGAGGTCACAGGGAGAGACGGGTAAGTGGGGTGTGGAAATGGGATAGCACACGTCAATATACGAGCAATCTTAGCTTGTCAGAAACAGTGATCCCATTCCACTTTCCACAGAAATGGTTGCCAGTTAGGACATTTCTTTGTGTGTTGATGTCCCTTCCTTTCTCTTCTGCCTGGCTGTTAACACCTAGGAGCTGGAACAGAAAGGAAAAACAAGCTATTCCACTACAACTCTCAAAATGTAGGAATCTTGCATGGGGTTTTGTACTGCTGCCTTGGTCTCAATGAGAGAGACAGTGGCAATAATTTTCACAGCAGAAAAAGTTAAGGTCTCAATCAGCTCAATATTGAACTGAATACTATTAACTGCACCGCTCCTATAGAACAGGCAGGCCCTACCCCTGTCAGCATGTTAAAGGTAAGACTGAGGACTGTGGAGCAAGTCAAGAATTAAGTAGGTAGACAGAGGGCTTTGGTGAGATGTACTCTCAGTGGGCTGCCCTCCTACTCATGATAGGACAGAATAAAAGCTGTAGCAATATCACATTTATTTTCCAGGCTCCCCCAGCTCCTGTGCTGTAAGGACTTCACTGGATTCAGAGTTACTCTGAACTTGTTGTCATAAAGCTGTCTGGGATTTAAACCAGACTTGCAAGTTGTTTTTGCTGAAAAATATTTCTGGCTCTAAGTGGTACTTTTCACAGGAGCTATTTCTTCCTAATGCAGGGTCCACTCCACAAAATCACAATAAAATTTAACAGCTTTTGGCATTTACAACAGTCAACAACAAGCTGCTGCTCACAATAACACCAGTAAGCACTTATTTCTGAAGTCATTTTGGTTCTGCAACCAGCCATTTACCTGCGCCTGAACCTGCACCACTAACCTCACCTACAATAAGCTATGTCTTAAGACGCCACTTTGAAGTAGTGCTGAGGTTTTGAAAAAAGCCCTGTTATTCATCTCAAGTGGAAGATCAATTCTGTCAGACCATCTGTACTTACCAGTCTCTCTGCTGGCACTTAAATCGGGTTTTACTGTATTCCTGAGAGTCATGCGCACAGAGGGAGGCTGCAGGTTATGGGGCTTCATAGTGGGAACTCACCGTCCTTCTGTCCTTACAATAGATCCCAGGTGAGGTATAGGAAAGCTGACCTATAGTGGTTTATTCTAACACACCTCATGGAATCAATTTATAGCTAAAATAACTCATCAGTAATGCAAGCAGGTAAAAGACAAGGTAATCTCCCCAGTGAACACAAAGCGCCAGCACTGATGAAAGGCATTGCCATCCTGTTTGCATTCATTTGGCTGCCAGTCAATGACTGATTCTCTGGTTTTGCTGGTAATTCGGGGCTCTAACATTTTCCAATTACGGCAAAAAGCTCGGAAAGATATCTCACTGTTTAAAATACTAGTGGATCCACGCTCGGGGTTGGGTCCCTAAACTTTCCAAAGGCCATACAAATAGCAGTGATTCTGCTCAGGTTTCACCACCTATACTTATTTTACAATTATTTGAATGAAAGTTCAGGCTTGTGAAGGTTAATGGACTGCCTAAACTGGAAGCAGTAATTCTTTACTTATCCATAGGCTAGAGGCAGAGCCAGAGCCGGCAGGATGAGCTTCCCACCATGCCCCTGTGACCTCAGCTGTCATTTGGAGAAATCAGCCTCTGCCGAGGTCAGGAGTACAGTGGTGTTTAGCCTTTCCATCTCCATGGCAACTTACTCTTGGGCATCTTCTTCTGAGCAGTTACTTCCAATTGCCTTCATCTGAGCGTGGCTCTTTGACATATGGAAACCCACTTGTTAGGGACCGAGGAGACACCAGCAAGCTCATCTCGCTCACAGCCGAAAGGCAGGCTTCAGCCGCATTGCCAAGGGTGAAAAGTGCACTTTCCCCAAGTTAGCCAGGCTCCACAAATGGCCTGCTCACAAGTAACATGCTAATTTTCTTTTTTTTTTTTTTTCTCCCAAATAAGCTTTTTACCTTTGGACAATGAAAAATAACAAGTCTGGAAAGGGCACTTGAAAAATCTCTTGGCTGTTTTTAGCAAATTGTGTACAATCAGTTCTCTGAAGTGACTAGTTCAGCAGCTTGGAAGAAGCAGCCAGTTGGTTTTTTTTATTATTTTTATGTATACATACACACACACCCCCTATATATACATACACATTTTATATAAATGCATGTATATGAATATAGATTAAAGTGGTTACCATGCGAGCCTTTTTAGAGCTAAAGTTAAAGCAACATTTTATTTTTGTATCCTCAAAAATTCTAACATTTGTTTATGATTAGAAGCAACTTCGGCAATCTTGCACCTTGGACTCATGGATGCTCCACATACACTGCTGTCCAGGACCAAAACTCAGTAGTGAAATTAGAATAATTCAGTATATATCAGCTGGTGATAATCTGACAAAGCTACAAAAACAGATATGTGAGAGGGTTGTGGAAAACGAGAAACAGTCTTACAAACCATTTTCCCTATTTTGGAAACAGGAAAATGCAAGGAAATGCATAACATTTCCATTCTATTGTTTTTCCGAGGAAGAAAACATAGAAACAGTAAATGTAAGTTTTGAGGCTAGTCCCATTGTGGACTACTGTAACTAGTGAGTCTATCAAGTTAAGTTGGTTAAAGTGCAGTTCCATAAAAGATACTTTCCTATCCCGACCCAGACCTTTCTAAAGAGCAGCACCTTAGAAAAGAATAGTTTTATTAGGAAAATGGAAACCTCTGTGTACTATCCCCTAATGTCATTAAGCTGGCTATACAAGCAGTGTTACAAAACACTGAATTTAAGTTGCCAAGTAAGGGTGCTTGCAAAAGCATTTAAACAAGCAATATGCCAAGTCACAAATCCTTGCAGACAAAGTCTGCTCATGATGAATTACTGTACTCATTACGAGTTGGAGAATTTATTCCACCACAGCCAGACAAGACCTTGCTACAGGTGGGGCCGCATAGACAAGAAAGCTTGTGGTCTTCTCCACAAGGCTCCACTTCTGAAAGATGAGTTTCTCTTAGGTTGAACACGTTCAAGAGCTTTAGGCATATATGAAAGTTCTTACCACAGGTGGGCTGGTGAATTCTTGCAGATATATACCGCAGAGCCTGTGGTCCCAGGCGTCAGTGATGTGGCCACCGTACATGACCTCACCAAAGAGGTAATGCAAGTCTTCCCATGGAACCTACCTGAGGGAATAGAATGCACCACTGAATAAAACAAGTCAGCTTTCTAAGGCACGAACCAAAGCTGCTCAGAATAAATGCTATTATGAGAAACAAAAGAAATTCAAATACTTCCTTTCAGAAAGCTTCATGGTTATATATTCGCATTGCTGGTTTTCTTTGTTTAGCAAATAACTACATTGAGACACAGATTTCTTTTATTTCAATCCAGTGAGAGACATCTATAAATATCTGAGTAAAAATATCAAGTTTCTGACTAAAATTTAGTAACGGTGTAAAATTGTATCATCTGAGCCTTATGTCATGTTTTCTACCTTACCCCTTATGAAAAGGTTTTAAGAGAAAAGTACATTTTCAAAACACTGCATGATATAAAAGAACATAACTCATTAACGAGCACATGTATTTTCCCATACAGATCTTTAAAAACATAATCCTCATGAGTGATAGGAAGGCAACCTACTGTGCCTTTCTTAGAGGAAAAATAAAAAACTTGTATCTGATTGCAGTCTTTTATAGCTCCTCACTAGGAAACACTCCCTAACTGAAATTCTACATTATTTGAATTTGGGATATATTCAAGAACTTTGGTAAAAATTGAATTAATATTAATCCCATTACCACCACATCACGTAAGCATTATGTTTATTGTAGAACTCTAGTCATAATGCCACTGTTATAGCATGTGATTAACAGTGGTAACACATTTTATTCAAGCAACTACTGTCTTTCTCTTTTATTTGGCTTCACAGAGTTTGAAGCTTCTTTTTGCAACCCTTTGGTTTGCAAAATATGCCAGTTTGTGATGAAGCCTTCCCAGACAGGAACCTTTACCACCTTGGGGGCAGTATTTGCCTCCCAACAGTTCAAGTAAAAACTTAATTATAGGCTTTAAATATTGCGTGATGTGACAGAACAGAACAAGTAAAAGAGCTGCAGCTATTCCAGCCTGCTTGCTACAAGTTTATTTCAATTTAGATATGTGAAACTCTAATCCATCTTTCTTTCAAACTGGTTTGAAGAGAATGAAAAAAAAAAAAAAAGAAAAAAAAAAAGTCCACTGGAATATAATATGCAATGCTGCATGCTGGTGATGAGAAGCCTGAAGAGAGAATCCCTGTGAAAAATGCCAACAACTTGGATTTAGAATGAAACGTTCTTGCAGTTAGAATAAACCTGCTTTTCTCTTTGCCAGCAACAGAAACACATTTAATGTTTTTCTAATTTCATATACGTTTATCTCAAGAAATGGCTTTTTTCTTTGTCTTTTAGAAGAGTATATCAATATTCTAACTCAGTACAAGCTCATTCAGCTGCATACTTCTGGGGCACTGATTACAGTGGGATAATCAAAGCTTGTGATATAAAAGGGACATTTTTGCTAGTGTAAGAAAACAGAGGGGTTTGCATTAGAAATATTTTGGGCTGTCAGGTTTGCATAATTGCCATTGCACTAAAGAAAACTGGTCTGTTGTACTCAAAAAACCACTGAGCCGTTGCTCAGTGGATGGATATGGCAAGGACGGAGCCCACATCCCCCTCACAACATCGAACAACAATTCCATGAACATGCATATGGGGATCAGAAGGCAGAGGGGAAGAGCAGGACAATGAGACAGGATCAGGCGTCCTGCACTTCACCTGAGGAGACTTCAACTATCAGAGGTTAGTGTGGTGGAGTTTGTCTTAGCAAAAGGAAAATGGATTAAGTCAAACTGAGATGCAAGATGTTTAAATATTCACAGGGAAGCACCATAAACTGGTACAAGTGATGATGGAGTTAGGGCAATTTCCACTAGCTGATGGGCTAGCTCAAGGCTCCCAGTTTATGTATTCTAGTCAATCCCTAGTTGTCTTAAACAAAGTTGTCCCCAAAGGATAGTCAATTGGGAGATTTTTTAATACATATATATATATAGGTACACACATACGTGCGAAGTCACATTTTAAAAAAAACTATTTTCTCTTTCTTCTCTCCAGTATCTATGTTAAAAAAATGCTTATAAACCCACAGCGTAAGGAATCACTAACCAATACAACGAGAATGGCCAATAAACAGTATTACCAAGAGGAGAGAAGAAATAATTCTTGCTCTTACAGACCTTTCTAGTCCTCCCTGCCATCAGAATACTCCCTCTCATTAATTAGCAAAATTAATTATTCAGCTTATGAATTGTGGTTTCAAAAAACAGAGCTTAAAGCAGCAAGATTTATTAGCAAAGAAAACTAAGGGTTGGAATAAGCTGTTTTTATAGACTTTTTTTCTAAATGGGAAGCATTATTAAATCATCACTATAAAATTAAGCAATTATTTCACTATGACACCAAGTACCACAGAAAGGAAAAACAGTTTCATGTCCTATTAGCTAAATAAAGGTCAGTAGGGGTAAAAAGAAAAAAGAAGAATTAATTTCTAAGAGTAAATACAAGTTGGGAGATATGGAGAAAACCATATCATCAAGGGGTGATATTTCCCTCTCTTTTTTTCTTCATAAGTATCTCTTAAATTTCTTTAAATTACTAAATGAGATGACCTATCCAGTACTATCCTATATCATTCAGTAATAAATAATTATTGCTTTTATTTAGGCATTTCATATAGAGAACTTACACAAATAACCTCAACTGAGTATTTAAACTATACAAGTGTGAAATATGCTGTAGCTCAGAAATAAAATCACTCATCTACCCTTAACTTTGACTCAAGGGGAACATTACTGAGAAAGTCACAACAAGGTGGCATCCTTAATACATAATAATGACACATGCAGGAAATGCACCATTATTTATACATGTGACGTGCTGTAAATTGCTTCCATCATCAGAACTAATTGTAGTGATTATTAATGCAGTGTTATGAACTGTCAGAATTGCTGTATGTAATTACATTTGTGCAAATGCTTCATTACCTGCCTAATGAATTTGGCATATATGCACATGTAAACCACTGTTTTTGTTAACATAATGAAGGGCATTTTTTTCCCCCTTAGCTAGTGATGTGGAACTGGTTTGACCTATGTTACAAGGTTCAAGCATCCACTGCCAGAAAAAAGACCACACCACACCCTTTTCCCCCCCCACCTTTGATCTGGTTTATTTTCATATTCAGCAAGAGCATCTTATTGTGCCAGCTACTTAAATAACAGCTTCAGAGAAAGAACTGTGTCCCCCCTCATTCAGTATATACAGCTGATGGAGTTAAAATGACCTTGGTGTGTGGTTACCTGACCACTACTTCTTACCTTTGTAGGGGTCTCTAAATTGTTGCCAAGGACAGTGACGCAGATGGCGAGATCTCTAGCACTGAACGGGTACCTTCCATTCCAGCCCTGAGGGCCAAACTTCAATCTCCCAGCAATGCAACTGTGAAAATAGCGCAAGAGAAAAAAGGATGCTTTTAAATTCCACTTCTCTGGTACACAGTTCAAGGGTATCCTGCCAAAGAAAAAAGGAATACGTTTATCGTGTTAGCAGCCGGCAGTGTTACCGATAGCTGTGCCTGTCTCAGCTGCTGAAAGGGAGCACTCGCAAGCCTGGAGTTTGAAGGAGAGTGAGAAACAGGTTTCTTAGTGATCAGAGTCTACTAGGCAGTACTTTCTGCAGTAATTCCCAGATGCAAAATTGTTGGTCGTTACCTTTTTATTTCCAAATGTCCCTTAGGAAAGGAGAACTGTTGTGCTACTGAAACCAATAAAAATAGAGACTTTAACTAGAACTCTATATTACTTGGATAAGTGCTACAATTTCTTAGCATAAAAATCATCCATAGACTTTATCCCAAGTAGGAAATTTGTCAGTATAACATTTATTAAAAAGCATACTATTCCTTCAAATTTTACAGTTTCCCAAAAAGCCATGTTTGAAATTGAATTTTAATAATTTTATTTTTTTGTTGCTTCCTGTGTTTATAGTGTTAGTAGAGAATCTCAGCAAGATGAGATTCTGCACAGGGCTTCAGCTGTTTTTCAAATTACTGAGACAAACTATTTGTCATTTGCCTAGAAAACTTGCAGAAATTAATTCTTAGTTCTCTAACATTTTTCTATATCCTATCTTTTAGTTTAAGAAGTAATTGACATAAAATTACTTTTCACACCCATAAAAACATAGATGCGTGGAAGGAACTTCAGAGAGATGAACTCTTGGCTGTCAAAAGGAAATAGGTCATCCTGAACTGAACAACGGGTAGCAAAATCTGAGCAAAGGTGAAGGATTTTATGTCTGACAAAGCCCCCTCCTTAAGTGAGAATCCTGAGCTTAACCATGAAAAATACAACACAAGCTTCTATCCTGAAGAAAAGCACAAAACATGAAATATATTCCACCTGGATTAGGCATAGTTTGATTTTCTTATTACAATTCTCCCCCCCCCCCCCCTCAAATTAAAATACCTTAACCAGAAACATATTAAAGACAGTGTCTGGACAGGAATTTTTAGTAAGCCACAAACACCCATGGCTCAAAATAATGGGGGAGAAAAGAGAGTTTTCTAAAGTTTCAAGCTTAAAAATTAGCTAATTAAAATACATACATATATATATTTCTTGACCTGAACACAGCCTGAAGTGGGACAACAATGCATATGAATTGCCTTTATTAAAAACTTCTAGCTTTTTCAGCTTTCCATTAAAAATATTATTATAATAAGTTATAAAAAAAAGAAAAAAATTGCTGCATTAATTGTTGTCTGTTTAGCTACAAAACCACAGCCATTCTTCCTTTCTCAGGAATATTTTTGCAAATCACCTCACACTATCAAAATCAATCCATTTGTAGCCAAGGTAGCTTTGACACAGCTCTTTTAGCGCACGGCTCTTTTTTTTCTAGGCATTGGTTAGCAGAGTTCCCTTTAAAAGAAATCCTTACCATTTTCACATCCAAGCTCTGCCTTCATGTGTCCTGTGCTCAAATAAACACATGTTAATAGATCGCTGGAAGGCTAAGTGTACAGTTATGGTTGCCTTTATCATGGTCTGCTTTGCTGACATGAATAAGCTTGCTGCTCCAGCGCTTTTGCCACTGCAGGGAAGCTGATTTGCACCGATCTTCAAGATCTGCCCACAGATTCCTCAGGGTAACAGACAGGGATAACCAGGGACCCAGAGGGAAGGAGGCTACACACATCCAGTGACACCCCTGTCCTCCACATTCTCACATCATCTTTCTCTTACTACTTCTCCCCACCCATCAAGCAGCTCCGCAGAATGTCATGCAGGGAAAGAGTGAAAGACAAAACAACAAACAGCGTGTCATCCTTGCTCATGAATTCCTTTCTTTATGCAGACTACAGGAATTCATACACAAGGCACTGAGCCATTGCCTGAATATCTGGCTACATAAATCCACTCTGTGGGAGAATGGACATGGTCGAACCAAATTTCGAGCTGAGCAAAGTTAGCGAGTACCATTGAATGAAAGAGCACTGGTTTCAGAGCATGGAAAGATTTTTTCATAAGACTGCACCACTGGATAAAGCTGGTGTGATAAATGCACTTCTTTCTATCTCTCTAAGCATACCTATGCATCTCTATATCGAATAATACAAATGTACGCATTATTGTCACACCTTTCCTCCCGCCCAGCATTGATGAGAAACACGGAGGCAGCGCAGGGCACGGAGAGCTGGCACCCTGCAGCTGTCAGGTTAGTTTGGAAGCACAAAGATCCCAAAGTTCTGGTCTCCTACAAAGTGGTCATCAATGTTACCACTTCTCCCCACAGGGGAAGCAGTAATTAAAACAAATGAAAAAAAAAAAAAAGGTACCTCTCACTTTTACCTGTAGAAAGCGGCATGTAAATCAGCCAGCATCCCTATAGGAGGTTCACTGGTGATTTTAATTGAGCTTTCTAGTATTCCTTGAGGAACGATATGCTTTTCTGGGGTTGGAGCTGCTTCAGCACTAATAAAGACATGGAAATCAGGATGACTTTCTTCACTGTATTGCTCAAGGAGTTCTTCCAAGGTTCCTAGCCACTTGGCTACTAGATGAATACACTGTTGAAAAACAGCCAACACTGCTATTGTGAGAAAACAAATAAATTTGTTATCCTTAAGACATTGGTATTGCACCTTTATAATGGAAAATAGTTAAGTTACTTAATTCAAAGTATCATTTTATTATTAAATAAATTGATAACACAAAGAATAAACTCGAAGATTCTTAGCTACTGCCATTTCTTGATATGTGTTGAAACTCAAATTGCAGCTCAGCCATGCAGCTTCTCTCTGGCTCTTCACTGCTGTGCCAGAACCTGCTGATTGCACTGGCTTCCATCTCTGCGCAGCGCAAGAGGAATTACAGCTCTGTACATCAGCCAAGGAATACGACGTGTCAGTCACGCTCTGGCTGTTGCATCACTTTATCATGAGACCTGCTGCGGGGGATATTCCCAAATTGTCCCTTGACATGTGGAAAAAGCAATAGAAGAATGGAACGAGAGGGAGACTTTCATATCACATTACATGATAGCAGCCTGGTGGCGTCTGCATTTTCATATAGGCTACATCCATCCACTGCAAAGTGGAAATGATTCAAACCTTACTATAGTAACAAAATAACCATTCAATATATCAGATGTGTGAGTTTGAGAAATTAAGAGTGACAGAAGAGTTAAACCCATTACCAAAAAATATCAAGTCAGTCTTTCTTCTGCCAGTTTACCAGCCGCTGTGCCAACTGTTTTTGCTAGATCTGAAGCTAAAGTAATTTTTAAAGTATTTCCCAGGTCAGTCAGAATCCCGTTTTTTTTTTTAATATCTAATTATGCACCCCCTAACCTCCAACAAAATGCGTAATAAAATACTCCATCTTTTTGCTCCAGGATTTTTTTTAAAACATAAACATATAGAGGTTTGGGGCTAAAACCCAGAAGGCTGAACCTTGAGGAGCACTGAGTACATCCAAATCCCACAGCTCTAGCTAGCTTAGTACCATTTGGGATTTGGTCCAACATCTTTATGTAGTTTCCTTTCGGACTTTCCTCAGTCCTTCACTAGCAAAAATCTTCACAGCAAAATCATCACCTCCTTCCTCCCTCAGAAGCCGTGCTAGAAAATGGAGCAGGTCTGCAACACCAGAAGCCTCTCAGATGTTCCCCATTTATCCCCGTGGCTTCAGACACACAACACTGCTGATTTAGGGCCTCTGCCATCTCCCATTTTCTCACCCTGTCCCCAGAGCAGCTGAGAACACCTAAATTCCCCTGAAAACCAACTCTGCTCTTTCCTTCACAACACTATTTCTATACTCACTAGCAGAAAAGCAGGGTTATTTTCAGACTAGCATGACTAGCTTACTCGTGCGAAAACTGGTTAAAGAATTCTTCCAGATTCACTGTCGATGAAGGGGTCAGTTTGTGCATGTTTGCACAGCACCTAGCACACCAAGGCCCCTCACTAATCCCACAGTGACTTTATGTCAGCTGACAGACAGCACTGAGTCTAGCCTACCTCTTCATTAGTTGCAGGCAACCTGGTTGACAGCCAAGCATTGCTGAGGTTAAAACCAGAAGAGGAGGGAATCACCCCATCGCCACGACCTCCTTAATATCAAGATCTGGATCACGCATTTCTTGTTTGGCTTCAGGGCAAAGGGGTTGTTACAAATATCCATTGGCTATTTAGCATAAGATGGTGGGAGGGAAGCAACTTCTTTCATTAGCATTAACAATTGCAGTGCTCCTGTCCACTCTGTTACGGGGCTGGGAACTGCAGCTCGCCAGGGGATTGCACTGATCTTTTTGTCAGCTGCAGAGTGGGTTCTCAGTCCATACAATGCTGGCCAAAGCTGCAGCTGCTATCTCGGAAGAGCAGCATTCCAGGGCTAATTATACAGCTTCCCAAGGGGGAGTCAGACCCATTTCATTACAGTGTCCATTATGGTCCACTGAAGGGAACAGGAGCTCTTAATTATGCGGGGGAAGTATATGCCTGAGGGCAGTCCTACCTACCCACCAGAGGCTTTCTATTTTATCTCTCCTCTTTCTCCTGTATTAATATGATGTTTATCCTGTTACAATCAAAAGCAAAAGCCAAAAGGAACAAGATTATTAGTGGTTTAAAACTTTTTCTGTAATCTACCACATATTTTGTTTGGGTTCTGGCAACATCCCTCCAACTGAGGAGATAGTCCCCATTAGAGGGGGACTCTCTTGGAAAAGAGGTGACACTCACTTGGAAAAGAACCCCATGGCCATGTCTGGCAGCCTTCTCAAGTGCCTCCGCTGCAACCATCTCCTGCCCTTGTCCCAGAGAGATGCTACAAAATCTTCCAGAGTCTACAGTGAACCCAAGCTTTTTGCCTGTAGAAGAAATAATGGGGGAAGGGTGAGTGACAGAGGGGGAGGAGATAGGAAAATTAGCAGAGCAGAAAGGAAAAAGAATGATAATGCCCCCATTAATTTCACTATCACTTGTGCAATGCATATTACTTCTTCTGAAGCACTTCACTAAACCCTTACAATTTCAACAAGCAAAATTGCGAGCTCTCAACAGTGGCCTTATTGCTGGTATTAGAAAAAGCCTGCAGAAATCTGTTCCCTTGGTTTTAAGATAATGAACCTTTTGACATTTTGATAGATGCTCGGCATTGTTACTGAGCTTTAGAAACTCTTACAGGGGGTACAGAGCAATTCCCTTATGAAAAAGGGAGCAACATGTGGTAGATATCACATCAGTTTTTTAACTGATTGGTTCAGTGGGTAAATGCACAAGCCTCTCACCTTGTGAGGCCTGAGTTTAAATTGAGCACAGTGAGGTCACAGCTGTATTAACCTGGTATTCTCACTATTGTCTGTGGGGAATAGTAATCCTACGTATAAAGCCACAGAGCCCTACACAATTGAATATAGTTTGTATAATGACCATTATTTAGTCACAGGGGGCACAAGATTACATGAGCATGGAGAAAATTGCCCTCTGGCCCTCATCTAGTCAAAAGGTAGAAAACAGTACAAAGGAAACCTGCATTATGCCAAGCAGAGGAATGCTCGGTCTAAAAATTTCTTCATACTGTAGCTTATGTCCTTACATTTTCATCCACCCCATTTACCATGAATATGGTGGAGGTGGAAGAAACTTTAGAACTTGAATCTTCTGCTGAAAATAAACCACGTCCAACTTTCCCGTAGTAATGCACACTCCATCATAGTGACAGATGATTCCAGAAACCTTTGTTCTGTTTAGTAAAAATACACCCGTACGTGTTCAGGCACATACACACAAGCGTATAACCATATCTCGATTTATCTACATTTCTAGTCCTGCATGCTCCATTTCACTTTTGAGCTCAATTTTTCTTTCTTTAGTGGGGGGACAGTTGAGTGATCTTTGCACCAGAAGCAAATAAGAGGCTTACCTAGTGTCTCAATATCTTCAAGGGGGTCTCCTCCTGGAGACAGAATGAAAAACATAGGAGTGGCTGGACTGCTTCCTTCATAGGATTTTGCAAAGTCCATCCTTGTGCTTTCCTTATATCTTGAGCCAAGCTTGTCCTCCACAAAGTTCCTACACATACAAAAAACCATGCGTTAAACTCTAAAAACATTCCCTGATGCAGGCTTCAAGCCTGCACCATTCTCAGACTTGAGTGGCTGACAATGATGGTCTAATAGTCATTTCATCACATCTATGAGATCATCACTTGGGATCAAAAGATGGAAACAGTACAACTGGAAAACAGCTGGGAGAAGATTTGTAAGTCAGTCACAACTGACTCTTTCTTGGTATCACAGAATTTTAAAGAAGAGAGACCTGAAAAATTGTCATCTCGTGGGGTCAACTACCAGCCCTAATACCATAATGAGAACTAACACCGAGAAATAAATTTTTAACTATTAACAACATAGCTTACTATATTCCATTTATTAATGAGCACTCTCCTCAGGGTACCTATATAGAATCTAAAACAAATCACAAGCATAGCTCTCCAAATATGCTGTGACTCGTGTCTCACCACACTACCTCTTCATAAACTCTTTACCAGCAGAACAGGCTGGGAAGGACCACAGTCATTGATTTCAAATTCTGGTTGATCACCCAGTTTTATAAGTTATTTGCTTGCCTTAAGATCTGAGTTTTCTCCACACTGACACGTACAAGTCACCCTCACACACACTTGCCCTGAAAGACATACCCTCAGATTTCATACCCAAAAGCATATGTCATTCTGTCCGGACGGAGCGCCCTCAGTATGATTAGTTTCTGAAGAGAGCTTTTGTTTGTCCATTCCTGGGGGAGCTTTTCATTTTCTGGACATTCTGAGTTCACCCACTTCTTCTGCCTCTCGGTGAATCTTTCAACATCTTTATCTCACCCCCGGAACACATCCATCACTTCCATAGCCTGGACACGTGCCAAAGATAAATACAGATGACGTACCTTCTGCGTGAAGACTGAAATGGGAAGAGAAAGACTGATGCTTTTGGGTGTATGTAAAAAAACATAGTTTAACCAATTACAAGGGACTCAGGACTCACCTTAAAATACTAAATTACACATATATACACACAAATAAAAATAATATTATTGATAAGAGTTTGCTTTGGTCAGTATTGCCATACTCTCTGCTTACTGTTAAACATCAAGATATGACAAACTGGAAACTTTGTATGGGACATTTACTATAGTAAGGAGTGGTATGAAGAACAAAACTGTATTTTTAGGGGACTGGACAAATTATGGTAAAAGAATTTCCTCATAAAGCACAGCATGTGATATCTAAGGAAAAATACACTCAAAAAGCAAAGACAACTCCTCTTTGAAAGCACCAGTAGTTCTACTAAAAATCACAGTTGAATGTATGACTTTATCTGAAATTGTCTAGTTGTAGCATGCCTCCAGAAATAACATCAAAATAGATTTAGAACTGAAAAGCAATTTTCCCAACCTACCCTAATGACACTCTATGACTGAGTAGTTAAGAAGTCAACAGGACTCCTGTAAGTGTGTTCAACTTTGAATTGAAGAAGGAAATCCAATTCAAGCAGTTCTATCTTTTTACTTCTTAGAAGAATCCTGACAGCATACAAAATTGAAAAAGGTCATCAGACTTGCTTCAAAGCCACTTCTGCCTTAAAGTATTCACCACTCAAAGTATTACTGAGTAGGGAGCTCAAAGCGACAAGAATTCCTACGGCTGCATTTTTTGAAACTCTGATATAAGAATTTACGACTTGTTTTAATGATATTTTAAAATATTTATTTGAAATCTATTGTGAATGAAATGATATTTTTAGATATTAGTCACTAAAGGATGTGACAAATTTTTTGAAAACCATTCCTAAACACACACACAGAGCTGAACTTTACCTGTTAAAAAAGATACCACAAAACCCAAACACAACCTGTCAGTCAAAACTTTTTGCAGAAAATATAACTGCTTTATATATATACTTTTTTATATATACTTTTTTATATCTACTATATATATTATATATATATATTAAATATGTATGATATATATAATATTTATGTACTGAAAGACAAATTCACCCCAAATTTAAGATGAGCTAACCAACACCACCAGTTATTTTTCTTTAGCTTGTGGGAACATAAACAAACATAAAAATGTAAGTAAGTCTTGCACACTGAAGTTAACCTTAGATAAACTTGGCCACAAATTATTTTATACTAATACTACCAAAAAAGCACAGATTTCTGGATTGCACTTAATTATCTCTACCTATCCTTTTTATGTCTCAGAAGATAGAGAGAAGAACAAATAGTGCACAGCTGTTTCCATCACCATTCTAAGCCCTCTTCAGACTGCAAGCTGTCACAAAGCTTTGGGAAATTTGCAAAGCCTGAGTGGTTTTCATTGTTGGTTTTTGTTTGGGGTTTTTTGGGGGGTTGTTTTACACTGAATCAGTTCTGGCACATGAACTGTATGTATACTGAAGAAAACTCCTCAGCTTCTACGAGGGTTTTTTCTAGTTCTTTTAACACTTTAACCACATGTAGTGGGAAAAAGAGACACCTTTGCCATGATACCATATATTCTCTCTCCTTTCTGATATAAACACATCTTTATTCCTCTATTAAAAGCCCTCTCTCTTTCCATCTAAAAATATAGTTAATAAATCAGAAGTTTATTGTGCCCTTTACTCTGGTTTCTGTCTACTCTGTAATTGAGATTGAGCTTATTTTAGATGCCTTACAGATTTCCATTCTTCATGATCCCTCCCAGTACCACTGCTACAACAAAGACAAAAGTTAAGCGACACAGTGCTAGAAACCTAGGTGATATGAAAATCCATCTGCACCATGATGCAGAGTAATCATCACCAGTTTTCTTTCCTCTCTTTTTTCTCCTTTCTCTTCTAGTCATTTCTGTCTGCTTTTTACTCCCATTTATACACTGTGTACAGTGATTTCTTTTTTCCTATCCACCCTCAAATCAGATTTCTCATTTTATATTTTTTCACCTTCTTCCCAAACTGTTGGTTTCTAGTTTAATTCCTACCTGTGTTACTGTCCAGCTCAACGACACACCCTCTTTTAAAGCAAGCTTGTCAGGGGAAAATCTGCCACCCAGTAGAACTGAGCACTCATTTTTTCCAGGGCATACAGATACTAAAATTAAAAGGAAAAATAACAGCCTAAATGTGATATGGATATGTATTATTTGCTGAATTCTTACTTTACATACCACATCAATTTCAACCCTAATTATCCAACCACAAGTGGCTAAGTCGTGCTATTTTTCCTCAGTGTAGCTTCATGAAGCCATTGCAGCATTTTAAATGAAAAGAATGACTTAAAAGCGTCTTTGGAAATTCTGCAATTATGATTGATACTGAAGCAGCAGTCACACTGTGTGAGAATCTGCACAGCCACAAGGTAACAAGAGAACTTGTCTGGGCAGAGGCATCACCTTCTAGTGAAGAAACAGCAAATCCAGTAAATATCAGCATCACCAATCTGAAAATTTTTCCTCACCTGAAAAGCTATTTGGGCCAAGAAAATGAGCTTATCCTTTTCAAAAAGTCCTTGGCTTGTGAAAATAAAGGTTGAATATGTGACAGCTACGGTCAGGTTAGAGATATGACACTGAATGTCCCCTGATTTTTCAGCCTGCTTTATTGCTGCTTTGTGGAAGACTGCATTGAAGGCCTGAAAATAAGTACGATTGTTTTTATTTATTTGAATTCTGCTTTTTTGCTTTTCTACTTGTAAGATAATCGGTTTCTGACTGTAGGCTTCCAAGAAGAGCTGGTCTAAGCAGTCTAAAATGCAAGGCACTTCTGCCAAGAGGCTTTTGAGGAAACTTTCAGCAAACCAGGAGTGAGGGCTGCAAACGGTAATACTCTTCTGCTTCCTTATTTAACTCAGCAGGCAGAACCTCTCACTTAAGCAAGCTGGTAATTTTGCAGTGGGTGATACTCCTTTCCTCATAGCATTAGATTGTTTGATAGATTTATCACAGTGGATTGTTTATACATAATCCCTCAAAACTCTTCATACCTGACCCTGTGGGATGGCTTAACACAGGGAAGGTAAACTTTGCAAGCACAGTCAGAAAACACCATCAGAATGGAGACTGCTGACAAAGAGACCCATGGGAATGTACCGTGTTTTGGACCAGCAGGAGATCACACTGTGTCCTCCTTTCTCAGACACACAGCCCTGCAAATGTAAACATCTGGTACAAGTAATAACTAATATATTGGGCATCACTGCTGGAGGCAGAATTCTGTCCCTTGCACTTTGAAACCACATCATCAAGATAAATTTTTACCTTCAGTGAAAACTGGTAAATGGGGTTGATGCTGTCCAGACTGTTATTAATGAAGTAAAGAATGGATGCTCTTATGGCTGTCAGTCTGTAATGCCATCTTGTCACTTTAATCTGAGCTTCATTTTCTTTGGTTTCAGCTACCTATAGGATGACAGTTGTTTCATTCATTTTTTAATGCGCCATGATTTCCCACACAATTACCAAAACATTCCTATCTGTACAAAAAAGAATATGGACGTACTCTAGAAAATGGACTTTATTTCAGACAGTAGCAAATATTTAAGGTAAGCAAGCTTCTTATCTTAGACAGACTTTAGGGAATGACTGTTGTCTGCAGCAATATGCCTATTCACCTGTGAAAACATGGCATCATATATGAATACATTTGTTCATATTGCATGCTGATACTTATTTCTCTTAGGAGTACTAACTCAAGCACCTAAGTCAAAATGAAAAAAATGAATATGTGACAACTGCATACCATAGATATGAAACTGTGAATATGTGGGTGGACAGCCCTTGCTGGACAGACAGGAATTTGAGTATTCCTAGCTCATAGAAAAGTTTTACCCCCAAAAAATTGATAATACACATTTTACAGGCGACTTTAAGCTGTTAAAAATAGTTCAATTGTTATTACCTTGTGCTGTATTTCTGCTGCAGTTGACCTTGTTGATTTGAGTTTCTCTACAAGTTCACTGTTGTCTAAGAAACTGCCCTGGGCAGCTGACAGGCTGAGCAGCATGTCATCCTCCAGCTGCCTGAGCTCAATCTTGAAATGGTTCTGCTGCTCGGCCAGGACTGACGAGCAGAGGGAACGAAAACACTGGATTTAAACAACCACAGCAAGAAATACTGTTTTGCATCATTTCTGAGCTATATTTCCTGTTTAATTACATCAATCAATTTAATTTAATTTCTGAAAGAGACAGTTCATCTTCTGTCCCAGTACAATAGAACTAAGCTTCTGGGACACCCAAAGCAAGAAGGTCAGAGTCACCACAGACCAGAACTTTATCTCTCTCCTACCCTCTTTCCTCCTCAGACTATACAAAAGGACTGGGATCTTGCCAGAGATGGCAAGTGATAATCTACGTGGCAGCTGAGAAATCCAACAATAGCACAAGGCTGGAGAACCCCACTTTGGCAGCAAGTAGTGTGGTAAAGCATGGTTGTAGTCTGCTCAGCGGGACTGACCTTCTGACAGTGAAAGAGCTTTACTAGTCTTATGGGGAGCTCTCCATCAGAATCCGACCCTCGCACCAAAAGCCCCTAGGTGATACAGGCATTGTAAGCACACAGCCCCATGTGGAACAATGTGCGGATGCAGAGGAAAATGGCCAGCTGTTTTCAGATCATGTTCCCAAGTATATGGCTTTCATTCTTCAAGGGGTAATTAAAGTCTCTGACCTGGTTTGCCCTTGCATGAAGCAGCAGTACCTCAAAGAGGTGTAGCAAATCTTTGTGGATGAAGTTAGTAAATTACATGAGATAACTGGAAAGACACACTAGAGAAATAGGAAGTGTTCTTGTTATTCATTTCACACCCCTAAGTATTTTTTTTCATTTTTTAGCTCATAGATCACAGTCTGCTCAAAGTCCTTTCTATAACCAGCTATAAAAGTGTTCCTATTCATAAGTTACTATACATTGATATGACAGCAGCAGCCACAGAACTGCATCTTTGCAGGAATAAATTATGATTTATTAACCAAATGCCCCAGGTCCTAACAGTGCCATCATATCCTGTTATGGACTGGCATGAAATTTTATTCACACTTATTGGCTCAAGATCACTGAAGCACAAAGCACTGCAGAGGGCTTTAATCCTGCATTGTAAATTAAATGCAACGCACAGAGCAAACCAAGCAGTAGAGAGAAGTGTGGGAATAAGATCACAATAAATATAATTTCTAGCAGAGCTTTAGGTCAAGCCCAGCTCTCTGGGAGCATGGATTTGAGTAAATCAGTAGAAGTCCTTTCTACGCTTTGAAGAATCTGACCCTTAAAATCTTTCTAATACACGGGTTACTAACAATTACTGTACAGCAGATTCAAACAGGCATATTAATGCTAGTCTTAAAATCTCAGAAGGGGTGATGGACAGATCAAAAGTTAGTCTTTACCTTACTTCCTTCTAAGTCTGGCCTTTCAGCACTAACAACCTCAGCCAACAGCTGGTCTTCCAGCCTGCCCCTGGTGACAGTGAAATTAATGAGGGTGGTCTGAGCCTGCAGTTCTGGCTTGTAGTCAGTTCAGTGTGAAGGGTGAGACAGAAATTCTTGTTGAATTCACATTCTTTGTCCTCAATCTTGATATATCTGGGAAGGAATAAAATGCACAAGAATGGGGATCTCACCAAATTAAAAACCCATAAATATCTTAGATTGCAAAAGATGGGTACTGCATGATCTTGGCAGCATTGGAAATGGATACAAACCAAACTCTAGGTGCCTGCAGCTTAAGAAACAAAATGAGGATGATTGAACACACCAAAATTATATGAAGACTACAGAGAGCATTTCTTCATTGGCATAGTTTCATTTGCATATACAGCAGACACACACAGATTATTCACTGCTGTACTGAAGAGTCTGTGGCTTAGGGGTAAATGTCTATCTTCATTACTTACCACAAACTTAGGAAAGTTTTCAAACAACCCTTAATGACATAGCTGTTAGTTCTTACAATCATTTTCTTAAATATAGCTCACTTTTCCATCTTTTGAAATAGCTTAGCAGTGAATCCTAAAAAATAAGCAGATGCATATAACAAACTGATAGAGACCAGAGGAGAGAGAAGGGCTGGTAAGTGGAACAACAAAAAATCACTTTTTAAGGCAAGCTACTAAATGTTTCGTTCCAAATCAATTATTTGCTGGGTGAAAGAATGAGTGAGACTAGGTTCACCTTTTATTCACTGAATAAGATCCCTTACTCAAGAGATGGCATTTACTAACCCCTTGTCTTTAACAAGAGGTGCCAGCCTGTTTCATACAGCAACACTACTACCACTGAAGTGCCATTTTGGAGCCCAGCACTGAGGCAACATAAAGTTCACCTTCCTACTTTTATGGCACAGCACCAAAAAAATGGAAAGACTGCTTATAGACTACAGTGTATGCTGCGCTTCTGGTCTGGTGTGAGCAGGTGCCACAACTTTGTGGCATCTACTTGCACAGTGAGCAGTATGCCAACCTTCAGCCATCACCTGCCACACACGAGCACAAGTACAATATTTTCTGTACGGCAACGGCTTTGAATGTTTTCTGCCAAGAAAGAAGATCCAAACGTTAGTAACAAAATTCAGTTTAAAAAAAGTCAGTAGAACATTTATACAATGGAACATAGGTAGACATAAACCCTTTCCACAAAATTCAAATTGACATTTGTTAAGTCAAATTAATCTTCAAAGTGATTGCAATAGCATAGATACAAAACACTTAAAATGCAATTAATGAAAGCCACATCAGAACATGAATAAAACAAGTATTTTATGTACAAATTTTAACATTGCATTCTTTCTAGGATATCATAGGGCATTACCAGAGTCAGGGACATATATTTCAGCTCTTAACATCCTTGCCTGCTTCTGACATCCCCTTAGCCAGAAGACATAGGCTAAATGAAATGGCGTGCTGAAGCACTTCTGCATTTCACCAACAATCAGGAAGAAAAGACAGTCACTTATGATATACTGCAAGTGAATTCCTAAAAATAACCTAATAAGTCTAGTTCTAGGAAACCCATGGCTCCACAAAACTCAACATCAGACATATATTTGTATACTACTGCCATGCAAACTACTGGAGACAAGTTTTCCTGGCTTGTGCTTGTATAATAGTGAAATAATTTAGCCATACAGTCATGTCCTTCAGATAATACAACTTTCTCAGGTAGATATGAATTCACCTTCCAGTTCTGCAACATGGATTTCAAATCTGATACTGTGGTCTCTCCACAGCCTTCAAAACTGGCCACAACTGGAGGGAACAAAATAGTAGAACTTGACACAGAGAGAGGAATTTTGCTTCGCTTTCAGTACACACACAGGGACAAGAGACAAGCAGAGATCTGACAAAAGACAACTTTTCAGTTTGCTTTGTCAGTGGAAAAACCTTTGCTAAGGGAGTCACACTATACTTCAGAAAGTCTATGTGGCAATATAATAAGCTTTAGAGTTCTGGATTCAAGTACTTACTTTATGGGTTCTCAATTCACAGGAGCAATAAATTACCAATTTCTGTGATTATCATCTATGAAAGGCAAAAACTACATAATGAGTCAGTGGGTTTTATTACTGCAGCTGTTCTAGGTTTTCTGTTAATTACAGATCTGGGAAAAATAAATGTTTTGTTATTGCTCTCACACGGTTCAAGGGGTATAAGCAACAATGATAAACACAGAGGTGGGGAAACCCAGTAGAATCGCTTCATTTTTTTCAATGAAAGGTATCTGTTTAGAGGTTAATTCTGGATTCTGGATTCTGAAGAAAGGTAGCAGATATAGGCACTATTTATGGAAGTCCATGATAGAAGGCATATCAAAAAAACGGTTGCCAATGAAATTACTAAAAACAAGTTCTACTTTTGGTAATTTTTCCTTCATAACCTCTGTCATGGTTTAACCCCAGCCAGCAACTAAGCACCACGCAGCCGCTCACTCACTCCCCACCCACCCAGTGGGATGGGGGAGAAAATCAGGAAAAGAAATAAAACTTGTGGGTTGAGATAAGAACGGTTTAATAGAACAGAAAAGAAGAAACTAATAATGATAATGATAACACTAATAAAATTACAACAGCAATAATAAAGGATTGGAATGTACAAATGATGTGCAGTGCAATTGCTCACCACCCGCCGATCGACACCCAGTTAGTCCCTGAGCGGCGATTCCCCCCACCCCACTACCCCCAGTTTCTATACTAGATGTGACGTCCCATGGTATGGAATACCCCTTTGGCCAGTTTGGGTCAGGTGCCCTGGCTGTGTCCTGTGCCAACTTCTTGTGCCCCTCCAGCCTTCTTGCTGGCTGGGCTTGAGAAGCTGAAATCCTTGACTTGAGACTAAACACTACTGAGCAACAACTGAAAACATCAGCGTTATCAACATTCTTCTCATACTGAACTCAAAACATAGCACTGTACCAGCTACTAGGAAGACAATTAACTCTATCCCAGCTGAAACCAGGACACCTCCTATTTCACCAGCAGAGGTAGATAGAACGGACTGAATTAATGCATTCTACCAAGGAATAGACACAGTATCTTTCATGTGAGCTCCAGCTCAGTGTTATTTAAGAACATACAAAGTAAATTAAAGAGAGATTGTTGTCCACTAGTTTTTTTTCTGCTGAAATTCTTGTAGATCTTGAAATAAAGTAGATTAAGGGACTCAAAAGGGATTCACAAAGCACTTTAAAAATCCTGTATGCACTTTGAGGAATAACTGATTTTTAGCAAAAGCAAATATAAAACCAAATAAATTTCAAAAGCTAACATGAGCACTAAACTCTCAGCTATGAGACGTCTAGGAATAGTGCAACACCTGGTCTGATCTGTCAGAATTTGAGTTACCGGCACAAAGACCTGCTTTTCCCTTGCATATGAGCTGCCTAAGGAAACAATGCCTCGGTCTTTCAAAGACAGGATCCCATAAACATGAAAAAGTCTTGAGTATAGGAACATGACTTCATATCATGAAATGGCTCAAGAGTTTATGCAAAAACTTTTCTTAGCAGATACTTTCATGCAACTCAAAATTAAAGAGAGTACCTTTCATCAGGGCAGATGTTCTCCAAAACGTGCCATGACTCTAAATGGCAGAAAGTAGGATACCTTCCTGTAGCTAAATGTTTTGGATCAGCTCAGCAAGAATGAGAAGAAGTGATAAATTCTTGGACAGGAAAGGAATAGGAAACAATATTTTTCAGTGTGAAGAAAGAGGGATAAACTCATTTCCCAAAGGAGCCTTCTTTCAGTTCTTGCTGCTTAAAATTAAAAGCTTGTGGAGCTGACTTGCAAACTCCAACAAGTAATGTAGAGAATGAAGTTGAATAAATCAGGTGAAAACAAGCACAGAATGGAGCTGTTACTAGGCTCTCTCAGTAGGCAAACTGTGCAAGTTGGTCAAACTAGTTCAGTGGGAAAAGCACTGCCTTAAAGTTGCACAGCTGGCGAGACATTCGAAGCAAGGAAAGCTTCTCCCTGTGGAGAAACTGAGTGAATTGTCTTGCTGTTTCATGAATAATACTCGTGCCTCATAAGAATGGAAACTTGTTCACACAAGCTACATTTGCACATAAATCAAATTTCAAGACATCTTAAAGAATCTTGTAATAACCTAATCTTGCAACTGAAGAGACATGACTACCACTTTGTGAATGTGCAAACGATTTGAGTAGGTGTAACAGCTCATGTGAATGCAAATAGGGGCCTTATGAACAATGAATTTATTCCTTCATCTTCTCTCCTATGAGTCAAAATGACATTGATCTATTATTGTTAATGCTCATATCCAGTGATCTCCAAAACAGCGGTGCAAGGGAGACAGGATAGGAAACACACACAGATAAAACTCAAATATTCAAGCCTATCCATACCAAACCTATTCAATGGCATCAGTCCTCTTACAGCAGGCAAGGGCCAAAACCCAACATCGTATAGAATTGATACCTGTTTACTTCTATGCCTTGATTTATCTGCTCCAGAAAATCTAGGTATGTGCATTTTGAATCATTTTTGCACACATTGCTAATAAGTTCCACCTAAATTTTACTTAGTTTTTCTTGTGCCTTTCATGCTACTTAAAACTATATACTACAACTGATATTTTTTGGAAATTATTTTCTTCTTTCTTCTTTTCTCCCTCTTCTTAAAGCAAATATCTTAAAATATTTGAAAAAAAATCTTAGCATTTTGAAGCCATTTTGAACATAAGGTCACAGCCTAAAGTGTATTAAGACGTACTAGGCAGGTTAGCAGCTCCAAAATTAAAATTAGAAAGATGTCCAAACTTGAACACCTAAAACTTGTTAGTCTTCTAAATATATACTAAGGCACTTAAGCAAGAAGTCTGATTTTCAGAGATAACAAGTATCTGTAGTTCACCCTATAATAACCCATGTTTTGAGGAAAATGTAAATTTATACATATATGTGAAGTTCTCTGAAGCTGAGAATTTATTTTGCAGGCTTCATTCAGAAACAATACCAGAAGGTGGTGTTACAGAATAGACAAGGGTCCAACACAAGAACAGTCCTGGTAAACAAGGAAGGGGAGAGATACTTTTATGAAGCTGCTTCACAGATCAGCAAGTTCTCTAATATGCAGGCTAGTAAATTTGCTTTGGAAGGAGTACAAGTTGATAAATCTCCCTTGCTATGCTTTCTGTCGATTGATATGATAAGATATATTTTACTTAAAATTAGGATTGTCTGAAGCTCAGTGGATTTAATTATTTGTAATTATCCAGTTGTTGTCAGTATGTGGCCATTTTATGACAGTGGTATCTACTGTGTGGGTCAGGTTCAACTGTATATCTTTTCAAACACAGAATTAATGTACTATTGATGAAACCATTACTAGAACCAAATTAAAGTCTGGGCTGATGTATTGGTCCACAGGGTGCTGTCAGACATGAAAGGAGTAATTAGTATTCATTACTTCATACTCTGCAACATTCCAATTATTAATGAACTTCAACTGCTGGACTGCACCATATCTATCACAAATACCTTTCTAGTCTTTCTTTATTAGGAAAAAAAAATTCAAAGTGCCTGACACAACTACTAAAATAAACAAATAACAGAAATGAATCCAGAATGAGGAAAACTCTGCTTATTTGGTAATAAAGGGGTATATATATTACCAGTGCCCCACAAAGGAGATCTGCCGCATCTTCAGTGAGCCACAGAATGGTATGCCATGTAACACTGCTTAAAATATTCACCAGAAGAACCTATATTTGAATGGCTTCATACATTTGTGCTTGTGTCTGTGTATACAGCTCTGCTGTGCTACATAGAAGCCTTTGCTAAGTAAATGCAAAACTATATTGCTGTGACCCTTATCCTTTTCAATCCAACTTCTTTCTATTGTTTTACATCCCTCTGTCTCATGCCTTAAAGACTTGTTAGCCTGTGCAATTTCTGATCTCTCTTTTAGGCCAGTATAATTCTAATTTTCAGTAGAGTTTCTTCACTACAGGTTCTAAAAAGCAAGCTATATGGTCTTACTCTGAAGCACTTCAAATACCGCTATAGAAAAATGTAAGAGAGAGGAATCATTTCAAGATCTCACAGTGCAGGGCAAGAGTGCATCTTCCAGGAGCTTCATAAGGAGATTTGAGCTGTTGTGCATTGCTTAGATTTACTGTGCAGGCACCAGTGCCTGAAATGGGGGGCGGGGGGTGGAGAAAAATCTTGGGTAGTCTGTTCAAAACTAGATACCATTTTATTTAACCTTTCTTTCATATGTTCTAATAATCTGAAACTGTGCAAGCACTCTAAACACTCTTTGAGTAACGTTTGAGACCCGTCCAGAAACACTTCAGGGGTATCTCTGACTTTTTATCATAATAAATATCATATTCTTCAACGTGAAAAATCTATCTTGTTGGTGGGTTGTTTGAAAACAGGAATAGAAGAGAGGAGCACTTTCAGGCTTAAAAAAATTTTCACATTTGAGCAGAGACAGTAACATGGCATTTCAGTTCATCAGATGAAATATTTAATGAGGTTTACCAAGTTTACTCTCATGCAAGCGCAAATCAACATTATTCTGTAGATTGACAGCTGCATTGAAGACTCAACAATCATGTTGGAAGTTTTCATGAAAAGTGATGGAAGACATTACAGACTGAAATTCTCTTGCACCAAGTACAAGCTCCTTTATTTTTCCTATTATCATCCTGAAAATATGTATCTAAAGGTATCTTAATTAGACCTTAGGGAAGATTTTTGATAATATTTTCTAAACTTGACAACAATTCTTCAAAATCTAGGGAAAAAGGTGGCATGGGAATGAAAGATGAGATTTGCAGACATCCCCCCCAAAAGGTCAGAACATAAGGTTACCCTCACTTGTACCATCTACCACTCCTGCCACTGCGGGGTCAGAACAGGGAAAACATATTAACTCAGCCTTCCCTTACCCAATTCAAATTTGAATCTCCCAATCTAATGTCCAGCTACAGACCTCTGCAGTGGAGGTCACACGGCTGTCAGAGCTATAGCTCTTTCATTGGGAGAGAGAGTTCAGAACAGTCCCTGTACTGGGATATTTGGAGCACTCATATGAGAAATGGGGCATGTGAGTCTTGGTGCTAGCAGGCTAGGCTTCTAGCTAAAACTGAAGAGACAGTAACACCACCGTTACATCTGCCTCAATGGATTTGTGAACACTGTCACCTGGACTGGTTTGACGCACAGGACGTTGGCAGCAATACCGATGTAAAGAGTCTCCATCTCTGGCTTGCTTCTTTCTGCCCCGTGTTGTATCATCTTTCCTCAGCCTCACTTAATTTTTTTTTTCCTTTTTTTTTTTTTTTCCTTTTTAAACCAGTTCATTGATTTGTTTCATGGGGTGGCTCAACAAACAGCTAAGGCAACACACTGCAAAGTGGAGGCATGGTTTTCTTAAGCTGATATTGCAGCTGGAAAACACTATATTGTTACATCCAAATCTAGTCTGTCATTTACAATGCTTTTCCTTTTGCTACAGATGACTAACATGGAAATGAAATTTTTTTTTTCTTTTACGCCAAATTATAATATATGCTCATCCTTGTTTTGCTCCGTTTTTGAAGTAAAAATAAGTAAAGATTTTCACTTTGGGTGGAGAAACTCAAATGCATGTCTATATTATATTTTGAGTCTAATTTGTGAATTGAGGAGAATTTTTTTGTTCAGTCAGGTGAAGATATTAACATTTTAATATCCACTCATCACCAGTTTTAGCCATTGCATTTTAAAAAGAAATAAATAACTTCATGAAGGGTTATGAAGTAGTAAGCAAAATGTGGCAATCAAAGCAATATAGATTCAGTTGTCATGGAAAAATTCTGATTACTCAAGTATACTTACTTTCACTTTTTTAACTGTATGTCTTCCAAGCAGAGGATCAAGTATGGGATCAATAGATTCACCCATGTTTTCAATTAGTACAGTCTCTCCACAAGCCAAAGCTCTTTCAATGGTCTTTAGAAAACTTAACATGAAAAATAAAAGAACCCCAAACCCTCAAATATTAGATAAATGGTGGTTATAGAAAGATTTCCTTTGTGTAATAGAAATGGAGATGGTTTTCTAAAAGAGCGTGATTAAACCATGCAAAACTGTTCACAAAGAATTTCCCAATGGTTAAGAGTTTGACAGTTTTGAGTTCAACATCTTTCTACCTATGCTCTTGCTAGTCTTCATATTAATAAAAAAATATATTGCTGGGGCTTTTCTTATAAGCAAATATGAGGATACAGCCCCACACTGAACACACTGGAATTGACATAGAGAAGTTGGGGGAGCACATGTATCTTTTAGATTTTGTTATATTTTTTTATTTCATTTTTGTGTTACAGCTTTTGGTAAATCCTTGTCTAAATGACAAACTTTCTTGAAGAGTTAGAATCTGAATGACTTGGGAGAACTCTGTTTCAACAAGCACTGAGAAAAGAGTAGGTAATAGTGGAAGGATAAGTAAGCAGACAATACAGCTTCACGCAGAAGGGTACTAGAGGTTATGAATGAAAAAATCATAATTATTTGTGAGGTTTGGAAAAAGAACTAAAAAAAAATCAGGGCAGGTGAGGGAAAAGAGCTTATTCAGAGGAGCAGACAGGTTAAATGATTAACACTTATTTAAAAAATGAGGCATTGCTGTGACCATTTACTGTGCTGTGTAATTGTGTGTTATATCTGGAATTCAGTAAAATAAAGTCAGATAGCCCTTTGAAATGGAGCAGTTAAATCTTACCTAGTTGTCTCCCTAAATCAAAGTAAACATGAGAAAAGATATGAACAGATCAATTACATGCAAGTGCTATCAACTTACATATAATTCAGTAATAGCAATGAGAATTAAAAACATGTTTGTTTACCAGGAAAGGACCTGATATTGGCTTTTGCCTTGAATGCTACACACTGGATTGAATCTTTCCCTCTGTAAGGTGCACGTGCTGTGTTCTGCTGACTAAACTGTACAGTATAAGTAAGGTCATATCATCAGGCTTTGCACCTTACCTATTGAAAAAGTGATTTACGCCTCACAAGAAGTGCACCTCAACTTCCACTTTATTTCCTCCTCAACACTTGAAAACAGCATAAAAAAGCTTCCCTCTCAAGCACCATTTTAAATGGAAAATGATGCTATGGATAAATAAGCAGCAATGTTGTAATATTTCAAGTCTTCAAGTAAATGCATTCCAACAAACACCAATCCCTTACAAAAATTAGGGGAGCTGGAGGTCAGTAAATGTGAAAGCCAATTCTTCAGCATGCACATACCCTTTCTGTCCTAGACGTACGACTTTAAGGTCAGCTCCATATTTATTCTTTATCCATTTAATTCCCTGTTGCTGGGGATCTATCATCAGAGCCCAGCACTTGCAGTTTGTTAGACTAGTGGCATTTTCTGTTGACATCCTATCACTGGGCAGTCCCTCGTTACTCCATGCCGCAATTGTAGCATCATCCGTCAACGTGGCAATCAGGTCCAGGCTCTCCGTCACAGGAACAGGAACCTTTGAATCAGAGTGGAATATATTCATCCGGCAAGGTTACCAAGCAGCAAGACGTGACTCAGTGCAATGCACAAGATAACTGAGCCGATATAAATTAAAGCTCTCTAGGCAGAAAAATAAGGAGGATCCCTATGGAATTTCAGATGCAAAAGAATATATTAGGAAATGTGATGAGCAGCAGTTTATCATATCTATGAAAAATAAATATTTATAAAAATATTTATAGTTCGATAAAGTTAAAAAAACACCATATATTATAAATTTCAGTGTTTACAGATACTGATATTGCAAATTCAATGCTCATGTATGCTCTTGAGCAGGTATTTCTGGTGTATAAATCAGTGTTTATCCACACAAAAATTATAAAAACAGGATTCCCATGGTATCTTATTAATATAGTTCAGCCATGTGTTAACAAGCTCAGAAGCCAGAGAACGGGACTATCTCCAGGGGCAGAGGCAGCCTTGGAGCTCCCTGCGTGGCACCAGCTGTGGCACCGTTCTCGTGGGAGTGCCTGTTCACCAAGAAGGAAGCTGCAGTCTCCACGTGCAGTAGAGCAGCCGTCAGACAGCCATGCTTGCTGGATACTATCTTGTCGCAGGTATTTACAAGGAGATGAAATCAAAATGAAATGGAACATCTGAAATCAGTGCTTACCGAATGGGTATGGGTGGGAAGGGAAAGGCCTAACGCACCATGACAGAGTAAGAGAGAATGAATAACTAAGTTATTTGGGGAAAAAAAAAAGTGGCCTAGTGGAAGCATAAAAGAAGATCTATACCGGATGCTTGGAATTAAATTTTTCCTTACTGAAGCAAAGGGCAAACCCCCACCAATTCCTTCACGACGTTATCCCAGGCTTCCTTATTTGTGATTTCTGGACTGAATTCTAAACCCATACATTAAAGGAAAGCACAGCATCGCCAGTATTTAGTCTGAACTATCTTCTACCCCATTCAGAAGTGTTTTGAAAACTCTTCCATCAAAATTTTCCTCCTCCCTAGACACGTATAGTCCTTAGTGCTAGCTTGTAGACTGGAGATTCTTTTAAAAGTGCATACTGAATAAAAAAGCATGTGAATCTGGTGGTTATTTATATAGAAAATCATTATATATACTCAAGTTGAGCCAAATTTGCACAATTATTAGCATTAATAAGAATGGCACCATACCTCTAGTGCAGTTTCTGTGGCACAATGTCATAGTGACCATATTATTACAAATACATACCACCTTAAATTTTCTAACCCCTGATTCTAATCACAGAGCCCAAAATAAACATAATTTTTGATGAACTTGCTGAAAATACAAGCACAAAAGGACCAACAGGCATGTACTCCCCTCTGCAAGCATGCAACATATTTATCTCCCACGTGTAACACATTTATCTAAATATACCAGAAGACTGAAAATATGATTTGTTTTATCTCTGGACTGTAAGACAAGCAATACAATCATTTCCATGAGCTGAAGTACTTCCTTGTGGAAAACACCAGCATTGGGGTGTTTTCAGGGTTTCCAATACAAATTTTCACACAATGCAAGAAAACTATTTTAATATATAGATACATCTATTGTCCCAGTATCACCACAAAGCTGATAACTACTTGTTGTTCTTTCTAAAGAGGACTATTAATAAACATCTATTTTTAACATCACTTCCCAAATGCATTTCTCTCCTCTTTTCCACACTTCCCCACTTGCAGGAAAACAATCAAAACTGAAATGAGGTATTTTATCTCACTGCTGTTCAGTGAAAGCATCTTAAAAAGTAACAGTATGGATTATTTTTATTTATAAAAATGTTCAATCCATTTCAGAGGATTCTTAAAAGAGTTAAGAATGACATTTATTTCCAGGGTCCTGCTACTGAAAACAAATATACAGGGGTAATTTTTTCTACCTATCAGCATTAGGCTGCAAGGTAGAAGAAGGTTTTTGAGAAAGAACTTTATCTGCAGACAAATTTCTGGTAGAAAAGGACAGGGAGATGTTCCAGGCAAAACAAAGCTCCACACAAATTAGTGACCATTAAACTCTCACACAAAGCAAATGTCTAGAAAAAGATGCCCCCACAGTTCTAAGTGCTGACCTTGGGAAGCTTGGATTTGGCTTTAACTGTGTTTGCAGAGCGTCCTCAGGCAACTCAGCTCGCCTGCTGTGCCTTAGCTTTCTGATTTAAAATGGGGTAGGAGTTCCATATGTCACATATTTCAGAGAATAAACTACATTAATCGTGATATAATGCTGTCATTTGTGGCACATGAGAAATAGGAAACAAGTAGGAAGAAGTGAGGAGCATTTTCAGCAGTAAGGAAGAAAGGAACAGTCCCAACCTTCACAAGGAAGAAGAAAGCTTTCTTTCTGCTGTCTCTGCTGCTTCTCTGCTGAAGAAAGCAGAGACAACTCTACGCCTCTAGGCATTTATTGAGTACTATCACTGTTTCCTCCATGTACAGAGAAATGGGGATTATCATAACTACATGGTCTTCCTGGAGCTGTAAAGCTAAGCAGAATAGGTCTCTCTGTACAGCTCTATCATTATTTATAGCATTTGCTGTTACACAGGTGTCACAAAGGACAGAATTTGGCATTGAGAATTGGAAAGGGAAGGGATTTTCTTTTGCCAAAGAGAACTTAACCTCTCTCTCCCATTCCTCTCAAAATGTATGAGTAATCTGAGGAAAGTACGTGTGTGTGTGTATGTGTGCACATATATATGCATATATATATATACTGGAAATCAAATTCCTGCAAAGAGCCACTTTTAAATACAGATCTGTACTTCAAATTTTTTAAAGACAGCAACTTTAACAAAACAGACTCTTCACTGGAGACTCCCATTTTGTACAGTAAATTTTACCTTTTATGACTTTAGAAAAGGAATCCAGAAATGTTCCATCAGTTCCTGGCAGTACTGTTTTGTGAAGGGTCCAAAGTAAGACACAAATGCTGCTGTTAATAAGATGTCACAGCATAAAGTTTTCTTTTGTACTTTGAGGTCTTTGACGGACTGGCTCCAAGGCATGTTTTCAGACTGCAAAGCAAAATTAGAAAATGTTATCTCTTGAACAACTTGGAAGTGACAGAATGTTTAACCTCCACGTTAAAAACCAGAAGCGCACAAAAGTACAACAGGAAAGGTACTCTGTCAGCAAGAGATATGCTTCCTAAGACTGCAAGGCTGGAAAAAATCCATACTCTCTGGTGGTGATTTGAAGCCTTTGAGGCTGAAAAAAATAGGATGGAGCTCTTCATCAAGCATTCTATGTCCTTCCCCTGTCTGATTTTTTTTCAGTAATCAGTGCTTTTGTCTAGATCAGATACAGTATGGCAGACACACGGTAATACTGGCAGCATCTGGCATGCTACTGCCTTGTGCAAAGTGTAATAATTTCCAGCAGGATTCAGAAAAGGCAAAGAAACAAGAATATTAGAAGAAAAAAAAAAGGAAGGAGAAAAAGCTGTTTCAACCTCAACAAAAATGCAACTTCTACTTTTTTCTCACGCTTTTTTCCAATGGAAGAGGCAAAGCAGAAGAGTTGCAGGCTTTTTTCCTCTTACTTGTCTGGCTTGTTTTACCTACTAGCTACAGAAATTTCACTGAGTTAAGAGCTGTAATGATTTGGAATTTCCACAGAAGGGAAGACGACGGTGGTCAAACACAAAGGTTGCCCAGAGAGGTTGTGGAGTTTCCATCCTGCAAAATATTCAAAACCCGATGGTACATGGTCCTGGGCAATCTGGTCTAACCAACCCAGTTTGATCAGTGGGGGTGGACTAGATGATCTTAGAAGGTTCCTTCCAGCCTCAACAATTCTGTCAAAGTTTAACTCTAGAAATTGTTTTCCTCATTCCCCTGCCCCGAGTGCCCCTATTTCTGGAATCCCTTGTGCACTTTGCAGAGTTCTTCTTAGCCACACTTACCCTGGGATATTTTTGATGAATAGTCGGGAACAGTCTCAGATATTGATGATTTCTGATTAGTAGCTATAGGGAAAGATGTTATTTTATTCCAGTTATGTTGTAAAGACAGCCCACTGTCTATTTAAAAAGTTGAATTGGTGACTAAAGAATTTCAGAGAAATGAAAGTATCTTCTTGTCATGATTTAACCCCAGCTGGCAACTAAGCACCATGCAGCCAGTCACTCACTCCCCCCACAGTGGGATGGGGGAAAGAATCAGAAGAGTAAAAGTGAGAAAACTCACGGGTTGAGATAAAGACAGTTTAATAGGTAAAGCAAAAGCTGTGCACACAAGCAAAGCAAAACAAGGAATTCATTCACTACTTCCCATTGCCAGGCAGGTGTTCAGCCATCTCCAGGAAAGCAGGGCTCCATCATGTATAATGATTACTTGGGGAGACAAATGCCATCACTCCGAATGTGTTCCCTCCTCTTCCTTCTTTTTGCCCCAGCTTTATGTGCCGAGCATGACGCCATATGGTCTGGGATACCCCTTTGGTCAGCTGGGGTCAGCTGTCCTGGCTGTGTCCCCTCCCAGTTTCTTGTGCCCCCCCAGCCTCCTCGCTGGTGGGGTGGAGTGAGGAGCAGAAAAGGCCTTGGCTCTGTGTAAGCATTGCTCAGCAGTAACGAAAACATCCCTGAATTATCAAGGCTGTTTTCAGCACAAATCCAAAACATAGCCCCATACTAGCTACTGTGAAAAAAATTAAGTCTACTCCAGCCAAAACCAGCACACTTCTTTAAAGAAAGTTAATGTTTAAGATATGGATCAAAACATTATCTTTTCAATTGGACTTTATGACATGGTGTAAAAACCAAACTAGCAGTATTTGGCACATTATACTTTGATTGTTCTGTGTACACAGTTCTCAGCAAAGGAATGATCGTATGCACAAATGTATGCTCAAATAGTTTCAGCATGGAAAGGAAGGTAAAAATTGATCATCCATTAGAGTAATCATCAAACTGATTAAATTCTAGATGCAAAATTGGAATAGACTGCCATAACCTTTCTTTGTTGTTTGCACTGTTTGAAATACTCAGGATAAAATAAAAGTTGTTTCACAGTTTGTTCACTTGCATCAGGGAAACCTCAGGAAATCATTCTGCAATGAGCAGAGGGACTGAAGCAAAGAAAGGACCAGCATGAAAGAAGGAAACCACACTGCTGAAAAACTTATAAGGACAGTCCTTTACCCACTGTCCATACATTTATTTTTCAGAGCAATGACAGTAATCAAAACATATTTTTCCGGTTCTTTACATGATGTAATCAAAATCAATGAAAATCACTGAACAGAAAGTATCCTCCATACTTCAAATAATTTCATGTAAAATGCTTGCATTTTTCTGGTGCTAGCTGCTTGAAGGCTTAAAAGATTACTTTTAGATGTGCTCATTCTTGAAAGCCTTAAAAATGTATAAAATCAATCTCAAATAACTCTCATTTTAAAAATAAATTTCTATGTGTACAAAACCAAAGTAACAAAACAATTGTTAAATTTGAGATTCATGAAGTATTTTCCATCTATATTTTTCAGAACACTCAGAAATATTTACTGAAATGGTTAAACATCCTATGCTGCATAGACAGACACAGAATTCTACAATAACAGAAGACTCAAACTCTTTTGTTATAAAATAGGAATATAAAATATCCACTAAGAAAATGGAAGTATCTTCAATCAAAGTAAAATGCTTAAAAGAGTTAGCATTTAAATGTTTCACAGTGTAAACACAGGAACTCAGTGTGGGAAGGCCTCCTAAACCCCAGTTACATTCATAAGAGATGCCCAACAAATGACAACTAAAAGGACTATTCGTGCTGAAAGCACTAACAGCAATCTTTGTAACGTAGCAGTTTTGTTTTGAAGTATTTTAGACATCCATTTTTGCCTACAGAAGTAATTGGATTCTTCTTTAAACCATCAGCTGAAGGCAACAAGACCATAAATCCATTAATTTACAAGAGGGCTTTTCGATTTATCCATTCTCTCCTCTTGTTGTCACTGACTGGTAAGTCATAAACAATAAAGAGCACCCAGCTCATTCTCCAAAGTAGCTTTGAAATTTGAAGATTTACTAAACATAGAATGATTGTCTATTTAAATCTTCAGTAATTTTACCATACCACCCAAGCACCATAAATCACTAGTGACATTGGCTAACAAGGGTTTAAGAGTTGGAACATGCAGTGTAATAAATTTCCAGACAGTTAAAAATCACTATAATTTTATTCTAATGCATTATAGATTGCCTGTAATGTCATCCTGGCCGGGGTGACCCATTTCTAATTTTGAACAGCTGTTCAGCTCGGGAGTTAGTTAATGATTAAATATAAATTGCCTGATTTATTAGTCTGAATGGTTGAGCTTCCAGGTCAATGCTATATAGACAAAATCATCAGTCTTGATGCTTTTCAGAAGTTAACTGTCTCCTGTTCTAGTCAAAAAGAATTTATTCTCAGGGGAAAAGACTTGACGTTCTCAATTAATCCTTTCAAATATTTTCCTCCTTAACTTACACAATAAGATCACTAATAAAAACTCAAATCTTGGAGAAAAACTTCTTTTAACTATGTATAAACCTTCAAATCCAAGACTTGGAGACTACCTATGGGCAAAGGCCATTTGCTTCCACAGAGCTTCCAAAGGTTTTGGAGGTCTGCAGGGTCAGGCCAACGGTGACCATCTCAGGTGTCTTGGGACAACTAAAAATTTTCATATGCACATAGTAACATTGATCTCACTGTTTTTCTACCAAAGGAAGGATTATTTATATATTTTACACTTCTAGGCATATTAATTTCAGAATCAGGTATCAAAAATGGATCTGTTTTTGCACTGTTTTGGTTTTTTTTTTTTATTAGTTTTATACTCTTACAATATTTTTTTCCCAAACTGATTTAATCTTGATTGCCAGCCTCTGCTGAGAGATTCACAGGAACAAAAGTATTCACTCTCTGATCTTAGAAAGAAAGGTCACAGGGGTTTTATGAAATCCAACTTAAAATATTTATTCAGACTGCCTTGGGAACTCACGTAATAGTGTAAATATCCTTTTTACTTTATATTTCCTGTTATTTACACTTATTTGTCAAAAAGGAATGGTTAAAATTCTAGATCATGATCGAGACAGCACAATTTCTGTAAAGACCTAGCAGAGACTGCACAGCAACGCTGTGGCTGACTTGAATGTTTACTGACCGTTAAATAGGCATGTGTTAGCTTTAATGATGTTTGTCTGCAAAAAAAGCTAATAACCACAGTGAAATATATATAATTTTAACATAAATACATTTCCTTCTTATTTAAAAATTAATAGTTTCTGCAAAAGGAAAAAACCAAAAGCAAACAGCAAATATCTGATTGGTACCTTCCACTTATTTGCAATCTAAAGTGCAACGGGGGCAGATGCAGGGCAACTCCATCCTGACCTAGAGGATTATTCAGTCTTTCTGCTCATTAACTAGAGGCTGCCCAGGCTGTCACAATGTGTTCACAGTTGTATATAAATGTGGTAACTTAGTTATCAAGACTTCTCTCTAGCAATCATGCCAATATCAGTAGCTCAGCAATACATGACTTATAGGAAATGCAGTTGTGGTGCAGCACATTTTACTTCTCAGGATTTTATTATGGGTTTATTGGTGGGTTTGGTTTTGGTTTTTTTCTTCATTTAAATGATTTCTAAGAAGGGTCATCTTGTCGCTGGTCCCACCCCAGCCTTTTTCCCCCACGCAATCCTCAAAAATTTAAGTTTAACCCATGCTCAACAAACATTTCAAATATTTCAAAACTCAAACTAGGGTGAACATTCAGGCAAAATCTTCTTACCTCAAGTCCCTTGACCAACCTGTTGGCCAGCGCAATAGTTTTGTTTGGTTCACATCATCGTGACATCACACTTTCTCTGTGACTGCTTTCTTGAGTGAAGCTGTGAGCTTATGCAGATTGCTATCCAGAACCTATTCAGGAAAGGGATGGGTAAATATTATAGCTTAAGCTTTGGCGTTTTTTTTCTGTTGTTTTTAATTTTTTTTTATATTTTAATGACAATAATTGTAAACAGTACCTTTAAGTCTGAAGGTTACAAACTTTAAAGGAAAGGTTTTGTTGTATTCTACATTCTTTCTACAGCTCCTGGCACAACATAAGTATGCTAACTAACAACAATTTAGAAGAATACCCATCATTAGAATCCCTTACCAAATATCCATTTAAATGGTTGAGATCAGGTACTTGGAGATAATAATAGGAGGAGAAATGTTTCTCCTTGATGACAACGGCCTGTATTGCAATGGCCAGATCCGGAGGTCCCAAGGCAAAAGTGCAAGTTTCTTGTGCTAGATTCAGTAATAAAAATCCTAGGACATTGTAACTATGTTCTATGCATTCTGGAGCATTTAAAATTGTAACAGAGAAAAAAATGCAAGAACGGAATTATTATTTTCATTTTGTATGTGAGACTGGTGGCATAAGAAGATCCAGCCATTTGCTCTTGGGCAGACAGGATGGTTTTGCTAGTGGCAGAAAACAAGTAGATCTCCTGCATGCTGATCCACACCTTCACCAAAGATTTTTAACCATGCTTGTATGCACTCTGCTCAAAAGGCAGCAATACGCCCTCTCCCTGCTTTTGGGGATTTCATACTAAATGTACATCAACTCAGTAGCAGCCACTGCCCATCCCCAGTAAGCCCCTGCAAATTCCCTGTCTTAGATTGCTCAGACCCTTTATTTTCATCAGTCTCCACGACTCCTGCCATGTAACTGGTAATCTGCTGAGCTGCAGCATTTTTTCCAAATTCTCTTAATGGAGCAGCTAGGATGACATGGGATTTTTAGATAAAATAACTAAAATTGTTTCTGTTAATGCCTACTTAACTAAAACAGCTGAAAGACACTTGGATGAGGAACTATCTTGTTATTGTTGTTGAAGATACAACACCCTGTCTTTCTGAAAAAGTCTAAGAAATACAGTAATTATCACTCAGGAATAGTTAGTCAACAAAATGGGGCGGGGAGGGGGAATCACAAGTTTCTTTTGGTTGTAAAAATAAAAACTCCAATACTACTGCATTTGTTCATCAAAAAGAACCAAAAAGAGGAACCCCACCCATAATGCGTTTATCTCAGTTTTCCCTTTCATCAGGAAGAAAAACACATTCTTTCCCACTCTGTCAGAAAAAAAGAGAATCCTCTCCACCTCAGCAAACTAAGAGGAACTAATGAAAAGAAAGGTTTTAAAAAAATCAGATAGCTGAGTGATAAAAGCTAAGAGGTTACCACCTTGAAAAGTACTATTTTTACAAATAATCAGGTGAGGCAAAAGTTGAATACAAAAACAGGGCTTGAAAGACCATTTTGTAAAAATGAAAAGACAAGGCAAGACAACAGAAGTTACAGCAGGCAAGTTGTCTGAAACGGTTTTGTTTCTCTAGAGTAACTACAGCACTAACAACAGTGAGTTCCACTTTAGAATAAAATTTTCCTATTTCAGATTTAATGGAAGAACCCCAACAGGAGCAAGGAGTGCATACCTCCACAAAAGCTTGGTAGTTTCGCAGGATCAAAGATTTAGATGTCATCTGCCAAGTGTAGTGCTTGAACTGGTGGTGTGCAATCAGGAAATGTAAAAATAATATATAAATTAAAAATAGGAAATTAATTGGCAAAGGGGAAAGATGAAATTACAACTCAGAGCTTAATAAAGAAGGTTGGCTTGATTTCTTGGGGATAATGAGGCAGCCAATCCACTTTTTAATGGTGATGGATCTTAAACTGAGAGACTAATGAGGGCTTTGCTCAATAAGGGCATCTTGCAGAGATGGGCTATAAGTAAAATTTCATCAGCCTAGCATGCAAGGCATAAGAAGAATGAACAGAGAAACAGTTCTCTACTCTCTCTTTTTTTTCAAGGGAGACTTATTTCTAGCCATCTCAAGTTTGCCTGCATGATAACATAGATCTGATCATAGTTCAAATACACTCATCCATCAAAGGCTCAGGTAGTAAAGATGGCAAGAACATTCTTCTGCAGTGAGACAAAGAGTAAGGAATGACCCAACATCTCTGTGGGGTTTTTTTTGGTACATAATAGTCTCCTTTATCAGAGCGCTTCCTATCTTGTGACTTTAGAATAGGAAAGTTGTCACTACAAAGCATGCCATTCCCTTTTGTCATTCTTTCATAGGATAGAACATAAATAAAATATAAGTCTAGCAACAGCAGGATTACCTATTGCATTTTATATCCCAGTACTCTAAATTCTATGGGATAAATCAAGTGTTTTAAAAATGCTTGTTATTGAGAAAGTTAGTGACAGGGAACTATGCTCCACAAATCACAGCAGAGAACCATTACTCTCCATAGCAAGCCTGCTGGACTGTGTCCTTGTATAATCCTTTTCAGGAACAAAGTGTATTTTCACTGTATTTAAGTGCTCTCATATGTTAATAATAATGATTTTAATGATAAATAATACAAATTGCACCATATCTGCCAAAAGGATGAACTTGGCCCAACTTTTTAGCCTTTACACTAATAAACATAGTACCTTTCCGTCTTTTTTCTACATATTATAGGCATACTTATTTTAATATATATATATATATGTGAACTTAAAATCATAATTTTCACAAATATTTTTAGCAGATAACTGTAGTCTCTTTAAGGATAGGAATCTGATTTAATTTCACACAAAATACTTAAAAAATAATTTTGCTTGTGAAGAAACAATCCTTTTTTCTATTTCATAACCTGCTCTTCTTTCCATTTACTGTAAATATAGCAATTGTTTGACTGGATGGACAAATGTGTGTGTTCATATCTTAAAATTTTAACATGCAAGAAAGGATCAGTAAGCATCACCATCCACAGAGTATTTTTTTTAATCATCTTCAAAACATTGTAAATGTTTAAAAAGACATACTGTATTAGTATTAGTACCAGTCTGTATCTATTTGACATTAAAAAAATTACTGTGACAATATTCATTACAATAGTGCCCATAGCATCATTTAGGTTGGAAAAGACCTTTAAGATCATCAAGTACAATCATTAACCTAGCACTGCTGAGTCCACCACTAAACCATGTCCCTAAGCACCACATCTACACATCTTTTAAATACCCCCAGGGATGGTGGCTCAAGCACTTCCCTGGGCAGCGTGTTCCAATGCTTGACAATCCTTCCGGTGAAGAAATTTTTCCTAATATCCAGTCTAAACCTCCCCTGGCACAACTTGAAGCCATTTCCTCTTGTCCTATCACTTGTTACCTGGGAAAAGAGACCAGCACCCACCTCACTACAACCTCCTTTCAGGTAGTTGTAGAGAGCAATAAGGTGTCCCCTCAGCCTCCTTTTCTCCAGGCTAAACAACCCCAGTTCCCTCAGCTGCTCCTCACAGGACTTGTTCTCTAGACCCTTCACCAGCTTCGTTGCCCTTCTCTGGACACGGTCCAGCACCTCAATGTCTTTCTTGTAGTGCGGGACCCAAAACTGAACACAGGATTCGAACTGTGACCAGTGCCAAGTGCAGGGGGATGATCACTTCCCTAGTCCTGCTATGTCTGATGCAGGCCAGGGTGCTGTTGGCCTTCTTGGCCACCTGGGCACACTGCTGGCTCACATTCAGACGGCTGTCAAACAGCACCCCCAGGTCCCTTTCCACCGGACAGCTTTCCAGCCACTCTTCCCCAAGCCTGTAGCACTGCATGGGGTTGTTGTGACCGAAGTGCAGGACGCGGCACTAAGCCTTGTTGAACCTCACACAATTGGCCTCGGCCCATCGATCCAGCCTGTCCAGATCCCTCTGTAGAGCCTTCCTACCCTCAAGCAGGTCAACCCTGCCTCTCAACTTGGCGCCATCTGCAAACTTACTGAGGGTGCACTCGATCCCCTCGTCATTTCTCATTTAAAGATATATTCTGGAAGCCGTGAAAAATGAAAGGAGGTTAGTTGGTGCTGTCTACACTGAATATGTATTATTGATTACTAACAGCTGCACCAATTATCGTCACTGAGAATTGCTGGTCACAAAAACTTCCATTTGAAAAATACGTACAACTCTCCTCTTTCTCTTTGCCAACAGAAAGAAGTTGAATTATGAGTCAGGGAGCACAGAACATCCATGAGTTCAGGAGCAGAGATCACTAACAACTGATACTCTGCCTTCAAGACTATTCTTTAGAAAATTGGATAGAGGAAGATGGGAAAGAGACAGGCAAATCAATGACCAGAAGGGAAAAGGGCAAGAAATGAACTGAAGGATAGGGGGCAACTGAATGTGTAGATTGATGCCTGGATAATGATAAGAAAAACACTAGTACCACTTTAAAGGCGTTTAGAAGAGATTAGACAGAAGACTAACTGCTTCATTGTTCTATTGAATTTGTTTAGCTTCAGGATAGAAAGGACTACTGAAAGGCTAGCATTCATAAATGACATAAAAAATCTCTCTCTCCTGTGTACTGCTTAATTCCATGCAGATTCAGATGAATTTGCACTGGTAGAGTACCTCCTTCATGTGGGCTCTACATACTGGCCTTGTGCAAGCTTATAAGAAATTCGGCTCTTCAGAGGATGACTGATAGGGCTGGACAGCACTTCTACTGCTCCTGAAGAAGAGGTGGTGGGTAAGGTGAAAACTTCCTGCAGACTGGATACAGTCAGCAGGCAGCCCAGATAGAGAGAGATAGAAGAATGTCCATCTATTGAGAGTGACCTTCTTTCAGCATCAGAGGAATTCTTGCTTTTACGGATTATGCATGCATACAACTCAAGTAAGGAATAAGAGCTTTCTACGGCCTGACAGGGTACAGAGGTTTATCAGCAGCTAAGGTAAATAAAATCTAGGTACTTGTCACTGAGGAGTGCCTGAATTGTTCGGTTTTTTTCCAGAAGAAATACAAGTTTGTCTTCTCTTTATACCTGTTTCACAGACTCCCTTACGCAGTGAATCACACCTTTAAAAGGTCTGACATGTGCCAGCTGGAACAAGTTCCATAGGGCAGGGGTGCACATTACAAAATACTGAATACAAGCATTAAATGAAGCAGATCAAGAAGTTACCATGGTTGGAAAACTGGACCTGATGAAACTTGGCTAGATGTAAAACTCTCTGGAAAAGTGGAAGATAACTGGTGAATACTTATACAGCGCTTCATTCTAACTCTAAAAATGGATGCCAGAAAAAAGTCAATGTTTCACTCTGAATTTGTGTCTTTTAATCAGCTAATCCTGGTTAATGCTACTGTTGTACATAACAGTCCTCCCCATGGGACATCACATTGAACATCGGGTACTTTAATACGTGGATGGATACAAGTCTCCAGCTGAAGAAGTCAAGCTGATTTTAAATGGAACAGTGCAGTTCAGGATCATTGAATAGGGATGAAAATCTACAGACAAAGTTGTTCACTGTTGACCATGTTGTGCATGTTTAGGTGGAGAAAAAGGCTGAGCCCAGAAAGCTAAGTGGAGGCTCTGTGAAATGTCAGCTGTAACTATGGTTAAAAAAAAAAACCAAGAAAAGTGGTGGATTTCATGGAATTAGTGAGTCTCAATTCTGTTAAAAAGCAAAAGTACAAAGACAGGAAAGGATCCTGTTCTGTACCCACCAATCTACAGAGCTCATTCCACCTACTGAACCTTACTAATGAACTCAACCTCTCATCATCCTCTAACATTTCACAGGTAGGAAAATGGTCACTAACAATCAGAGAAAATACATCTCTCAGCCATACAGTTTTCTACAGTTGAAACTTCTTGGATTAACATTTATAAAGTGGGTGTCACATCCCCAACTTGTTCTAATACTGGAAACTTAAACTCCCTTCTAAGATTCCTAGATTATTTGAAGCCCTGGTGCATGCTAACTTGCAGCTTTTTTTTTTTTCCTCCTAGTTGCCAGTCCTGGGAAAACTATCAATGGCTTTTATACACACATGTCTTCATGTTATGCACTACACTTTTACTGACACTTTGATAATTTCCAGTCTGCCACACAGCTATTAGATAAGACATAAGTTAAACATGTAATTAAAACTAGGTTACTTCAAGCATTTTCAAATCTTTTCTTTAAATAACATTTTAAATCCTCTCAGTGAATAAGAAATTACATTCCTTCCTTTCTATGAGTACAATAGGTACATAAATCAATGTTAGTCCAAGCGTACGTAAGTTTATGCACAGTATACCCCATTTGGATATAGCATATATACAGGTAAGCAGTTCATGGAAATAAGTAACTTCAGTCACCCCACATATGGAAAAAAGCATGACGAATTAGATGAGAATTGTATTGCTAGCTGGAATTTGCAAGACGTTTGAATGAATGTTTTCCATTGGCCTGTGCAAAGAATTGCACTGTAACTGAAGCTTCTGAAGTGAAATATTTGGAGGCTGCATAGAAGAATACTTAAAAACGGTGACTGTATGTTCTTCCTGCAAGATGACATGCAAAATGTGGACCATGAGAAGCAAACACAGGAATGTCCAAGAGGAATAATACGCTTTCAAAATAAAATTCTACCAATAATCCTCAGTAATTAAATGATGGATTAAGACATGAATTATGGAAGTACATAAATTTTTCAAGTTTCTTCATATATAAAAATTGAATCCCTTTTGACATCTTCAAATTTCTGGACTGAGTCAGCTCAGTTGCCAAAAGCAAGTTTTCCTGAGTGAGTTGTGTGCAGCAGTTTTTACTATATCATTATAATACTCTCTTAAGTGTTACAAATACATTTTAGCATATCTAATATATACACTGAATAGACAAGTATTTCCTTTCTACTCTTCTACGAAAGTTTATCTTCTTGTAAAATATTACTGGATGAACCAAATTTCTGCTTTATTTTTGGAATCATGAGATAGTATAGGCTAGAAGGAGCTTCGGAGGTCATCCAGTCCAAATCTCAGCTCAAAACAGGGCTAACTTCAAAGTTTTCTTTGAATTATACACAATCAACCCCAGGTCTTCTTCCCTAAGCTGCTAATAAATAAACAATAATCAAGAAGTATTCATAAAAAGTTCAAATTTTTCATTCCAATATGTATTATTTTGCATTTATCAGCAGTGAATTTCACCAGCTATAATGTTCTCCATTCAACAACCTTGTGAACTCTGGAGCTTATTATTGCTATGAGTAACACCTACTGGAGAATCAAAAATTATAGTTACAGCTCCTTAAAAAAGTTCATTGGGTTGATCAGCTATGGCATGACTCAGTTATAAAAATAATAGTTTTAACTGTATCCTCCCACCTTGTAAAAGGAAGCCCGGTTGAACATGCAGTATGGATTTTCTAAAGTGGTTAGGAAAAATATTCATATTGAATGACAAGGTGACAACTGTTGGCCTAACACAGGAAACAGCTAACTGCAGAGGAAACTCTAACTTTGTCTGTGGTGCAGAATTCTTCCTACTAGGAACTAAGCATAGCTGAGATAAAAACTGCTGCTAACCACCTCCAGAAAAATTCATGAGGAAATGAAAGGGAAAGTAAATAAATATAAAAAGACATAACAAGATTCAAAGTTGGAGGCTTACTGAACTGCAAGATCACCTGAACCAGGAAAAGGTTCTTTGAGATACTCTCAGGCAAAGAACAGAGATGCATTAGTGCTCTTCTCTGAGCAACACATTAAAATAATAAGATTCCATGAGTTTCAGGAGTGATTTCCATGCATTAAAAAAAAAAAAAAAAAAATCATTAAAAGGCTATTTTTGACCAAAAAGTATTTGCATGTAATAAACATACATCAGTATAGATGTATGAAATAAAGAACATGATTCTTCAGTAAAGCTATCTTTTAGTGTAAATACAAGCTTCACTAGGGCAGATGCACTTTGATCTGAATGGGCAACTCCAAGGCCACAAAGCTAAGGCTGTATCATATGGAGGCAAAATACATGCTGTAGCAGCTGATGGGATTTTTGGGGTGGGTGGCAGAGCGGCCAGAATAGGAAGAAAGATGGTAAAAGCTATCTTTGTTTACCCATTATATCTGCATCTCCTTCAGAAAAAGAAAAAAACAGATACAACAATAGCAGGAGGAAAAACGGGAAATTGATGAAATAAAGAATGACATTCTCAGATACCATAACTCACAGATTTCTAAGAGTCTCAGTAAAAGTGAATCTTGCTCATTCTCTTAAATTGTTAACTTAAGAGAAAACAGTGAGAATAATCCCCATGTTACAGATTTGTTCAGCCTTCATTTATTGCTTGATATATTAAGTTGTGAGATTTCAGATCTAAACATTGTCAACAAAAGAAGTCTTAAGCCAAGTCACACCCTTCTAAACCTAATTAATGCTGTATCTTTTGAACCATTTGAAGCTGCCTTTGCTAACTAAGGGTAATTAGCTTGCAGCAGAGAAACTCCTTCTACCCACCATCTCACAAGGTACCACGAGATATCTTTGTCTGTTTCAAGAGCACTTTGTGTTGTGGTTGCTCCATTGAATGAATACTTAATAAACAACAAGAAATCCCTCTCAAAAGTTCAACAGGTACTTGGTGGTAAATGTGGTCTTTGATTCAATCATTAACTCAGAAGACATTTGTCAGTAAAAGACTAATCAAAGTTTCCACTTCTATGTGCATGTACGTCTATATATGTTTGGAGGTCTTTCAAAAAATCAAAGGAGGTTTGATGTAATTTTTATGATATGTTTAGTGACAAATATAAACACAGATGAGCATGACCTTCCAAAGTCCTTTCTGGAAGTTATTCCTATATTCCAATAAGTCATTACTCAATAAAACACTTGGCATATATTCCTTGTAAAAATCACAACCAGTTATTTATATCAACTCTCATTTCAGTTTAACAGTCTATTGGTTCTAACATGCCTAGATGGCTTTGAGGAAATTCAGTTATTTCTGATAAACAGCTTCATGTGCTACCACCCAAACTGTGGAATATTCTTCAGTAGGTTTGTGGGGAAAATAGTGATAATCACTAATGAAAACATATCTCTAATACTTGAACTAGGAAGTAATAAAATCAATAAGAATAAAATAACAAAATTAAATAAATAGATAAAACAAAACTAATAAAATTAAGTGGGCCCAAGATATTAGAGAATAATGCTCATTGATCAAGCAGTACTTACAAGAAGCTTTTTCCTGATGGCTTCTAGTTTTTCTGTAGCTGCTGTTAATCCAGCATTTGCCTGGGCCAACGCACATTTTGGTTCTACCTCACAATACACCTTGAAAAAGACATACAACATAGCTACATTAGACAACAAATTGGTCCCACACTCATTACAAAAATTACAAATGTCTCCTGATGAAAGACTTTCAGATAACCCTAATAGTCTCTCATTACATATATTTGCTTAAGAACCATCCTTCTAGAAAATAGTGAGACATGCGGAGATTTCTTTCATTCTTGACTTCAAGACTACAGGAGATTAGATTACAGCCTATATAAGGATATTTTAAGCAGAACTGAATGTATCCTTAGTGGGCCTACTCTCCAGCTAAAATTAATTTATATGTATCATTTTCATGGTTTTAGAATACAGGTGGAAATCAGACAGGCATTAAGCTTGATTAGATTTCAACTAAAATTGATTAGTGTTTCACTATTTTGGAGATAAATGATAACATGCTACAATACTAGGATGAATGGAGGAATCCTGCTATCAGGTGCTCCAGGGACTCGTAAGTGATAAGATCTGTCTGACACTCCAGACAGCCAGAGTCAGATGGACATTTCAAGTGAAACATGTACATCTGGAGAAAAATATTTCCCAACTGTTGCATCATAATGACAATTAAGAAGTCTTGGACAGCCACATCTTTTTTACCATATTCTACTACAAATAAATACATGTGTACATACTGTTAAGCACTGAATACTTCCCACTTTACCTGTGGTTGCTGTTACATTCTCCCCAGAACACCAAGCTGAGCTTACCAAAATAATAAAAAACTTCAACAACAGAAATTCTCCCCCATCAGGGCTAGTCAAGAGAAGAACTGATATATATACACACACACACACACACACACACATATACACCTCCTTGAATTTTACTCTATTTATGACCGAGGCACAGAGACCAGCTGCTGCAAAGGATTTTGTATGAACATAATTTGGGTTGAAATCTGGATCCTTCAAGTAATGTTCCTCGATGACTTTCAGACAATTCTGAGGAATATGCTCCTTATCATAGTTGATTAAAGCTTGTAAGAAGTCATCAACCTGCAAGAAGAGAAGTTCCAGTGCATCAATCCTTTTCCATTTCAGAGGATCAGAACGTAACTCCTACTTTCATCACAAATGAAATCCTGCGCTAGCTTATTGGTTTGGAAACATTATGCAGTACAAAGCAAAAATATTATTTCCGCCAAAAGCCTGAAGTATTCACCCTCGCAACCACATTTTGCGATTTTATGATTCACTTGAGGAATTTCGCAGAGATGAGATAAATATCATTAAATGCTGTCCCTTTGACTTTTCTTTTATTTTTGCAATTAATAAATCCCAGTGGCACTCAGGCTGGCTAGAGTTCATCATAAAACGTACACAGAAAAGAACAATGTAGGGTCAGGTTTTATCCCCTAAATTCAAACTGTAAGAAAATGAAGTTGCGATTTAGTTTCTTTTTCTCTGGCTCTCATTTTTAACTATTCTTTTCCTCTCTCATCTCAGATATTATGTGATGTTCCATTGATTGTTACCTCTCCTGTAAAGACTTTTGCGGCTTTGCAGCTTCGGTCTTCGAGCACTTTCCCCTTATATGCCAGTAAAACCATCACTGCAGTGATAACATTGATTACAGCCATTGGTGCATCAGTGAAGGCTTTCAGTTCTGTAAGATTAACCTGAAAAAAGAAGATCAGAGGAACAGGTACAGAATTGTGCAACGATAGTGGGTTTGTTCCACAGAAGCTTTCTGATTACTGGTACAACTCTCAGCTCTTCAAAGACTATTACTAACTATTTTATGTGGTAAAAATACTGATGGTCACAGCCCTTCTCTTGCTCTGCAATCCTAAGTGCAACTTGGTCAAGCAGGGTGATGGGAAGTGTAATGCCAGGTCAGGTACAGCAGTTGCCAACCTGTTGCTTTGGAGCATGCTGCCCAGAGAAGATGGAAATGTGTGCTTGGCAGCTTGGCACTGGAATTACCATTTAATGGCCTTGAACTGCTTGAACAATTAACAAATTTTTTTTTTCAGAAATCAAACTGTATGATCTTTACCATACTAAGTGTGTCTAAGGCTGCTGTAGCAGCAACAAGAGCAGGTTCATCTTTCAGCAGCTCATCCTCACATTCTTTCTGTCTCAGATATACTTCTTGGATTGCTGCTACCTATTAAAACAATGAATCTTAAGATTTATATTGAAAATTAAGGCTGTAAATCAAATCAGAGCTGCTTAAGCACTCACACTTGCACTGTAATATCTGTATACACAAACAGATTTAGAAACCATTATTTTATGTTATCCATCAAAAAAGACCTCTACAACTCTGACACTCAAGCAGGTTTGTGCTTGGCTCTAGACACCCTCTGTTCTGCATGGTGAGAATTAACATCTCCTGTCTATACCACCATACTGCAGAAGAGTCAGCATCACCTCTGTGCCTGGGATGATCATGGAACAGATCCTCCTAGAAGCCATGCTAAGGCACATGGAGAACAGGGAGGTGATTTGAGACAGCCAGCACGGCTTCACCAAGGGCAAGTCTTGCCTGACCAACCTAGTGGCCTTCTATAATGGAGTAACTACATCAGCGGACAAGGGAAGAGCTGCAGATTTCATCTATCTGGACTCCTGTAAGGCCTTTGACATGGTCCCCCCAAACATCCTTCTCTCTAAATTGGAGAGATACGGATTTGATGGGTGGACTGTTTGGTGGATAAGGAATTGGCTGGATGGTCACATCCAGAAAGCAGTGGTCAACAGGCTCAATGTCCAGATGGAGATCAGTTATGAGTTGTGTCCCTCAGAGATCCATATTAGGACCAGTACTGTTTAATATCTTCATCAATAACATAGACAGTGGGATCAAGCGCACCCTCAGCACATTTGCAGACAACACCAAGCTGAGTGGTGGCTGCCACACCTGAGGGATAAGATGCCGCCCAGAGGGACCTGGAAAAGCTTGAGAAGCAGGCCCACGTGAACCTCATGAGATTCAAGAAGGCCAAGTACAAGGTCCTGAACCTGGGTTGGGGCAACTCCCAGTATCAATACAGGCTGGGGGATGAAGGGATTGAGAGCACCCCGGAAGAGAAGGACTTGGGGGTACTAGTGGATGAAAAGCTGGACACGAGCCAGCAATGTGCACTTGCAGACCAGAAAGCCAACCTGGACTGCATCAAAAGCAGCGTGGCCAGCAGGTCGAGGGAGGTGATTCTGCCCCTCTACTCCACTCTGGTGAGACCCCACTTGGAGTACTCCGTCAAGCTCTGGAGTCCTCAGCACAGAAAAGACATGGACCTGGTGGAGCAGGTGAGATAGGAAGTGGAAACCTGCTGACTACCTTCTTTGTGGAGAAAACACACAGAGACTAAAAGAGATGAATAGGAAACAGAATAACTTTGGATTGGCATGCCAGAAACCGTTTTTGTTTATACGTATGGACAAAAGTCTGTATCATCACAAAGAATCTTTATCTTGTTTATTATAACAACTAGACATTCTCTATCATCCTCTGCTGCTCAGTTTTGCAAACTGAAAAGTAAGGAACAGGTACTGATGCTTTATCTGCTAAAAATGGTTGGTACTTGAAATATTCATTTTTCAAATTCACTTCTTCACAGGCTGCTCCGATTCTGGCCGCAACAACTTTGCCTTATTCTTATTATCATGTTAAATATATGTGCAGTAAACCTGATGAAAAAGAAGTTTTACCTTTCGCTTACTAAAGAAAATATGGCACTTCTACACAATTTTGGTAGCGCTCACAAGGTTGATGGTGAAAGGAATATGGGTCTCTCAAAGACCACTTCAGCATTTGTAAGACTAAACCTCCCAGGTTAATTAACTAACTATTGTTTAGCACAGCCTCCTCTCCTTCAGGGTAATGAAGGGACAGCACGCTACCACCACAATGTTGTGAGAAGACTATGTGACAGCTTTATACAATTTCTGCTCACTTCTGTGAGATGACAATAGACCACATACATTTTTCAAATGGGTACTGGATTAAGAGATTTTGTGTGATGTCTAATTTCTTTCTTGCATAGGAAACTACAACACAAAATATTGCAAGTAATGCTTTCTTTGCCATTTTGATATCTAAGGACATAAAGGAGAGGAACAGCTGTAAGAAGCGTAATATGTATTTATGTATATAATTTTTCTTTTCTTCTAGATAGGCTTTTAATACCTCTTGCTGAAAATTTGCTAGTATGAAGACTGTCCTTCTGGCAGATGTACCTGTCTACCAGACTGTGATCAAGCATGTCTGTATGGATGTGAAATACCACCTATCTGTAGGGATGCTTTTGAAAAAAGGAGCCTGTAAGCTTGTGAAGACACATCAGATTGTGAATGTTCCTGGTTGCCAACAGAAACCTGGAGATCACTGTGTGAGATACAAAAATTCAGAAGGACTCTTGTGTTGAGGACTCTATATAATACTGTAGGATGCAAGGGTGAGAGATTTAGTAATGCAGGATAGGAGACCAGGTAAAGTTTCTGTACAAAAACCTGGGGAATATTAGGGCAGTCTGTTACTCCTTTTGGAAAATTTGCCTTTTTCTTTTAATTCCTCAGCTCCAGGTCTGAAACCATAGGCCTCAACAAGGGAAAGAACAGGAGAAAAGGAAATAACCTATATGAAAACACTATACTTACTTAATTTCAGGTTTGGAAATTAAACAGATACCAATCCAAGCAGATTTGTCAAAACACTTATTTTGGCTTAAGAGTGGCTTAGATCAGTGACTTTACAGTGGCTAGCATCAGTTTTAAGTGAAATCTGAGTGTCTCCACAACTTTCTGCATGGATTTAATTATCTGTTTAAAAGCTGATTATGATTTCCTTGGTGCAAATTCATCTGGTAGAGTAACCCTGGAGGGTGTTTTGTATCACCTGCAATTGTGTATTTGGAAGATTACCGTACACGTTTTTAAGGATACATTGCCTGGGGCTGAAGTTAGTTATATTTGGTTCATCTTTATCCTTGTACCTCATGCTCATCTCACAGGTTCATTTCCTGTCAGGTCTTGCTTAAACAGAGTAATTATAGAGAAAGAGGATATTACAGTGATCAAGATGTTAATACTTGGATCAAGCACTATGCATTGGCAGTAACAGGCCTCTATAAGAATTTAATATCCTTACAAAATGTGTTTATGCAATTGTTGGGGGCACTTTCCTGTATACACTTATTACATGGGACACACATAGACACTGTTCATGGAAATAGCAAAGATTAAGAATCAATATGCATTACACTACAAATGACAAGTTACCAAAAGTTAAATCCCCAACTCTTGTGAAGTAGCTTTTAGGATGAAATTCCCAATGTTTATTGGTTTGCATCTTAGCCACAACAAGTTTTCTAAATTAAATACTGCATGTACAAGTTGCAGTTTTACTTTGCTTTTTTATTTTCTCTAACATGGTTTGAAACCCATGTTACTGAAATTAACTTAAAGCAAAAAGTTTAGAACAGCCAAATGCTCCTTCTGTTGAAGTTTTTAAGGATGTAACCAGGTGAACAAGGATTACATTTACAGTACATAGTGCTTCTAACAAGACACAATATTTTCCCTTAAAAAACCCAGCTAATTTAAGTCACACAAGCTGCATTACAGTTCTGTCTCTCTTTTTTCTTACGCTTCTTACTCTTTGCTTGCTGATGCCCAAAGAAAATATGGGACAAGATAATTTTTTTTTAAGGGAGGAAAAATGAAACAGAGCAGGTTGTAGATAAGCCTTAGGACAGTATTTCTCAAATCTACTTCCCTCACAAAGAGATGAAGGAGCTTTTCATCCCCATCTCCAGAAGTTTAGTCCCCTTCACATCAATAACTTCTACAGTATAGAGCTCTTCAATGATGGCTAAATTGCTAGAAAAGCTGGAAGCAGTGTGCCCTTAGCAATCAGACCATGAATAGAGTGGCTCAGATATACCATGTAAATAAAGAATACACTTCAGCTGAGGGAGGTAAATCGAAAAAGCTGGTCAGTCTGGGTTCATCTTTGCTCCTAATCCTCAGCTAATGTCACTATCACCCATATACCTACACCATCCTCTGCAGGTTTTCCTCCTTTGAGGGGGTAGGTCCCATTTTAAAAGGCAATGGCATATGCATCTTCATCTGTAAACCACTCTGGCTGGCATCATTCAGAGCACAAAAACGGCCAGTAAAATGACAGCAGTGTTACTGCCCGCTATTTTAAAACCTTAGCAGTGTCACATTCATAGTCAGAGCCTTGTTGATTACTATACAGATATGTAGCTCTGCCACATTTATGGGGCATCCAGACTGACCTCACTTTTCCTGATGAGTCTGATCTAAAGTGACTTCCACTCTTCACCTTTTCTGAAGTAATGCTTTACTCTAAGGCAATACCTCCAAGGTATTTACCGGCTTAATGTTGTAAAACTCAAAAAACCCTTATAAACTCCAGTTTGAAATCTACAGAACAGGTAAGCCAAAATAATTTTTTAAAGGGTGACAAATTTTAATTATGGAAAGTATTCACAAATTACTTAGCTGGAATATGTATTCTCATTTTCTAATTATTTCTTTTTGTAACAGAAATTATAGAAGATTAATATTTAGAAACCATCATCAGCCTTATGAAATAGCGTTAGATTAACGTAGCACAAAATGACACTTTCATTTCCAATAAAAACATCTCAGAAGCACAATAAAGCAACAAACAGGGGAGTATAGTGATCATTAGTGTCATGTGCTGAATTTCATCCCTTAAACAAAGTAGCCCAAAGATGTGATCATCCCATGATAATCATTCCGTGTGTTTCACCTACTTAGTTAATGAAGCAATTAGAATTGTGTTAAGGGTGTATTTTGATCATCCAAATACGTCAGAAGCATATAGAACCAATAGAGGAAAAGCACCGTTGAAAAGTGGTCGGTAGGATGTTGAGCTGTTGAATCCAATTTGTGCAAGTTTAATTATTTGCACCATATGGACTTTAAACTTCATAGCAATTTTTAAGTCTTAGATAAGATATGGATCAGCAAAAGGCTGAAGTCCATAATTAGCATAATCCAGACAAATGTAAAGGTCTCGATCCAGTCGTCATTTATGTTGGTGTCAAAAATCATTTATCCCTCAATAATATCAGGATGAGACACAAAGTAATTAGAAAAGTATTAAATACCACCTAATAATAGTAAGTCTTTAAGAAACAAAACAGAAGAAAATGAAAGACCATTTTGATTGCTCAGAAAGTATAGCCTTTCCTGTTGATCAGTATCTGAAAACTGTTTACAAAGTTCTTGGCAACTTGAAGTTTCTGTAGCTCAAAATCAGGCATTAACAACTATTACCAGTCAATTACTCTCTGCAATACTGATAAATGACACAATGTACATCAGATTTTGTAGCAAAATGCTAGAGTTGAATGAGCCCTTTGGAGTTTAAAGGCAGAGGAACTTCAGTTTACAGCATTCCATATTGCTGGTGTTTTATTTAAAAAACCGTGCTTGTAACAGTAGATGAAAATTTTAGAGTCTAGATGAAATTATGCATTTCTATTTGTTCTGTGGTGAGGACTACTGCATGTAAACTTCTATGTTTCCAACAGAGATGTTGATAACTAAAGTTAATAGGCTGAACTGAGAGCAAATAAAAGAAGATTCAACACTGATGACACATATTATTAGGTATGCTATTATAATCTTAAAATTCAAGGTTTGCAACTTGTAATATTGTGAGATACTGGAATGAACTTCTGTATCAATTGAGTTGTTCAATTTACCTAGAGCCTCAAAGCCTTTAGAAATCTGTAGTGCTCAGAGATGACTCTCTGACCTTTACTGTATTAAAAATAGGTCTGATTCTCAAGATCCACATCCATTAAATGCTTGAATGAGCTCAGTATTTATTGTTCTTTCATCTCATTAAAACAGCTAAAAGGTTGGGAAAAAGCATAATGTAAAGAAAGGTCAAGTGGTAATCATGGTGTGAAATGCTGTTACATGTGTAAGTATAATAATTCTTTAGACTTTATGCTCCCTGGAGAGGAAGTTGTTCAAAACTGTTCACCTAAAAAGGTTTATTTTGTGCTAAATATAGCTGAACAGCACTAAATGGGGGAATTAGACTGACCTTTTGCTCCTCTGCATCTGCAATGGCCTTTTCTTGGATCACTTTCTCAGTCTGAAACCCTATCTTAGCAATCAAAGCTTCAACATCTTGATTTCTCAGTTGCAGTTCTGCCTCTCAAGAAGCAAGTTTGTATTTTAGATCTTCTACCTACTGGGCAAAAGGTAATGCGCTATTTGGGAGCAAGGGTCATTAGGTACGGTTATGGACAGATTATACCGCACAAGCCCCAAAAAGCTGAACTGAAAACAAAATTCTTGTTTCGTGGGTCTCAGTACTAAAAGTGTTGTCTTCTCCTTTTTAATTTTGTTTCCATTTGACAGCTCCTTGTTTGTAGCTCACAGAATCTTGTTGACATAAAGAATTTAATAAGAACAGCCTAACTGCTCCCACCAGCGACCCCGCAGCTCCCCTGAGATGCTCAGATGTCTGTCCAGCTGCTGAGGTTGTGTTTGTAACTAGGTGTCTCAGCGGTGCAATAAGGCCCAGCTGCAGCACCTAGCAAAGATGCAAATGTAAAAGGACATTATGGAAAATGCTTAGTAATCACTCTGAGCAGATAATTCCAGCAGAGGTTTGCTGAAAGGTTAAGACAGGCTCAGAGACTGATGAACAAAGACTACCTGTTACTTTGCTGAAATAGCAATTTATTGCCTGCTAGGCGAGAAACCCATATCAAAATATCCAGCCACAATATCTTTCCACATATAAAGGAATTGTTTCAAATACTTTTTTTTTTTTTTTTATTTTTTCCCCCAATCCCTCCAAGCATTTTATCTAGGAGCTATTCATGATAAAAGGCTGTGTTTTAACCACAGGGGGCTCTTGTTAACCTGATTTGGATAGGAATGGTAAGACAAATATTAGAGGGCTTGAACTTTCATTACATGGAAGTTCTTGAGGGCTCTTCTTCTTTGGTGGGCTCCTGAAATCTTATAAGACCTAAAAAAATCTACCTTTCAAATTTGACCATTATGAAATGAGAAGACAAAGCTGTAATACTGAGTTGTAATAGATGACTGTAGAGATCCCAAATCTCTCCACTCTATTTTTCAATTTATTTCAGCTGACTTTATGTCTTTTTCTTTCTAAAAAAACTAAGCAGTGCTGCATTTGATATTCTTGTGTAGAGTTCCAGAGCGCAGGATAAAAATGGCTCAGTGTTCAAGCACCTGGCTAGATAATAATTGTGGCTCTGTCTGCTAGCACAGCATGCAGCACTTGAAATTGTCAAATTACCTTTTGGTCATCGTCAAATTAGAATTCAGAGAAAAAGAGTGTTTTAATAATTTATTAGCATGGGATACCTTATTAAAAATAGACTTTAAAAAAGCAGTCACCCTTTTCTGTTGACCATTTATTTTTGCAGGTCTTCAGCTGGCAAAGTGGGAAGAAGTCAGCCAGCTCCTGTTATTAATCTGATGGTGTAGCACCAAGACGCCGCATTATGTGAAGACTGCAACTAAGCATTTCATTTGCAGTTTTTTATAAAAACATGCAGACTTTTTATTTTTAATAAAGAAATTTCTGGATTACAGCTTGTCTTCAGCATTTGCAAAAGGGATTATGGAACGCGTGTGTGCGTGGGGTGGGGGAAAGGCTTCAAAGCAGTTTCCCCTCCCTTCTGTCTTTGTGGACTGACCAGCCACAAATGGAACTGTAGGCAGAAGTACTGACTGGGGGCTAAGTGGTACTAGCCCCACAAGGAGGTGACAACAGCTGATGGAAAGGCTCCAGACTTGTTCCTCCTGCTTTCATTACCCCTCAAGATGGTCACTGGCCACGCACAAAATCCCCACGTACAGAACTGCATCTTCTCTCTCCATGGTTTGGCTTTTACTGTGGCATTTGCTTCCCCTCCCACCCTTTTAATGTGGTACCACTACAGTCCCCTTCCCTCCAGACTTTGTCCTTGCTCAAATGGATGGACCCCTTTCCAAAGACAGCTAAAGAGTTCAAAGAGCCTCTACATGAAGAAAAAAACCAACCCTAGTTTTCAAAATGAGGTAATTTCAATGAAACACAAAAATGCCACCCCACAGCTAATCAATCTAATGAAAAGTGGCTGTGACAACTTTGTTTTATGCACAATAAACCCAAGATTATTTATAAAGAATGAAAGAAAAGGTTGTGACTTTCACAGTTTACCTGGAAAGCTGCTGCCTTCAGCTTCTGCATGCCATTCACCAAGTGCTCCATGTGTCCCAACACCTTGTTTTTCTTCTCTAGAAGGATCTTATAAAGCATGATTTTCTCCAGAGAAGTCTTCGCAATAGTGTAATTGTACCGCCTGTCCTTACGATTGTATTTGGCACTCATCATATTCACACTGGTGTGAGCATAAGCCATGAAGTCACAAATGGAGTCCTGGATGAGTGGCTGAACATACCCAAGGAACAAGAACAAATGTAAACACAGGAGCAAAGAAATTTTTCCAAAATTAAGTGTATCTATATAAATCAGAAAAAGTTATGTTTCTAAGGATGGCTCGTTCACAAATCTATTCTTCAGTCTACCCTAAACATAATTTTGTCAGCATGTAAAAAACAGTAAAGCAAAATGAGCCTCCCCCCAACTTTTTTTGCATATAAATGAATTAATTCTGCACTGGCATTCATTAAGTCTTCATCACCACAGAAGCTCAGTGCTTCAACATACTTTCATTTTTTTTTAAATAAATACTCCTAAAAGCTAGAAACAAAGATAAAATCAGTCACTATACTGCTATACACAGAGTTAAAACTGTATGGATTTTCTATTTCCGCTCTGGAAATCCTATTTAAGGAAAATCCTGTATAGGTAAAAGAAATACAACAGAGTGGTTACTCTAATCACACTGATACCCACATACCTCATACATCATCAAATTCCTATTCAGAGTGAAGTGCATTTATGCCATTAACTTCAGATTGAACAGAACTGGGCTCCATGATTTAGATTTCTGAAGTCGTACAAGTCCCTGCTTATCTCTGCTTGTCAAAGTCAGTGATAAACTAACATACACTGTTATGAGGGCAGGATTAGACCACTGTGGAGTGCTTCTGAAAGCTGAGTCTCTACATACCCTAAAATGTCAGAAAAATCAGCAACGGTTCTGTGCTGAAGAGATCTTCTATCAGTTTCAAGGGGCATTTGACCAGAAAAGTAGTTACGACTTAATGGAGTTCAGAGCCACTCTGAGCTGTGACAGCTGACACTCTTCCCTACATGCCACCCAGGCATCAAACCACAAAGTATACCTCCAGCTCCAAGCAAATCTCAGCACGCTGCAGAAAGGACCTCAGAGTGGTCCTGTGGCCCCAGGGGGTTGCACTGGGTGCCACACATCTCCCTCGTCACGGGGGGGGAAATGCAGCCGTGAGACTGGAAAACTCTTCACATACTGTATCATAACCAAAACAGGCTAGACATATTTAAAACAGCTCCAGGTGGTCATTTAGTCATGTATTCCTGAGCAAAACGCAGAGCTAAAATGCCTGGCTTTATTCACCTCTCGCAGCAAGAAAAGAGGTAGTTCTAGGACTAAAGCTCAAAGGTCCTTTTTCTAAATTTTTTGAGAACTGAACTAGCAAATACAAGGTACTACTATACTACTTTGAATACGAATATACTTCCCCAGGATAAAGGTGAAATAAGAAACCACCAAAATTAATTTTTGTTTGTTTTAAAGGACCCTATCTACCTATATTACTAGAATATATGCCTATATAGGTCTAAGAAAGAGGACTGTATGCAAAATTAACAGGGAAATACTAAGAAAACCCATTTAACTCCATCACTGTAACTAACTTCCATTTTGTCCTCTATGACTTCTAGCATACTTAAACTTTATAATTTGTGGAGTCACATCTCCCTCATTTTAATGATTATTTATTGCATTCTGTACAAGACGAACCCAGTTCAATTAATCAAGGGAAGCCTAAAAATCAATTAATATGAATTAAATGAGCTACACCGACTCTTAGGAAAGTCACACATAATTTACCAAAGCATTGTCAATAATGCTTAGGGAACTTTGGGAAAATTGCTCACGAGTGGCTGTTGATGCAGTTAAATGTTTTAAGCCTACATCATTAATATTACAATCAGGTTGATGCAGAAAGACTTGCCATTTTTCTCAGTAAGAAACCTCATTATTTTCTTGTGACTTTTAAAAGCTAGTTTAGAAGAATACTTATTTCACCTATGATTACAAAAACAGGAATTAAAACACAAACTAAATAAAGAATGATTTGCATTTAGAGAAAGCAGAAATAAATTGCTTTACAGATAAAAAAAAATCAGAACATCATTAGTTGAGGCAAAGCTAGCATAAATTCATCTTAAAAAAAACCCTGTTTGTAAAAGCAAGGCTAGTCAGCAGGAATGGACGTTTTATGCAGATTTGAGCAGCGCTTGGCTTCCAACTGAAATGTGTTTCAGCCTTTTTCTCCTTTTTTCATTGTTCGTGACACACGCACCCTGCAGCACAGCTCTTCCTAGAGAAAGACAACCTCCTTACACATGATCCTTATGAGAGGTCTCTACTCAGCAGCCCTGAAAAGCCCTCTAACAACAGTTTCATTTGTAAATCAGTGAGGGAAGAAGTGGGTTCCGGTAGAGCTGGAAGTGGCCCGAGACAACTTGTCTCAATGGGGCAAAATAACTATTGTTATCGAGCTTAACAAAATGGCACAGCATGGGAGACACGCCGAGCCAGAGAGCAGCTGGTTGTAATTCACACTGGTTTTCAGAAAACACTAATCGTTCCCGAACAGACCTCTTTGAGGATTGGTCTTCCCTGCATTTTCAATTTGTCACTTTCTCTTATGATAAGGTCAGTGGTGACAGCACTTCCTGACATTAACAGCTGTGGCTTTTAAAAGGGTCATTGTGGAACTACTAATTGCAGTAATTTCATTAGCATAAATTATTTATTCTGCCATTCATTTATCTCCAGGTTTTGGGGTTTTTTTTAATACTGCATTGTACTTTTCAATATATGCCCATTCAGGGTTGCAGGCAAAGGAAATTATTATTGCTAATTTAGCCTTCTTTATTAAAAAAGAGGCAAACAAAAAAGAGTTGATACAGTAACAAAATCTGATTTAACTGCAGTTCGCTAGAAAGCATAAAGTAGCTTGAAGCCAATAATGAAAATTAGACTGGTACAAATCAAAACCATTCAATAGTCCTAAAGATGACTGAGCAATAAGCCTGTATACAACCTGAAAGAAAATGTAAGGGTGAAGTCTGTTCATTCTTATGCAGTCTCTCTATTCTAGGCCTTGGCTGACCGACTTTTAAGCATGCAAAAAAACCCCAGTGTAAGGTACGAGTAGAGTTTAGACAGGAGTTTTGCCTGCGTCCTCCCTATAACTTTCCTCAGGATGTAAAATGGTAATCACCAAATTGATAAATCTTAACTCTTTGCAGTTAAGTTGAGCTAGCTGAAACATGCTGAGCAAAGAGCAAAAAAGACCATTGTCACTGTACTTCGGGCTGCTTCTTTGCCATACCACATGTTGTAAAATACTTCAGAGTGCGATAAACTGAGAGCATAACAAATTTGTCCTTGGTATGCTTCACAGTGTGCGCTGCTTGGTGCTAAGCAGAGGAGGAGCAGCATGCAAGACAGCAACAGCAAAATACTCAAAGGAGATGGCAGAGATGTACATTGCTGTTATTTTCAAAGGGATGGATTAAAAAATCCCGATTCTTTTATTCTGTACTCAGTGCTGATATGTGACACCTGCTAAAAGTAAGGATGAGAGGTTGTCCGTCATGTAGAATTTGAAAACAGAGACATTATTTTAAAATACTATACATCATGTTTTATAGCAAATGAGGTATAAAGGCACTTTTGTATGTTCGGTAAGCTCGGTACATGGATTTCAGAACTGCTGCACAGTGTTCTTTTCTTGCGCTCTTTTAAAATTAAGTTTAGCAATTTGAGTACTGAAACAGAAGAGGGCTCTTTTCCTTTCTTTTCTCCCAAGAAATCAAAGACATCCAAATTGATTAAGTATCTGATACTCTCCACTTCCCTCCAAATATCTCTGAACTCACTGTCTCGTCCTTAACCCACACATTGGCCAATGTCCTTCCGAGTGAAAAGGGGCTCATGCTCATGGGACTTATTTTCAACTGGCACCATAATTAGGGAGGATCACTTGTTCTTTCTGTTCAGACACTTTCACACAGGGCAGAAGGGACATTCACAGCATCCTTCATAGCACATACTGACGCTGCGGCTCACGACCTCCCTGCTGAGCTCAGTCTACCCCCCTTTTTTCCCTGGATAAACTGTATCTTCCAGAAAAGTACCTAGACTTGGTTTGAGGATAAGGAGATGGAGAATCTAAGACCTCCTTCTCAACTCCCGCAATCACCGTGAATTTTTTATGGTTTCGCTCACCATTTAAACTCAGAAATTTTCCAGTTTTTGTTAAAGCAATGTAGATATGATGTAACATTTGTATTGAACTTTTAAGAGGAAAAAAAAGATCGTTAGCTTAATTTCAAGATACCCTAATTAAAAATAATCTGTAATATTGTTATACAGTGATGAACAACAACAACAACAAAATCTATTACTGTTGCTGTATTTTTGGAACCTCTGAAAAAGGACAACTAGGAGTGAAGTGTCAATTATGCCAAAATAATCACTCAGCAACAGATCTCACGCTGCTCATTGTAAGGGACAGCATGATTACAGTACGTTTCAGAAGTCCAGGCATACATGAGCCCTGGCTAATAAGATTTCTCTACCAAGAACAAACAAAAGGCTGTCCTGAAATAATCTAAAATGGAGCAAGTGAAATGATGTATTAACACACCAGCACTAGAGATGAGAGGAAGAAAGGAGACCACCTCCCATAAATCTTTGACGGAGAGGGGATGGCAGACTGCAGCTAAGATTCCCACTTCTTCAGGGTGGTCCTTTTCCACCCAGCCCCTCTCATTCTTTTGATATCCTAATACACCTCTGCAACTCTCCTGTCCCTCCTCCCTTTACTAACTATTTTTCTGTGATCATTCTCCCTTCACCTCCCTTTTACTCCTCCTCAGACTCTTTGCTGTACATGTCTCCTACCTTTCTGGTTCAGTTTTGCTTTTCTTCTGTCTCTCTTGGTTGAGTCCTCCTTCACTCCCCCCGTAACACTGTCATAGTTTCTCTGTTATTTCAAGGCCTGTGTTCTGGGTTCATTCTTCCCATCACTTTCAAATCCTTCCCCTGTCTCCTCCTAATATTTTTTGCATTCCGCTGTCTTGTCTGTTGGTCTTCTCATCGGCTGCACACGCAGACATGACTCAGGCACCCAGTACTGCTTTACGTATGCTGATGACACAGAAACCTTAACTCACTGTCAATAAAGTGTCGTGTTATTTTGTTAGCTGCCATTTGTTTCATCTGCTGGGAACTGAAGAAGAAAGATATTTACCAGGAGCAGTTAATGCCAATGTGAAATGAGACCCATCAACAGTTGCTTGGATCAGTGAAATTTTTCCTAAATATCTAAAAAATGAATTCTATAGGAACATAATGCTTAAATTAAAAACAAAACAGTTTAATCTCCCCCCCCCCCCACCCGGTTTCAATATGAAAAGCCTAAATTCTGATGACCAGATGTATTTTCAAGGGAGAAAAATATAATTAGTTAAGGATCTGAAAAAATAATATAATTAAGTCACAATAAATGCTATTCTCTTTTCTCCCTGCATGTAATCCTACCAGTTTCTTCCAAATAAATGGGAATCTGTAAGTTGGTATCCCACTAAGAATTAAACCCAAGTGGGTATCACAGACCCCCCCCCCCCCGCCCCGCAGCTCACCAGACGACAACCAAGCAGCCTAATAAACAAACACTTCAAGTCTCTTAGGAGCTGCTAAAGGAGCCGACGGCAAAGACAAAGGACGAGGGTTTGCGAACACCTCCCTTTCCCTTGCAGCCCTACAGGAGGCATCCGTGTGCCGCGGGAGCCCGCGGGAGCCCGCCGGGCCGGGCCAGGCCGGGCCTAGCCGGGCCGGGCCTAGCCGGGCCTCGCCGCCTTCCCGCCGCCCCTCTCCCCCGCACAAGGCCCGGGGAGGAGCGGAGGGAAGGGCCCGCGGGTTACCCTGGAAGCAGCGCCAGGCATCCCTGCAGACTCCCCCTCTCCTTCGGCTTCATTTCAGGATGGCTCCGTGCGTGGGGGTTTGAATGGAGGATTTGCCCGGGGACCGGCGCTACCGGCGGCCGAAAGGGGAAGGCTCTTCCCTCCAGCTGACAACAGAGGCAGCTGGTTAAAACCCTTAGAAGAGTATGAGAATATTCCTTTTTCCCCTGAAAGGAAACTCACTAATGCATGACCTTTTTTTTTTTCCTGAAAACAAACAAGTCACGCTCCAGACCAATCGGGAACAAAAAGAGAGTCATTGCCCAGATATTAAAACTCTAAATGCATTTGCCATGTGGTTACAGGGGAAATTTTTCACCTGCTTAGCTGCTGAACAGGGGCAAAACTCTTCTTTAGTTAGCCAGGACTGTGCACGGCAATATTTCAGCCTCACTGGCGACAGCACTAGTGAATATATTTAACTGTATTGAAAAGGCTTAAATCAATTCTGTGAGGTCTTAGAAGGCCTAGACTTGAAGGATTCTGCAAAAACAGTGCTATGAATTACATGCCTCTTTCCCCCTCACTTCTCTGCCCATGCTAGACAGCTCTCTAAGCTCTGCTGAAGGAACCGGGCAGTAACACGCCATAAAAACTCAGCTTTTAGCAGGACACCAAAGGCAACAAGTACGCAAGAAGGAGTGAAAAGAGCGTTGGGTTTTTTTTTCCAGCTTATTCAGTTATCGATCTTTCAGTAATCTCCGTTGCTTTCTTAGAAGACTGACGAGCTTGAAACTCCGTACCTCAACCCCCTCGGCTTCTTCAATGAGCCTCCCGCTGACGGAGCGCAGGGCCTCCCGCGGCCACTCATGAAACCAGTCAATAGCCGCGCAGTTAACGATGGCTGGGGACTTCTGAGCTCGCCCTCGCAGCGTAGCCGGCAGGAGAGGAACACTGAACAGTCTGCGGAGATGAGGGAGGGGAAAGGGACAGAAAAGAATCACATGGCAAGTTGAGGCAACCAAAGAAAGGCACGCAACGAACCACGGCCCAGTGCCGGCACCAGCCAGTGCACAGCTGAGGCTCCAAAACAAATTTTGCAGCTAATAAACTTTGTCAGCTACGATGTTACCTTGGGCAAACAGGTTTTACTCCCTTTCCACTGTACACACACAGCGTACTCGCAGCTTCCTTTCCCTCTCTCCACGTTGGTATCAGTTGCTTGGTTTGATAGCTATAAATAATAATGTAGCCACAGGGACTGGCTGGCACGCAGACAGCCAGAAGGCGCACGTTTAGCTGTTCACGGTGACACAAATGCAGCTCTCGACTTGCTAAATCTATTCAAACCATTTCCTGCCATTTTAATACGCACTGCAACCCCGTTAAAAGAACAGGAAGAAAAGGAGATCTGGATCTTAGCTTGTATGTGAATTTTTAGGGACTATACTTTACAAAAGTGGAAAGTGATATCTGAACAAGGGTAGGCTAAAATATTCAAAGGAAAAGTAATCTGTGATCGGCTGTTAATATCACCAGGCCTACCCAAAGCAACTCACATTTGGGAAGGAAGCGTTATTCTAGTCTCTCAGTTGCATCTGTGGACCTACTTATTGCAGTTAGCACGTGTTTTGGCCATTGTATTTGCTTTGGGTATATTAGTAAAATGACAGACATCAGGCTGTTAACACAGGACTGGAGTCTCTCCTATACACTTCTTATGAAATGAGCTATTTTTGCTGTACAGGGCTTCTCAAACCATATGGCATCAATATTGTTAATTCCCATAGAAAACATCCAAATGGTATCACAAGAGTTTATCACTTCCTCAACAGCCACAAGAATCAGGACAGAGCCCAGTCAGGCATGCCAGGGAAGTGACAGGTTTATTCCGCCCCTGGAGGAATTGGGAGTTGACATTACCTATTAAGTGAAACCTGGATGAAAAAGGAAAAAGAGCAGAAAGTTGAAAGAAAAGAAGGGGGGGGGGAAGGAGTGAAGAAAGGAGGTTGACCTGAGACAATACTTCACTGGGTCTTAAAGCAGTCAGAGAGGAGAAAGAAAGTGAGGAGTAGATAGTAACACTGGAAAAAGCTTCTATGGTATCTGGAAAGAAGATTACAAAGAAAATGGAGAAGACTTGCCACTATCTCATAGTTTCTAAAAATAAATCTCTGCATGGGAAACAAAAGACAGACATTTCTGCAATTAACTTTTAGTTATGAGCAAAGATGAGTAAGTTTCAGTAGAACTAAGTCAAAACAAGAAAATCTTTTGCCATTATTCAGAAAACCCACTTGAAGAGAAACTGTTTCCAGGGACATTTATACATTTTGTAAAGCTTGGATTTTATGCTGAATCACAGCGTATGCCCTTTTTTTATTCTCACCTTTTTTAGCAAAATTAATTAAGAAATGGCCTCTGGTCACAAGCACTGGTCAGGCTGGATCTCACAAAAACCTTTTCTCATGGCTGCACAAACCGAGTGGGATTTTGAGATTACTGAAGGCTTCAGATCAATGACACCATTTTCAGAAGGGTGTGATATGGCCAAGCATAACAGCAAGAAAAGCACGACTGGTCCCTTCTGTTGGGAGCCATGGTGGAAATAGAGGAGGTGATAGGCAGAAGACGTGAAAATCTTAAAAGAAAAAAACAGAAAGACCTAAAAAAGGGTAAGAGGAAGAAGCAAGAAAGGCAAACAGAAGCAGTGATAGTCTTCCATGTTGTGACAGACAGGAAGTGAAATGATGCAGACTAAAATACTAAATGGGGCATAAAAGAAATCTTTACTGGTGAGTGAACCATAAATATTCAATAAATCAGAGCCCCCAAGCCCATGCTTTAGACTGCACTGTGAATTAACTGCACTTTCCACCATTTTTTAGTCCATTTACTTCTTTACATTTCTAAAAGAAAGATATTCACTAGCACCTATTCCATTTCCAACATGCCTACCAGCTTCCCAGAGATACAACAACTCATAGTACATTTTTCCTGTGTCTCATGGAATGGGATGTAGAGGACTATTTCCTGTTAAAACAGAGTTTTGAATTGCTGTAGTTATTCTAGTCCCCCTACTGATCTCATTTATTGTCAAACAGAGAAAAATACATCTCTTACATGAATCTAAAAATTCTTCTAACCACAGGCAATTTGCACATTTGTCTAGAAAGTACTTGAGAATGTCAGCAAGAGAAACTACTGGTTTTAAATCACTTGTGACCTTTACTCCTGCAAGAATTACAAAAAGCAGTGTATGTTCTCATATTTGCAAGAAAGTAATGTTCTCCCCCATCTTCAAGAATTCAAGCAGAAATGTAGACAGCCATGCAAAATCACAATGGAGTCCAGGTTTGTCCAGGGATGTTACAAAGACAGGCTGATCAGCAAGTTGGCCTAAGGTACAGAAGAAAAATGTCATCTACTTTGAATGTGTTCAACATGAAGAGGCAAATGGCAGAACTGTCCATGTAGAAATCCATTCTAGCCAAGTGATGAAAACTACACTAAAGCAGTACAAAGACCACAGAAAGATATTGGAATTTACAGCAAAATTTTATCAGGCTGATGAGAAGGAAGGGCAAACACAGAAGAAAAAAATCAAAATGCTACAAGAATAAATGTTTTCCACCCCAAAACTCTGTATCAGAGAAGAAACGTACATGAAGAATCTGCTACATCTGTTTCATGATTTTCAATGATCTTGAACACTTCTGTGAGTTTTCTGAAATTTCTTCTTCGTTATACCATGTATCCTTCAATTAGACATTGTCTCTCCCTCTCATTCATGTCACCCCATTTTCTGATAAAAATCTATTTTCAGTTATAATAACAGAGGCATGGTGAGCAATATTGATGCTTGGGACACCTCATTTTCTCCTCTCTTATTCCTCTAGTAGCCACCTTCTCAGATCTGCGTACCATCCTTGCTATGGTAGCAGCAGTAATGGAGATATCTGTCCCTGCTTTGATGTGCTTCTCACAAGTGCCCTTGCTATAGCAGTGGTACCAAACTGAATCTATCACACCTCCAAAGCTGCAAGCCATACACAGTCTTGCTAGAAGTTACATCTTCTACATCTTCCTACACTGCTCATATTGCTCATATTTGGACTTAACGCCGTAAGTAGTGGTCCAAATCAAAGCCTTGGACCATTTGCCAAACAAAAATCAGAATTTGATGTTTTCCTTAGTTTTGTACCCTGAGTAATATTTTATCCTCCCTAAATATTAAACAATTGTTTGTATGGAATGATTACTATTTATGCCCTATTTATATCAACCTTATGTTGAACTTTAGGGGAGAAGGTGCTTTCTCTACCCAACATGATTTGTTCAGAGTGATTTAAAAGAAATACTTGTATCTGTAAGGAACAGCATTAGTTTATATCAACTGCAGATCCCTGAGAAGTAACACTGACTTTTCAGGATTGTTACTTTTAACTTTACCCTAGCATCTAAATTCTAGATTTACTAGGTTATACCCAGAACTCATCTGTTCTCCTCTTGCCCTTGGCCACCCCTTGAAAAAAATTCTGAAATTTGAAAGAGTACATTATAGTAGTATGTTCTAATCTTTATTCTAATCTCATGCTTATCCAACACAGTACTACTGGAGCTCACGTGGATAACTGCAGAACACAAAGGCCTCTCAATAGTTAACTTCCATAACTAATGAGTGCAGAACAGGAGGTGAACAGAGTGACAAGTGAAGGCAAACAGGACAGAAACAGTTGAAGCAATAGCGCATCTATCACAAGTTGCTAAACATGGTAAGCAAGTCCTAGTGAAAGTCTTTACAAGAAATACCAGGCACACACTAGTCCTACCAGGATTATTCGGCTGGAAAGCCCGACAAAGAAAAAGGAAGTATACCTGAGTAAGTATCCTAGACTCAACTGTCATAACTATACTGTGAACATCCCTGACAACAGCTAGTTTAAAGGCAGGTGAATGTAGTATACATGAAATACAGATATACCAATCTTTTGCTTACAATGCAGACATATTCAAATACTTAGCTGTAATTTTACAAGTGCAGATTACAAAGCAGAAGACAACAGTTGAAAAGAACTGCTATGAAGGCTAAGAAGAGAGGGACTAGATGAGAGGATCTGCAAAAGCCAATAATAAAGTGAACAGCAGCAGATCTGAATTCTAGAAACCTTGCAGAGAAAGAACAGAAGCAATTAAATCCAATTTAAAAGTAGCAATAGGTAAAATTAGTTAAAATTAGTGGAATAGCTAGTTCGAGAGCTCAAATTCAAACACACTATTTATAATTTCCATTACTTTTCTCTAAAACACAAAGTTACAACTGAGTGATTTTTACTATATTGTATTGTTAGGCAGGAATTTCCAGCACAGCCCCAGCTATAACATAATTAGATGTCTTTGTTAATTATTTTTTGTGGACAATAAAAATATAGGATACAGCATATACTTGAAAAGGTAGTCATAAAAAGCAGGCAACCAGGTCCTCACCATAGCATAAACTTTCTATATCTCCTTTAGCTTTAGTGAAGTTTGGTAAAATCACATCAGGCGTGGATTTGATGCAGCATGTTTTCAGGGTTTGTTTGCATTCCTCCCAGTGAATTCCCACTATTATAAAGGACCTTGTGCACTGCTTGCTTTGCACACAGAATAATGAAGATGCTACGCAATCTGATAACAAGAGAGCTGTGAGGAAAAATGAGTAATTATTACTGACTACATTTTGAACAATCTTTGCTTAAGTAAGGAGGTCATATGTTGAAAACATTTATCTTCTGCCCAGGCCATAAATGACAGTCTAATTTGACAGAGGACCAAAAAAACCAAAAAAAAAGCAATAGGAAATGCTTCATTTCTTGCAAGACAACCAGGGTATAAATATTACAGTAAGGGTACCTCAGATAGTAATAGAAAAACTTTGGAAGTTCTCCAAAATAGACCTATCCCTTTCTTTGAAAAAACTGTGGATTGAGAGGGACTATGCATGAGTATATCATCTGACATTTTTAAGATTTAAATTTGCACAACTGAGTAATGAAGACAATCAACGTGGACAAAAGAACTGGTATAATGTGGAATTAATATCAACTTCCATGTAGCATTCACCACTCCTAAGAAAACAAACCCCCCCTTTTCTCAAATGTCCCATTTGAGCCTCACACTTGCATGTCACTCTCACTACAGATCTATCTCTTACACTGTGTTTCTCAGTTCAACCTCTTCCTGCTTGTCTCAAATATGCAAGCTCCCTAGGTTCACTGAGTGAACGTAGAGCAGGACAGACAACAGAGTATCTTAATGCTAATGAACTAAAGAGTGACTTGACACACACTTGGCCGCTGGTCTGACAGGGCCCATCCTACTTAAGTATTAGCACACTTCCATGATTTTATCCATGGGAAACTAAATGGTGCTGCAGCAGGAGTAAGGAGCTGTGCAGACCAAGAATCATTTCGAACTGGCTCTATGCCACCACCATCATTTTGTGACCAGAGCAAGGGAAAAGCTAAGCCATGTGGATGCCAGCCATGTCATGCCACCAGTCCTCAGGAGCACAAGACAGACCTCATAGATTTACTAATATAGCTGTATCCTTAAAAATCAAGTCTCTAAGTACTCAAGAAAAGATGGCTGACATCCAAATGAGAAAAGCCTGGAGCTTTTCATAGAGAAACAGGAACTCTGCAAGAGCCTGCCAACTGCAGAAGCAGCTGCTTTGTGTGCTATGGAACTTAGAAATCCTCAATAGCTTCTCGGCTGTCTAATAACATAACTGAGATTTCATTCGGGGGGAACAGTAACTGTGTCTGTCTGTCCCTGATCCACCTGCCTCCTTGGTGGCAATTGGTTGGCGAGTTCAGAAATTATGTGGGAGGTGAGATCAAGTGATAGACAGCATGATCAATTGAACCCTTATTTCCCATTGAATGAAACGAATATAATCACATCTAGCGTTAGTATGAGTTTAACATAGAACCAGAAACCCTAAACCCATGGTTCTTTTTGGCTGGGATTGAAGCAGTCAAGCTGATCGGCATGTGTACTTATGCCCTCACAGGGAAAACCATGAGAGCTGGCCAAAAACTGAGCTGTGATGGGGATGCATAAGTTCCTCTCAGATTCACAGATAAAAGAGACATTCTGTCAGTGAGGAAACAGACCACAAGAAAAATGCTAATGTTTCTTGATGAAAAAAGGATTTGGAAATAATTTAAAAGAAGAGTAATAGTAATAATATGGACAACAGTGCTTGTGGTGATGCAGGGCACCTACCCCGTGTATGTTTGGCATTAATTCTGGCTGAAGCATGAAACTGCTTTACTGCTGAGTTCCTTAGAAAACGGGGAGCCAGCTAAATACTGACAGGACTATGCAAGGAGGAGACCATTATAAGCATATAAGGACTAAAGTAGTTCAGCCAAGTCTGCCTATTGGAAGGAAACTGGAGAAAACAGTATTCCTTTAAAACCAGCAGATTTAGTTCTTAATGCTGGGACTTCACAACAGCCACTGAGGGACTGTAAACTTTGAAATATGAGGAAAATACACAATAAGGAAACTTTTTCAAGAAATGGGAGCAAGTATTTGTAGTAGACATCCATAGCTTATGAAGAAAACTGGCTGCACAGGGACTAAGTAACAGAGATTCAGTTCAGAAGAAAAGCCATATAACACGTAAGGCTTTAGAATACACAGTAATGTTTAAGAGCACTAAGGAAACTAAGATGAGCTAGTAGGAAATGTAGAACTTGGAAAACATGCAAAGATGAAATGCTGTAAAGAGTACATTTAAGAGTATGTTTGTGTAGGACATGAGTTGCAAGGCATTTAGACATGGTGTTTCCGTTTTTGGGAAAATGTTGAAAGGTTGCTACAACCAAAAGAATAAAATAAAATTAGATGGAGCTCAAGAGACAGCAGGACTGACTGGCCATGCCTCATATCCATGCTTTTGAGAAATAGTTGCTTCTTCTGGCCTTTACTTTTATAATTTTTTTTTTATAATATGCAGAGTATTTAAGAATGATTACTGCACAGACATGGGATACTGAAAAACTTCTGGAGCTCCAGTAAATTACTGTGAGCCTTAGAAACTTCTCAGCCTATGCAATGGCATGCCTTAGCGCTGTCAGCACATTACCATTCACAATGTTTGCCCATCAGCTTTGTTTGCTTAACCAGCATTCTTCGTTTTTAATTTATTTCATCATTCATCACTAAAGCTTGTGAAATCCTCAGGTGCATATACATCCTCACACACACTTCCATTGTGGCCCCATATTTTATAATGGTGCAATCCACTGTCTTTAACTGACATACTTCCAACTTCTGCTGACACAAATTTGCACCTACGTACATGGCATGTTCTCAGTATGTTAACAGCAGAATTGATTGTAAGTGCTGGACTGAAAACAATCAAAAAAAACCCAACACAAAACCAAAGAGCTGTGGTGGTTCAAAGAATTGCACTGTGTAGTTTGGGGTCCTGAGCTACAGATTCCTCATCATAAACAGAACTGTAGGGTATAAGATGACAGGTGAGCACAAGGGAAATGTGGCTTAATGTAGGATGTTGGGTTTTTAAAATGAAATTAAAAAATAAGACTATATCACTTCACTAAACTTTAACATTCTGAAACTGTCTAAACTCTCCCTTTTGTTCTCTTTCACATTTTATTAGTCTTTTATTCTTCAAATCTAGGGAAAGGAGGAGGTGATAGGTCACCCAGCACTAACTAAAAGTCCATACGGATACCTGCTAGTGTGTTAACTCATGAAATTTATGTCTCCTTCAGTACTATAATGTCTCTACTTTGCTTCCCTGCAACGTGAATAGATATCTCCTGTTCTTGCCTCCAGAAGTGCTAATTTGCACAGTGGGGGGCTGGTGAAATGGTTGCAAGGTAGAAGGCGTCTGAAAGCTGGCTTTCAAAAAGCCCTTAAAAAAAAAAAGTAAAGAAAAAGAAGAAATTGTTGGAGGAATAAGGAAAACACAAAGGGAAAGAAATGGGAAAGAAGAAAATGAAGAGATTTTAGACATCATATTTTTTTTTCCTGTCCTTTCTTAAAAAATGTACAAAAATGCAACAGTCATGAAACAGAGACAATTAGCACTGACTAGAAATAGATATACAGAAGGTAAGCACCACTATTGACCATGTCACTGAAGTCTGGAAAAGTGAAAACAATACAGAATATGTCACACTAGATCCCGTACAATCTCCACTGGCCTTTAAGTTACAGAAGAGATTTGTGGATGGACAGAAGTGATGGCAACAAAATTGGAGATAGGAGGGAACATCAGCAAAACTAAAGCAGGATAGGAAAAAGAGAGAAGATGAGATAAAAAATGAGAAAGTGGTATGTTATAAAGTGTAAGAACTTGAAAAAAATCTCATAACCAAACAGGAATGGTCTTTAGGTCAGTGGTGGTTAAACACTTCAGAAGAAGCAGAAAAAACCTGCACAGAAGACTGCTGTGAAATAATCTGCTATGGGAAGGCTCTTCTCCTCCCCAATCAAACAGATTGGTTTAATACACAAAGTACAGGGCATATATTCCTTTCAAAACATTCTCTTTCTAAAGGGTTAATGGTTTTCAGACTTCTGATTTTCTTATCAGCTACATACATGTTTCAGATGATACATAAAATTGAAGCCTGCGTAAACTGAAAGTTCCTAAAGATGCCACTCCCGAACCAGTGTTCCCAGCTTCTGCTTTCCAGCTTTGAGGAGAAAACAGTCTGCCTCAATAACATTGCCTCTAAAATGGAGTTTAAGAGAGACACTTGTTGCAGTTGTGGTATCATATTAATAATGTGTATTGCTAACCAGCTTTTGACCTGGAAACACCTACATGGATATTTTTATTTTCCCGGTTTTAAATGGCATAGGAAAAGTAGAAAGAATTAACATTTACTGTGAAATTTCAATTATTTGGGCAAACATTTAAGAGTTGACTACACATACAGAACTACTGTATGTGTAATTGGGGAACATATTTACAATTGCACTAACTGCACCACTGACTCCTCATCAGCACATCACTTCTCTCTGAAATGCATCGTTATATTCAAAACATAAGACCATGAAACTAAGACACAGAGCAGCTACGTGGCTTTCCTATGAACAGGCAGGAAGTCAATAACCAGGTCTAGGAGTAAAACTTGGCGTAAACCAAGCCTCCACATAGAGAAGGCTGTTACAGGGGTAACGTGAGAGGCAAATTCAGTGTCACGTGTCAGCGAGTTAGCCTTTCAAGAGAAGTATGCCAACATATGCTGGTTTATGAGATAACTGAAATATGCGGTTATTTTGACCAGCTCCACACTCCTCAAGGCCCCTGAAATATGCCTTACTTTTGACTGCAGCTGCAGTCTACTGAAGAAGAACCTCCAGCAGCTCTCCCTGGTGTCCATCAGGCCCAGGGCTTGGACTTCTTCTCTAACTTCTGTAACTATGCCCTCCACGTCTTCATCACTGAACAGATCTGGAACCTCTCCTGCGAAAAGAAAAAGGGGTAGTTAGGAGGAGCCTTACACAACACAACCTGAGATATAATCTACACTGTATTTAGCACAATGGGGTTTAGGTGCATAACTAGAGCTATGCTATGCTAATAGCTCAAGTAACAAATCAGTTTCCTCCTGTTCCCCACACCTTTTCACCTAAAAAGAACAATTCTTTTTTTAAGAGAGAGGAAAAAACCCCCATTGTTTTAGAAGACAAAAATATTTGCCCTGATAGGAAGTTCACTCATAAATTATGTATTCCTCACAATAGTGGTTCATTTTTTTACAGGCTGTTAGAAAATAGTTTTCCAGTCTGGCTGCAAAAAATAAACAATAATTTTGAAAAAATCTTTCAAGATGCTCCCAACTGTACAGCATGGTATTATTCCCATTTTTCTTCCACCCTATATCCAGATCCCCGCATTCAGAATCCAGATTCTCTAATTTTCAAAACATGGATGAAACTGCATTGCTGTCTGTTACACTTGCCCAGTCACAAAGACAACGCTTGAAGTCAGTGAAATCATATCAAAGCAAGCATGGCATTAAGTCAAAGAGAGATTCCCACCTCCTCCCAGATCAATGCACTTATGCATGATAAGCCTTAGCAATTCATCTCCACAGTGGGCAATGCCTTCTTAAGTAAGTTAGACTCAATGCTCAAGTTGGATGGGTTGACTTGGCAGCTCTAAAAGCTCCCCCTAAAAATACCTGAAAGAGAATCTCTTTAAAGTTCGAATGAAACCACAGATCATTTGTCATTGGAAAAGATCTTTCAAGAAATGTGTTGGTCTAATCACCTGATGCCAACAAGTCATTAATCAGCACAAGAAAGCGTTCATCTGGAACCTGGGCATCTGTCAGGAAAAACACTGTGGGCATGTTCTTGGCACCAGTCTTGATGTACAAACTGCCAAGATCTACCTGTAAGGAAAGGAGGCAATCACTCATATTCTGTTAAAACATCGATACAGAAAAAGTGTGAAATGCATGCTAGTGGATGACAACGCATTGCTGACTTCCTCTTACTTTTTTCAGTTTATTTGCATATGCTAATTTGCTGCATAACGTCCAAAGGGAAAAGCAGTTTGCTTCTGTATTCCATATCAAACACTGAGGTTTTGACACGATCTAGTGGTAAAGATCAAAATGGACTACTAATCAAGGAAATCCCCCTATGAATGTACTAAAAAAGGGATCTTGCAGCCATGAAAAATCCCCATCAAGAACAGCCATAACAATACCAATAAAGTCTGGTAACTGCACTGAAGAGTCAG